CTGTCAAAAAAAAAAAAAAAAAAAGCCTTGACCGCTCTCACAATCTAGCGCTTTTCGTGATCGGAACTTTTCTCAGACTCGCCTGCTGTTACGTGCATTAGAGCGCTACATAGGTGATAGCTTGGGAGGGATTATAACAAGCAAGGGACCCCCCCTGGTGACCGGTATAGATGCAGTTTGGAATTCGATACTAGTTCTACGTCTGTGCCTTTGACGGGATGCATTCATACCGAGTTCTGCAATGCATGAGGTGAGGTGAGGCTGGGTGTTTTCTCTTCCCAGGCTCCTTCACAGACAACAAGCCAGAACAACGAACGGGGTTTCACCGACAAGTCAAAACTCAGCATACGGATACCCTCTCTTCTCACCGCTTCAATTGAATTGGACCCTTAGAGGTTGTATACTGAAACTATTGGCACTCACAGATGTGGGAATATTCAGTCCCTCCGTCAAGATATCGTTGCTTCTACCCTGCTCACATGACGAAATCCGCTTCATCCCTACTGTCGAGTGAGATCATACTGCTTTTTGGACATTTCGTGTAGGCCCCTAGTTGGCCAAACAAGCAACATCCTATCTTGAAACACCCTCGTTAAAAAGCACGTCGATCCTGTTCTGGGTTACACCCTGCTCGCCTCACTTACACCACAACAGCGAGTAAGTACTGTACTTTTGTCCTCTAGGGGTCTCTATCACGTCACGACGCAAAAATGATGAACCACGCCAGCCCTACATGCATATACATACGAAACTCAAAGCACAGGAAAGAAAAGGAAAAAAGAGGGCAAGGTTTATCGAACCCCCCCTTGTCACCGCTTCTCAAACCAAACTAGAGGATTTTCTTCCAGCCACCCCCTGGAAACCCGAACCCGGCTGGCGTGAGAAGAGAAGAGTTGAGTTGAGTTCTGGTAAACCGGGGAAGAGGGGAGGCTGCAGTAGGGCCCGGGGGCTAGACCGGGAAGCCGTGGAATCATCCCCGTTGGCTGATTGCGGACCTTGACAGGAAGGACTCGCTACTCACTTCCCTACTGTACTGTACCCTCGCTGGCGTTGGACTGACTGCCATCCTATCCGTTAAGTTTAAGCTACGCCGTTGAAGGCTGAGGAATATGCCTTGTAGAAAAAGCATCGCGTGTAGTAGGGTAGCTACGCATATGTAAGAGTGTCTGCTTCAAACTAACAATCACAGAATATTCTTATCGATTTATATGAACTTGGTGTCAAGGCCGTCTCACAGCGTTTCATGTATAAACCTTGAATGCGATATGTCTGATCGACGAGATTAAGATCTAGGAGATGAATCGATACAGAACGGAAGGTCTACGGATGTCGGATGGTGTTTAGGATAAAGTGTATTAATACTTATGCTAATTAGAAGATAAACCTGTGAAGTAACTTCTCCATCCGCGTATCCCACCCTGTCCAAGTCGTTATTCCAATCAATCTAACCCTTATGCCGTCGCGCATCTCCCGCCTCTTGTTGTCTACGATACTCCTGCAAGCCTTCACTCAGGTCTGTGTTGATCACTAAATCATCTTGGCCTTTGAAATGCATCACAACTGTAAGGCCTTCGATGTCGACGTCTGTATGATTGTGCGTGCCTAAGGTGCCAACACCTTCGGCCCGCTTCTTAGGTAGTGTATGGCTTGCTTCATCTCCGAGCTGATCGACTTGGCTCTTGAGATCCATGTACCGCGCTCGCCAGGCGCACATATGGTTATATGGCATCATGGGTGTTGGATCATGAATCACAGTTGACATCACTGAGCCTTCGCGTGCTGGATCGTCGCTTTTGTTCGAAGCTTCAGCTTCTTTATCAAGAGTCTCTTGTTGTTCAGCCATTTCCTCTTCATCGCCTTGCCTCGCGAGTGATAGCTCAACATCGGTTAGTTTGAGGCGAGGTACTGGTGAGTCAACTGCAGCACGCTTCTCATGTTGCTTCTGTAACTCAACCTCGGCAATGTCTTGAAAAGAGTTCTCTGCCTGCGGTGATATGTATTGGCTGGGGTTGCAGTTAATGCAATCCTCCTTCTTCTCTTTGTCGGGCACTGGCGTCCGACTGTTTACACTGCTGAGCTCGCGCCGCCAGTCCTCTACATGGGAGGGTGTTAGCCATTGACTTGGTGCCTGCTCCGGAGACCTGTCAACTTTCCTCAACTGCGTCCTCCACGATGAGATATTGGGTGGCTCGGCATTCGGCTTTTCATGTTCATCTCGTGGAATTGTTTTGCGTAACATGTGCGCTCCTGGCACTGGCTCATCCAGTTGGTTAGAGCTAGGATTCGCACCATCTGTTTTATCTGGCAAGGGATTGTTTTGAGCTTGTGGCGCAATCCTTCCATCTGCTTGTTGTGAGGTACCGAGTTCTTTATTCGGTGTCTTCGGGGCCAGGATAGGCTTTGCACCGGTTGGCTGTGAGGTTAATGATCTCGAATGATCTTCTTGCACGTTATAGGTCTGTTCATGACTGCCCAACGAAGGCCTTATCCAATGGGCATCATTACCTCGAGTATTGACATGGGGCTCGTGAGACTCTGGACTCGGTTGTTGATCCCCCTTGTGCTCGTTAAGATTAAGTGGCTTTGATACAATCTCACTAGGAACTGCCGGTTCTCTGCTGAGGCTATGCTTTGTGCTTTCTGTCCCGACCGTCACAGTTTCGTCTCGACTCAGATTGTGATCAAAGACGGGTTGACTGTGAACTCTCATCATGTAGTTTCCCATGCGAGAGCGCCCGTCTGGCTCCAGGGGGGGCTTTTCCTCCGCAGTTGAGGTGGGAAGGGTCTTGACACCCGCTGCTAGGTGCTCCATGATATGCTTTGAGTGATGTAGGTCTTGTTCATGATGATACAGTTGATCAATTTTCATCTGCAGTTTGTCTCGAGGTGGTGATTTTGTCTCCGATGGGGCATGCTTCGCCTCATGTTTATCTTTGTCCTCATCAATCATATCTAATTCGTTACCTTCAACAACCAGGGCACCCTGACTCCGTCGAGTAGCACATCCAATACTGTGTCGAGGTGGATGATGGCCAGTGTGTGTTGCCCTGCAACTGGGATCGGGACATTCTTCCTGTACATGGGAAGCGCGGGGCGATTTTGACAGAAGACGATCGGGCACGCAATCGGAGTGCTTTGGTTTGCGCTCTACCTGAACTGACCTCGCTGTGATTGCGGGCTCAGAGGGTTTCTTCATCGTCCCCTTGTCCGCCATGAAAAAGGGGTTGTTCTTCACTGAGCCAGATATCTCTGTTGGTGCTGCGATGGTCTTCTTGGGGGCTGGTTTCAGGGTCTCCTGATTATCTTTAGGTCTTAGGCGAGATTTAAGTCCGGTAGGACGAGGAGTCGTTGGTGACTGTGGTTCGGATGCAATCCTTGAGGTCTTGCGGCGACGAGCTGTACTGAGAGTAGGTCGCGTAGGTTGACTGCGTTCACTTAAGGCATGCTCTTCGTGAGTATCTGTAGGTAACTCAGGATTACTGTGCGTATGATGAGGCCCCTCGTACTGGGCCGAGAACTTAGGAACCCTGTGTCCAGGGACCTTACCAGGAATTGTTCCTGTACATTTTATACAAGAGTCGTGGCCGCAGTGCGAGCAATATCGTTCGAAAGCGAGGGGCTTGCCGCATGAATGACAGATCTGCGAGAGCACCGACCTGTTCTGTAAAATCTGTTCTGGCGTACCTGCTTCGCCATCGGAAAACTATCCCGCAGGCCTTGGTATGCCGTACTGTTCCAGAATATCCAGTGCATCCTGGCATTTCTCTGTTGTGCTGACGGTGCGAGATGGGTCCGACGAGGCATGATACGATGTCAGTAGAGAGTCCGGAGGCAATAAGTCTGTACCAGCTGAGTATCGTGGGAGTTTGCTCTGACGAATAGAGGCCTGTCTGATCGGTGGTTTGAAGCCAGTGACACTCGGTCGTGATGATGGCACTCGACCTTTAGGACCCCTTATAACACTCAGTCGCTGATGATTCTTCTGAGACAAATTCGACGATGCCCGCCTACGATCGCTATCTCTTACAGCACGACTCTTGACGCCATCGATCGCTCGCTGTCCCTAATCGAACGTGGTGTTTTTGCGCTCATTCTCCAAAGCGATTGAAGGTTGTTCGGTGACTGTTTGTAGGCGACGAACACGTTCACCGACAACGCCAGGGAGTATCATATCGAGTTATTGATTTAGAAATAATAGTCGACTCTATCCAAGGGAGGACGAATCGTACACGATGCCATACGACACTGCCAGGAAGGCAGTGATATGACCGTTGGCGATAATGAAGTTCGATTAGTCGATAAGGAGTATCGATTCACAGGGTGTTAAGATGGGTTACATGTTGTAGGTAGAAGTTTCGAGGTCAAGTGTGCAAAGTGAGCGGCATTAGGTGTAAAGCACATGTATAAATCTAGCCTAGAATCATAGGGAAGGAAGTCGTGGGATGATGCTCTGCACCTAACGTCAACATATCCTTAACGACGTCACTAGAACATATCCACCTTACAACAGCGCAAGACGAAACAATCACTTAAAAGGAGGCAATAAAAGTACATTTAGGAGGTAGCACAACCAGAACTGGTATCAATTGTCACGGCTTTCGTGCTAAGATGGGTAGAATATTTTGATGTACAAGGGCCTCCGTCACCACAAACTCGCACGCAGTACACTTATTTCACATGCGCCTGGAGAGTCTCGAGAACCTGTTCCGTCGTTAGTAAAGTCAATCGCAAATGCCTCCGTTGTGAAACATACCTCCAACTCGATCTTGGCCTCAGCAATATCCTGCTCGCTTCCGCTGCCGTTGGCGACCTTCTGGGCCTCGGCGATCTGGTTTCGGATAGCCTCAGCGCTGAAGTCCTCAAGGGGGTAACCCTCGACGGCGTTGATACTGAGGACGGAGTTGGGCTGAACGGTAGCAAATCCACCAGAAACTAAACAAGAAAAAAATCCATCATCAGCGTTTTGTTCGATATCCCGGCAATTGGTGTTGTATGTCATGACGTACGGAAGAACTGCTTGGAGCCAGCGGACTCCTCGACAACCTCAACCAGACCAGGCTTCAGCTGCTCAATGGAAGGAACGTGGTTGGCGAGGACACCCATCTCTCCAGACTCGGCGGGGATGTTGACCTGGACGACATCCTGGGACTTGTAGATAGACTGCGTGCGGCAATTAGCTCCATGCATCAATTGGCTACGGTGCCATCGTGAGGGTCCAATTCGGTCGTATCGTGTTCGATCTTGATCCGAGTTATGTCATCGGGCGCGGCGGTCATACCTGGTGAGGAAGGGCAAGGCTCAGCTTGATCTGCGATAACGGTCAGCCGGGTCGGGTTCGTTAAAAACAGTAGCCGGGTTGGCGGGTGTCTCTGGTCTTGCCTTGTCGGGGACGGCCTCGGCGTAGGTTCTTCGCTGGAGGGGAACTCGGATGGCGGCAGGGCGAGCTCGGAGAGCCGCACGGGCGATGCGGAAAGAGTTCATGATGGGCTGAGCTGGTGGATGAGGTTGTTGCGTGGGTGAGCTCAATTGAGGTCGGTCGCTGGCACGAATCTTTGCCGGAGCAGCAATTCGCGATTCGGCTAGCGGGAAAATCCGACGGAGTGGGGGCACGTGAAAGGTCACATGATATCGAAATCTTCAGCCTATCATCTTTCAATCATCACTTACACCATGGATATCTCCTTGCAACTATTTCAAAGTGATCAAATCATTGCTCTGTCTTCCTCTGTTGGGTCTGTGCTCAATCCTGTGCATTATCATTATGTAGTTTGGAAGAGTGGCTCTGAAAAAGCCCAATAACCCCCAACTAACACCAGTCATCCATCATCCAAACAATATCAACACACTACCTATGTGCCAAAATGCTTGCGCTCAAATATCCTCAGCATTTGGAGAATTTGGCCAATTTCGCCGTGCTGTGGCTTATCTGCATACTCGGAGATCACTTCTATAGCATGCCTCTGACTAACACTCTTGGATGTTGAGCATTTCAGTATGATCTCCAGCAGAGCTCCTCGACCATCCTCTGCTGCTTTGCAGGCTTCCTGAAGAGGACTATCAGCTGACCCGTCAAAGTCTATGCGTGATCCATGTTGAATTAACAATGCGATAACATCTTCCTTCTCGAATATGTCGTCATTGCTTGGTTCCTCTGGATCCCAAGAATGACGGAAGACCCCTGATAAGAACGCCTGGCGATTGCCCTTCGTCTTGCCTTCGAGCTCCAGATCTCTTATGATGACGGTTGCGTTGGGATCTGCTCCTGCATCGAGTAGCGCTCTCATACCTTCGATATTCTCCTCGCCTATTGCTGTCAAAAATAGAGGAGTGCAGTCAGTGCCAATGAGAATATCCATCGATCTTATGCCTTCAACGTCTTCAACCTGTTCCTTTTCGTCGTTCCAGGCATCATAGAGAGGCGAATCTGTAAGTGTATCGATCTCAATTCTTCGCTTAATAGATTCTCTCATGATCTTGTTAACATCAGCGCTGCTACCATCTCCCTTTAAGCAAAGATGTAGCAAATTGTTGTTGTACTTGAACCGCGTAGAAACCATAGGATCGGCACCCAGGTCAAGAAGTAACATGGCGATATTGTAGTCACCACTGCAGATAGCTTGATGGAAAGCTGATAAGCCATTCTTGGATACTTGATCAATAGGGACGCCCTCTCGGAGGGCTGTTTCTATCACAAGACTGGCGTTCCAAGCTTTTCTAAGACATCCACAAACATAATGCAGGATCGTTCGACCATCATAGTCGGTGTCTGTTATCTCGATACCCGGTTGCTCGAGTAGAGAACCCATCAACATCAGGGCACCACGCCGAGTGCACGATGCCGCGATATGAAGAGGTGTTTGCCCGTTCAAGCCCCGTGCTTTGGGGTCAACCTCCTTACGCTTCAGCAAGAGTTCAGCAACTCTGCGATCGCCTATCGAGCAAGCACGATGCAAAGGTGTGAGACCGTCTTTGCTGTGTAATCCAGCATTCACTTCTGGACGAGCCAGCAGGATCTCGATGATTTCGAGACTTTCACTTCTGTAACCTGCTGGCTCACAGAAAGACTCCCCTGTCTCACCCTTTCGCCTTTTCCACGGATGCAGCATAAGATAACGGCTCCTGACTGCCCAGTGGAGCGGTGTCATTCCATCATCGTCGGGTGATGCTACATCGACTCCAGGTTGTTCGAGCAGAAGCTTCACAATTTCCAGTTCACCGTGTTGTGTGGCGAGATGGAAGGGGGTCGTGTTCACATCATCTTTCTTAGTTGCATCCACCTCTGGTCGTTTAAGAAGTGCCTCGACGAGTGGCAAGCTCCTCGCATCAACGGCCGCGTGCAACGGCGTAAGATCATTCTGTTGAGCAATACCTGCATCGGCTTCTGGACGTTCGAGTAACGTCATAGCAATATCGAGGCGGCGGCTTACGATAGCGTTGAACAAAGGTGTACGTCCAAGTGAGTCAGCAACTGAGACGTCCAGATCAGGTCTTGCGAGTATGCGCTCTTCGAGATCATGTTCGTGGCGGCTCATAGCATAAGTCAGAGCATCTCCAGCTGGCCCAGGTCCTGGAAGGTTGGCAAGGAGGTCGATCACTTCTTTCTGTTCTTCCTTCTCTTCATCTGGTTCATCTTGCAGTGCAGGTAAATCTTTCACAGACCAGTACGCTCCCAGTTTCTGAACAAGCAGCTTCGCCGCTCCTTTTATCTTGCCGTGATTAATTGCTGTGTGAAGAACATAAGGCTTCGTGTCACTCATGTGTTGCCAGCATTCGCAGAGTCCTACTGAAGGAACGTGGGGATCGACACCGACTTCGACTAGGAACTCGAGGATATCACGATGTCCGTTCATAATGGCGTATTGTAAAGGGGTGCCTCTCTGTCCGTGTTTTGTCGATCCTGTCACATTCAGGTTTGCGCCATCTCGGTACGCTTTCTTAATGATATCCAGACGTCCTTCTTCAGCTGCAATACATACTCTCGTTGCCCGTAGTAGCGGTCGTATAATGTTATAGACATGACGATTCGTCTGAGCCAATGCCACTTGCGACCTCGCCGACAGTTTTATGTCGCTGATAGTTTCAACCATGCACTTGTCGGCAATGCGACAGATGATTTCCACGGGCAGTGCTTCGATGGGAGGCATTGCGCAAATGGTTACTGGACAATCATACTGAGAATAGCTGACAAGGTTTCATACGAGTGTTTTGCATGTCTCCGCAGGACATGTAACAAGGTTAAGCTTCTGCGATCGAATTGGTGGAAACGATGTTGGCGTTGAGTTTCTGAGAGCCTCAAGCCTCACAAAAGCAAACATATGTTGCTTATGACGTCTATCATCCTTGCTGTGATCAGCAAGATATGCAATTCTCACGAAGCAATCCATGTTTCTCATCCCTGCTATAAGTTTTTCTACGTTGCAAACTTTGGTGTTTTATTTCATGACTTGAACATCGATTTGTCTTTGGACGACGATCTCTAAGTGCTGGACAGGTGGTCTCGCTTTCTTAATCATCTAAAGTGGTATTGTCAAGTATTCATTATCAAAGATAAAGACTACTTCACATATATAGAAAGACTCACTTCTGCCCGTACCGTCAGATGGATAGTCTAGTTTACTGGAGTCAAGATAACTGAATATAGACTTAACGTGTCCTTACCCAGAACAACGTCGAACTCCTATGCATACGCCTCAGGGAGCTTTGGAGCAATTACCGGCTGTATCGCAAAATACATGAGTATACTTCACTCTACATAGCATGGAATTAAAACAGATAGTTGGCGAGGAGTGATTGAGTTATGTAAAACCGTAGTTCTGACCTCGGTGGTGTTATGCTTCAATACATTTTGCAACCTCTAACAACCACTCAATTGGCAAATCTTTCATCCAATCTGAATTTTGAAGTTCGGGCTGAGCTCGACGGCGCTTGCTTTACTTTATCGATTTGTAGCTTCAACTAATATTCGAACACATCATGCTGACGATGAGCTCTCTAGAGATTGCACCCGTCAGTTCTCAGCGCAAAGCAGTAGCACGTTTCACCTGAAATCCAAATGCCACAAACTTGGGATTTTGGACGGTCTAGACACGTTCTGTTGAGCAGATTATTTTCCTCGGGATGATGCATATGTACGCTGCGAACATGCATCACGATTGCATGTGAACTTTGTTTGAGAATAGTAAGCACACATTACCGTTGATACGAATATCCGGAGCGGATAACACCGCCATTCTGAGATCTCACATAATACAGTAAGATTCAAAGATCCAGGGTCTTAACCGTCTGACTCAATTGATCCTGACTTTGATTAGAGATGTATTCCCAATCAACAAGTGTTGTACCTGGGGGAGTGTTTCTTGGTCTTCAGACTACCCTATACAAGACAGATTCCATGACGACAAGACGTCGAAAGTTCCAGTCGTTGAAACAGCAACTATACCCGACCTGACCCGGAAATGGTTCGGGAGACCGGATTCTCTGCCATCAAAACATCATCAACCCAAAAGCCAGTTTATCTCCAGCGAGGCATAAACAGGAAAACGGGTTCCCTCTCTCGGCACTCAACGCGTACAAGTGCCGATCACCTGAGTTGCAGTGATGATCTCACACGTCACAGCAGCAAAAACAGGTCCCTCCAATCCCAATCGGCCAGGTAACTCCATCACTGACTACTGAGTTTATGCTTTCAGAACTCTGGAGTTTCGGGCTTTCGAGAATCCGCCCAGTCAGGCTTCCCGGGGCCCGAAACGACCACCAACTTCTCCAGATTCATCATACAGTATTGAGGATTCACCAGGTCCAGGGCTCCCTTTGCCACAAAATCCACGTAACTTTCAGTTATCGTTACAGTTGTTATCGTCTTGCCAACTGATTATTATTAACGTGTGTCGTCACTGATCATCAATTGTCATCATCATCAACCAGGCGCAGTCGCAAAACAAGTCTCAGCCTTCTTTGCTTATCTCACTCTCTGCGTAATTCATCTTGGCAGTGTGACTTTGTACACAATTCGTACTGCACAGTCCAGGACAGTATTGCACAGTAATTAAAGGGCAGTGAAAAGAGAAGGCTGTCTTCAGAGCCTCGAAACTCCCAGCCTCTGCCAAGAGACGCTGAGCAATGAATTGCATCACAGTTTCAGCCATGTTGACGGTGACCATCTCGGAGAAAATAGGAAAGTCAACTTTTGCAAGTCAACACCTGAACTGACACAGCAGCTTCACTAGTCTCAACTTTGAGAGTCTCTCCCTCTAACTAAAGAAGGCTGAGAGTAGGAGTGAGAGCTGAAAGTTGACAAGTGACGAGCTCAGGTCTCCACTGGCACTGGGTGAGATTGAGATTGCAGTCCGCGGTGAGACGGCGTGGCTTTCAGACATTCTTGGTGAGAAATTGCGATTGACTCTCAAATATTATTACAAGCTTCCGTATACTAATGGGATCCGTCGGTGAATGACACGAGGTATCGTAAAGTACTGAGGTTAATGTCGTAAAGAGGTTAGCGCACCGACAAGGAGAAGGGGAAAAAATTAAACATATTTTTTCCCTCTTCATTCTTCAACCTCTTCCCAGTCTAGAAAAGTCTGGCCGGTAAAGCAAATTTTCAAGAATCCACAGTGGCTTTAATAAAATCAACAAGGAAGTTTCCAGACCCATAAAAGCCACCAAAGGAATGACCGTTGGGGACTGGATTTTCTTTTAGCAGGGTGGCAGATGTTGCTATTCTCAGCCTTGTATATCCAGTGGCTCACCACTAAACTTTTAGATGTTGAGAGCTTTGAACATGAGAGAAGCTCAGGCCCTCTCGGAGAAAATCAAATCTCTTGGCAAAAGATCATGGAGGGCACGACGAGTCCCTGATCGGCACATTCGACGACAACGTGGACGAAGCAAGTGACTGGCTTTGAGTGGGAGTGGGAAACCCCTTCATTGCTTCTTACACCGTCATAGACAGCATATCCTGCATGTTTGTTTCTCCAGCTTAGACGTGGCTTTTTTCGGGTCTGAGGATCACGAGCTTTTGTGATTTGTTGTTGGGATCTTTAATGCCATCTGGCGGTCGGTCGGCTCATCGCTGGCTGGATCAAGGGAATCGGCTAGGACGACGGGATGGGGAAAATGAGATGAGATGAGTTGACTTGAGTTTGCTCTCCAGTCTCCTCTCATGTCAATCCATGTCCATGCCATTGATGCATGTAGGTGACAGAAGAACTGTCCTCCAAGGCTTAGGCATCAGAATAACGTAGCCTTAAGTGCTCGTCTAAATCAGCTTAGAGTGACCGCATTATTTCGTCTCTCATGCTCTCGTCGACCAATTCTTCTGACACCCTGATGCATGAATGCTACTGTACTGTATGCTGCTGTGCTACCCATGCTCAGCATCCCGTTCCATCGTGCAGGAAAGCAACCCACACCTCCTTTGCCAAAAACCACGCACCTTCTTTCGGCTTAAACATCAACGAGACAGACTAGGGCTTCTGAGTCGGCCCAGTCGTACAACCGGCCGAGACCTGGGTCCATGTTTTTGACGATGCACAACAACGGGGCACGATGCGGGTCAGTATGCGAGCTGCGGGTAAGGACTTAGACGGGGAGTTCTAAGAGACCGACTTGAAGGTATTTAGACCAATGTACCTGCATTCTTGACAATATCAATGGCCATAACTTGGAATACCCGCTCTATGTCTCAGACTTGGCAAGACTCTAGCATCAGAAAGCTACCTTAGTTGCAGGTAGTTCCCATAGATGCATCGATAATGACTCTGATGAGATGAGATATCGTCATGTATACTATCCCATATAATGCTTAGCGGTATATTGAATAACTTGCTTGTGAGGTGTGATTCCACTGCAGCAGCAAATGTGGACATCTCGTGATCATTGAAGCTGGCTATAGCTTCGAATATTTGATCATGTTGTTCGTGACTCAGCCCTTTTTCCAAGTATGTAAAGATATAAGCCGTTCACCGCCAGAATCTCACGATTTTTAAGCACTGTTTTGAGAGTGGGTGGGCTGTAGGCGAAGGACAGTGGACAGTCATAGAGGGTGAGCTCAGAGACGCCATCTAAGCTGCATGAGCCAAAGTGAAGAAAGGCTATATGGATGCATCCAAAGAATAAGCAGGACCTCGCATGGCAAGGTAACGTACATACGAATTTCCAGCTACGCGCTGATACCGCGTTGTGGTGTCCTGTCCTGACCTGTCCTTTTGAGATGCGGGGTTTGACTTCACAACGCGGGGTTAGTGCCCAGGCGGACAGGTCGGCATAACGAGGAGCGTCACTTCAAGAAGCGAGTGAGATTGTGATGGGAAAAGTCAAAGGATAATATCAAGAATATCTCATGCGTACCAGTAATAAACTAGAGAACTGATATGTCCGTTATCGCTTAGGTTGACTGACAGACGAAGGCCAAGGCCAAGACAGAAACCGAGACCCTCCGAATGCCTTTTCGAGGTTACTCGAGTCTCAAGGGCAAGGGGGGTTGCACCGCTTGTATGCAGCTCCAAAATCACGGGAAGAGACCGAGGCATTTGACGATCAGTAAACAGTGCTAAATAAGCTTGGGTCGTTTCAAGCATCTTCTACGATCGGCGTCGCGAAATGAAATGTAGCGAGTCACGTCAACCTCGAATATCAAACAGCTATGATCACACAGAGGACCCTTCAACAGCCTTGTAGCATCGCCCGGTAGTTTCATCATCTAAGCTTATGAATAGGAGACGAGAGTCTGTGATGCTAGGCCGTTTCAGGGTCCTCTGTAATATTCTGGGAGCGACGATCCGTTGACATGCTGATAGGCAACTTGACTCGGATTCATGCGGCCACCTATCGCTGAGGACGCATGGAAAAGACGACACTACTCAAGACAAGACCATGTCCATGCCAAAACTGTCGTCATCGGGGGATTTCTGGCTTGCATTGCATGGGTTTCTGCAAGTGGGTTTGTTAGATGTGGGAGAGCTCACGAGTCTGAATGTGAGGAAGTGCATTAATTGGTTGATGAGGGAAGGGGTGTTGTTGATGCAGAGACAACATGACACCCAAAAACGGTCAAGACAATTCTGCGTGCGTCCCTGAAGCAAGGGTCGATCGTAATCGACGCAGACGGCGGCTTTGAAGGAACACAAATGGCACCAGTAGAAAGACGTGATGATGAACGAAACAGGTGATTGTGGAGAAGTTGCTAGTTGGCGAGGCGAGCAACAGCACCTGGATCAGTAACACTTGTCTTGTCTGTACGCTTGACTATGTACCCCCACGACTTTGGGGTTAGCCAAGAATAAGACGTGCAATATTCAGCGCAATAAGCCTGATTGAAAAGGACAAAGAAAGGAGATAAAGAGAGACGAAAGCACGTCAAAGGCAAAGTCAAACTTGCGCATTGTGTTTGACCTTGTACTCGTGCATTGTAGCACTGACAAAGGGCGTCCGATAAACGAGACGTTGATTTGATAGACGGAAGATAAAGGCCTGCAACACCAAAATAGGATCAACATAGCGAGCTGTGGCGCATCAATATTCAACCCTTCTTGCATCAATAATGGGCGAAAGTGGTCCCTGATGCGCGGGGGTCTGTCAACTGAAACGAGCAATCTGTGTGTCAAATCATGACTATCATCTGAGGATCTGGTTGGCGAAGTGACTGATTGTCAGTCACAAGCCAGCCAGATGATCAACAATAACGACAACACAGCACAGCACAGGACAGCTGCTGTGTTTGCGGATGGATACACCGCCTCGAAAATGAAAGCGGCTGGTGTTGTACAGTACAAAGGACAGTACAGTAAAGAACGGCATCCAACTGGTGGGAAGACAAAGATTCCATTTGTGGATCTCATAAGCGCTGAGGATGAATCAACGGCCAGGAATTCTGTGGCGGCTTGCTTCTAGAAACAACAGTCATCTGTATTCGTGGTTGATTATGCGAGCGCGAGGCTTGGACAAGGACAGTGCAAATGATCCTCACACGGTATAGAGAGCGGCGATTCGTGGCTTACTCACTCCGTTACTGTCGCCGTCAGAGTCAGAGTCAGTCAGTCAGTCACTGGAGACTCCAGAGTCAAGAGTCAGGACGGTGTGCCACACAGTAGATCAAGGCAACCTGTTTTCGGCCATTTCAACGTGGATCTATCTGAGGTTGGCCGCTGACAGGCGCCACTGGTCAATTGAAAAAGGACCCTTAATGGACAATTATGCCCGCTCGTGGCCGTGTGTAAAGAAAGGAGAATATACAGTACTGTACAGTATGGTAAAGTAAGGTTCTCATTAATTGTCGGTCTGGGCTGGATCCGAAATTGCTTCCTCGGAATGCAGATACGCTCGCCTCACAATCACTCGACGTACCGTAAACGTACAGTACGCATGTACATGAAAGTCCAGTAATCTCGAGACGGTCAATGGATCCTTTACGGTTGCTCGAATGCTGGGCACGTTTGAAAAAGCGGATTCGACGCGGAGCATCAGTAGCGGAGCAAGACAAGGCTTTCTCGTCAAGGGCACGTTCACGTTTTTTTCTCAGGTCAATTTAGAGCAGAGACATTGAAAGACAGGCCTTGAATGGATCAATCTAGGCGCTGAAAGGCCTAGCCCAGGAGAAAAGCGACAGAAAAAAGGGCGCAAAATGTCCATGAACCTGGAATTCTTTGGCTTTTGCTTGGCTTCCATCAACAGAGTCAGTCAGTTATTCATGCTCCGTGTCCACTCACACCTGAGTATCTGGTCATCAATTGGTGATAGCGTATGGATACGATACTGTAAAAGACAGGTATTGAAGCCCTGCCCTGAGCCCTTAGCACCTGGCGCCCTGTGGGATATGGAAGTATCCATTAATTATCGCGATGGCATGGGATGGGATCAATCCAATGTAACAAGCCAGTGCAGCGCAGCACCGAGTTAAACCCTTTTCCGTTGGCTTAGTCCAGTAAAAATTCTTTGACACAGGGGAGAAAAAAAGGAAAAACAAAGGTCAAAGGAACTGCGAGACCCATCTTTTACCCGCTCCTTGCACGGTAAATCGACGGCCACTCTCTAATTTAGGGGACGGCCCCCCCCAAATCTCAACCCGTTCCTTGTCGCTGTTGGCTCGAGTTGTGCGTTTTTACCTTTTTCCTGCTAGTCTAGGTCGCGTCTTCTTTGTACCGCGAGGTACAACCGATTCATCTCCCGTAGTCTGGGCTTGGTTCCTGTTCTCGTTGTTTCGTTCCGATTAATCAAGGCTTATTAGAATAAAAATTTCAAACGGAAGCAGCCAACAGAGACGCCCTCCTTTGTTGTGTACTTGACTTCACTTTCGCCCTTGAAGTCGCCCTTGAAGTCGCCCTTTCTTTGTGAACTTTGCTTCCATTATTATATCATTATAGTAGAATTGGCCCTTGTCGATATCCTTTTGTCTCAGACCTTGTTCTGTTTCCTGCTGAGAGAGAAAGAGTGCTCTGTCGCACTGTATTATACTGTACTGTACCATACTGTACCCGTGCCTCGGAGAACGTCATCTGCACTTGTCTCCACGCGCAATAAGCAGCGACACACCCACGACACCCAGTCCCAAGCCAAACCAGACACACACCCACAGCAGAGTAGCACAGACGCCACCCTTTTACAGATTGGGGAATCCTGCAACCTGGAAAATCAGCCGCCTTTCTACTCCTCTTCTAGCCTCTCCTCAAAAGCCCTGTCCGGCCCGGCCCTGCATCTCACTTTCACTCATATCCCATTGATCCATATCAAAGCTCGCTCGTCCGTCTACTTTTGAGATTCTTTCTCTTAAAGAACAACCTCTATCTTTTTATAGCATTTGACGATGTTTGTCTCGCTGTTATAGCACCACCGTCCTCAGGGACGCATTTAAGACTCTTATAAGTTGCAGCACAGCTTGAGCGACTATTACCTACCAACCATACGATACCTTCACCACTTATACGCCTTCTCACCAAATTCACCTTTCTTCAGCGACCGTGCTTTGGAACTTCATCATAATCTCCTGATCATCATTGGAATACAACTTCCTTATTTGGACCTTACGACTTGACCCCCACTCTCAAACCACGCATTTCCCAAGTTCCAATACTCTATATACCACAATGAACACCATGACCACAAATCCAGATACACCCTGGGTGGCCCATGGCTCAGAAGAATTCGAGGAGGTCGACGAACCACCTGAACTAAACTTCAAGAAGCAACAGTTTACTGCCAACGATTTCCAGCGAACTTCTATTCGACCTTCAACCGAGAAGTCCTCCTTGTTGACCAAGGCGATCAATGGAAACTCGGATGACGACCTGTACACTCCTCAGAACACCACTCACACCCAACAGCGACGCCGCTCTCTCGTCAGCAACGTTAGCTTCGCCTCGACCGCCGACCTCACCAGTGATACTGGCTTCACCAGCCCTTCTCGACCAAGCACCCCGAGCCCACCTCTTCCCGAAATGGCCATGCTTCGTCTTCACCACGACCGCGCTCCTGAGTCAACTCAGGCTTCTCTTCTCGATGCTGCTGTGAAGTTGCAGCAAGCTAAGCCCGAGGAGCCCAAGAAGCGATGCATTCAGTTTGCATGCGGTGGCAAGCCTGCTGCCCCAGCTCAAGCCCCAGCGCAGCCACCTCGCTCCCAGCCCATGGCTAAGGCCCCTTCTGCCCAGGAAGCCCCTCGCAAGTCTTGTATCAAGTTTGCATGCCCACCTCGACCTGCGTCAACTCAAAACACTCCTCCCCGCTACACGGAGATCAGCACTGGCCGCAAGGACGCTACTCCCAAGGCATCCCCATCTACTCCTAAGCGAACTTCCGCCTTGTCTGCTGCCCCTCGACAAATTACCCCTCGCCGTCAATCCGTGTCGCGTCCCAAGTTCCTCCGGGCCGACTCTTCTGACCTCGCTACGGATAGCTCTCAGTTCCACGAGTTTGCCAGTGGTATCACCCGTGAGGATGACTGGATTCGACGGGACAGCAATGCTGTTGGAGTCAAGTTGACCATCAACGACACCCTGACCAAGGAGAACAACATCCGACGGTTGGCTACCGAGGCAGAGCAAGAGGCCGAGGAAGAAGATGAGCTCGACGAAGAGGATGCTGATGCCGATGAGGACGACGACGACGATGAGGAGGAAGATGAGGATGAGGACGAACTCGACGTTGACCTCGACGAGGATGACGATGAAGACGAAGACGACGAGGACGATGACTCCGACGGTTACCACACCGACGAAGAGACTGGATTCGCCGACTCTGATGACGATGATGACGACGATGACATGCGTCTTTGGACTCCTGGTGCCAAGTCTGTCGTTCACATTGGATCTGGTGCCACTATGATGCGTCGGCCCTCCCTTCATGAGATGCAGTCCGATTCTTCAATTGCTACCGTCAACAGCCAGCGAGTCAAGCGCCGTACCAAGAACGTTAGATACGCTGAGGAGACCCCCGATCTTCCCGATAGCACTGACTTTGTGTGTGGTACTCTGGATGAAGACCGTCCTCTCGAGGAAGCGTACCTTTCATGCCTCGCAGCTCGCCGAAATGAGAAGCTCCGTGTCATTCCTCAAGACATTGACCCTAGCTTCCCAGCTTCCGAGCCTGAGGAGGAGAACGATGGCGAGATCTTCAACCCCGTTCACCACGAAAGTGACGCCGATGAGTTCTTCGGTGAGATGGAAGACTTACACCAGGACCGTGACCGCTCTCGCCGCCGACGCAAGAGCGAGCATGCCTCCCCCAAGCGATTCCGCTCTCCACCTCCCAAGCGTCTTCACTCGCCTCCTCCCAAGGCACGAGCCCGATCGCCTAAGCCTCTCTTCAACCGTCAATCACCTCGCAGAGCGAAGTCCCCCGCTCCCATGCGCAAGCCTATCACTACCCCCCTTGGATCTCCTCGCTGCGGCCAAGTCAACTTCAACCTTGCTGGCCGCCCCGGTCTCACCCAAACCAAGTCCCTGCCCCGTGGTGGCGCCATGTGTCACCAGCGAAAGCACCCCCGAAACAAGATGACCCACGATAACGATACTCATATCCGTGGTGCCATTGACATCACCAAGGGCTTGGAGAGCAAGCGTCAGCGCCGCAAGGAGAAGTTCCACCAGAAGTACTGCAACCGCGCTCGCCGTGGTAAGATTCCCGAGCCCAAACCCGTTCCCGGTCGTGGTACCGAACGTATGCGAGAGCTCGGCCTTCTGATGGCTGGAAAGAAGGACCAAACCAACTACGTCCTTTCCATCTAAGCACGTTTCTTTGCCTTTTCATTTGCATAAGAACATCATTGCTTTTCACTAGACTGCGAGACATGTCACGACGAAGATGATACATCTTACACGATTTTAACTTGATGACTACAACATGTCCTTTCTCAACACACATCTCGGCTAGGTCTCCGAGATTGTTGTTTTCTGTATATACCCATAATCGACCCCTTGGATGCTCGGTATCAGCCGAGATCCGGTACATATTTTTTCATTTTTCTTTTGTCAAACTGCATAAAGCGGCCGGACAACGCTCGCTATTGGCGGAGGAGCCATTTTTGCACTGCTTGGATACCCGATACAGCATATTGGTATTTCGAGGTTACTTGCTCGGCGTTGGATGAGAGGCTATCATGACATGCATCAATTTTTTTTTATAGCAGATATCAATAACGAAGATGATTATCTCTGCAATTGTTTTGCGCCTTCCTGTGAATTTCTCTAATTGTGACTTTTGTTAAATGATAGACATTCATGTTGAAGACCGCTGAACGTAGTGGTTGTTTTGGCTGTCAAACTAACCCTGGGATCACAGTAAACTTGACTCTTCCGGCAGAATGCATGAAGTGCTTCAACCGCTTGACATTGTTTCATAGAGGCTGTTAAAGTTGGATATGTACTGATGTTTTGAACACTGAGGTTTAGTCTCATGGTTTGTGCCTCTTGGGATAGCTTTGGTGGATTGATATCAACTAAACGAATACGTTAATCACAACGGTGCTACAGTTGAGACGAACGTAGAAAGCCAAAAAGAAGAAATGATAAGATCGATATGGAACAAATGTGTCACTGTGAACATGAACACAATTATGATCTCACAGTCATAGACCTATTATGTCTTCTTTGCTTCATCGTCAATAAGCCACAGACTTAGAGAAGTGTACAGCGTGACATGTCACCATGATGAATGCCTGGTATATCAGGCACCACCACCACCCTTCTTGCCAGCTTTGATCAATGTAACGCCTCCTACCCAATCCACCCAGCTACTACAATCAACGACGCCAACGATAACGACACCCGACTCTTTTCTCTTGTGCATTATAAACAACCACGCCTTTTTATTCGAACTAATACTAATACATCGTCATTATGTGGATCGTCAACTGGTGTATGTATTTGCTCGCAATGTACCGCTTGCGACTTATTGAATGGATGGGCTGACACGTGCTGCGTATAGTCTACGATGTGCTGTCCTCCTTGGGACTGCTTAACAAGCACGCAAAGCTGCTTTTCCTTGGTCTTGACAACGCCGGAAAGACCACTCTTCTTCACATGTTGAAGGTGCGTCGACATTATAATGCTGCCATGCTGGATAGATTCTACTCGACTGGATTGCTTGATAGCGGTGGCGGCTCTCGGAGGATTGAAGACTGACAAAGGATATACAGAACGACCGTGTTGCCATTCTCCAGCCCACTCTTCACCCCAGTAAGATTCCCTTTGAAGGAACTACGATAGACCTGTACTAATGTATTGCAGCATCTGAGGAGCTTGCCATCGGCAACGTCCGCTTCACCACTTTCGATCTCGGTGGCCATCAACAGGGTACGTGAAATACCATCACCTTCGGCCCTCAAGATAGTTATCTAACATTTTCAACAGCCCGACGTATCTGGCGCGATTACTTCCCCGAGGTCAACGGTGTCGTCTTCCTCGTCGACGCCAAGGACCACGAACGATTCGCCGAGGCCAAGGCCGAGCTTGACGCCCTTCTCTCTATGGAAGAGCTCTCCAAGGTTCCCTTCGTTATTCTCGGCAACAAGATCGACCACCCCGATGCCATCTCCGAGGATGAGATGCGACACCAGCTCGGCCTCTACCAGACAACCGGTAAGGGCAAGGTCCAGCTCGAGGGCATCCGACCTATCGAGCTCTTCATGTGCTCAGTGGTGATGCGACAAGGTTACGGTGATGGTATACGCTGGTTGTCGCAGTACGTTTAAGGGAGATCAGAAGGGGAAGTGGGGAGCTAGAGAACATACCTTACGTTACGTCCTGATGGTTAGGAGAAAGAGGATACGTGACTATCCAGTGTTTTTGAGATTCAGAATTCTCCGTTAGGCGAATATCGGCCGTGCAATTGAACTACAATTTCTTGCTACGCATTTAAGGGGACCCTGACTCTCGAAATGTGTTCTCCGTGATGGAAAAAATTGACCCCTGGTGGTGTTTGTGCTAGGATACGTGCAAGGGGCAATTTTAGGGATCTAGAACGGACGCTCATGAACGATGATAAGCGGCGAGGGATATATCATGATGCACGATGTAACAGCCCCAACGTCACCTAAAGGAGAAGGTAAGAGCATTTATGGAAAGATGTTAGGCATAGTATCTCATGACAAGAGTCTGTGGGCTCATTTGATTACTGTAGGTGGTGATACCAGGTGTTCGATTGAAGCCTCGGTTCGCCAAGACGGACTGGTATGGAGCCCGCGGTCCTGGTACCCCGTACCATTTTCCCCAACGGAATCTACGTCATGTTACTAGAATCGTCACAAGGCAACCCAACAGAGAGTTACTTTCTGATCATAATAATCAATTACTCCCTTAACCCGTAACAACATCTCACGACTTTTTTGACCTCAGCTTATTTTCAACTTTCCGTCAGCAATGGGTTAGAGACCATATGCATCATTAAACTCGTTCGCAATGTCGTCGTCATCATATTCCTCATTGCTCCCACGCGATCCCGTCTACGGATTTCCACCAGAAGCTTTTGACACCTCCCTTCTTCCAGATGTCGACACGGAATTCGTCGATGCGCAAGATTTAGAAGCCTTTGAGAAGGCGCTTCAAGCTCCAGATCCACTACAAAGTCCTTCCGACGAGAACGGCGCCCGGTCGCCGCGCAGTCCTAGTTCGTTCAGCGTGACAAAGAGAGATTCGCAGGTTGGATCTGGTCTTGCTGACGACGTCGCTGCTGTCGCCTCGGCCGCTGACGCTGCTTCCGGATCTCTCCCCGTTCCTCAGCACTCTGGTCAAGGAACATTTATCACAGCGCAAAACGATTGGGCTCCCGTTAATGAAAAGGTGTATCGTCATCGAAGAGGCTCCAAGCGAAATAAGCGAAAACGTCGAGATGGAAAGGGGGCTGTTGAAGGACTTTTAGGAACACGAACCAAGGACGAGACTCGAGAAGGATATCTATATCAAGTTTCGAAATGGCCGCTACTGCTTTTCGTGTTCGCATGGCTGGGCGGGCTTGCCGCCATGTATCTGTCCACAAGACTCTATATCTGGGTCTACGAGCACTTCTTTACATGGCGAGGCCAGCGCGAACGGCTTCGGCGTAATCTACGAAATGCTTCAAAGTACGAGGACTGGGTAGCAGCGGCTAAGGAGCTGGACACATACCTGGGCCGACAAACGTGGAGGGAAGAGAACGATTTCGCATACTACGACTCAAAGACTGTTCGACGGGTATGGGAACAGATGAAGAAGACAAGGCAGCGCGCTGAAGAACAGGAGAGTAGGGGCGAGAAGAGTGACGGTGGTAAGGCAGTAGGAGATCTCAAAGCCTTGATTGAGGCTTGCGTGAAGAACAACTTCGTTGGTATTGAGAATGCAAGGTTGTACAGTCAGACTTACTTCGGAACCAAGAACCTGGTGCAGAATTTCCTCGACGAAGGTGAGTTTCCACAACTATTGCCTCTTGCGGTGATAATTTCTAACATAATACAGAGGAGAAATGCATCAAGTTTCTGGCTAGCACCAAACAGCTGGAGATTGAGCAGAAGCGAGTCCTGTTCAAGCACGTTTATGCCAACTATGGAAGAACTGCGCTCTGTCTATCTGGCGGTGCAGCTTTCGCTTACTACCATGTTGGCGTCGTTCGAGCACTATTGGATGCGAACTTACTGCCCGACGTCATTACTGGTACCAGTGGTGGCGCTTTAGTTGCTGCGCTGGTAGCTACTCGAACGAACGAGGAGCTCGAACAACTTCTTGTCCCGGCCCTCTCAGAACGCATCAATGCCTGTCGCGAATCTATTACTACCTGGTTCCCACGATGGTGGAAGACTGGTGCTCGATTTGATTCTGTTGATTGGGCACGACGATGCGGTTGGTGGACGCATGGTTCCTTGACGTTCCGAGAGGCCTATGAGCGAACAGGCCGTATTCTCAACGTAACCTGTGTTCCAGCCGATCCTCACTCGCCAACTATTCTCTGTAACTATTTGACAAGTCCCGATTGTGTCATCTGGTCTGCGGTACTTGCCTCTGCCGCCGTTCCTGGTATTCTCAATCCCGTTGTCCTCATGATGAAGACGCGGGACGGAACTCTGGAGCCATACTCCTTTGGACACAAGTGGAAGGACGGCAGTCTGCGAACAGATATCCCCATCAAGGCATTAAACACACACTTCAACGTCAACTTTACTATTGTCAGCCAGGTCAACCCCCATATTAACCTTTTCTTCTTTTCTTCTCGAGGTTCAGTCGGCCACCCAGTAACACATCGTAAGGGACGTGGATGGCGAGGTGGCTACCTCATGTCAGCATTTGAGCACTATCTGAAGTTGGATATGAACAAGTGGCTCAAGTTTATCCGCCATGCGGAGTTACTGCCACGACCCCTTGGCCAAGATTGGAGTCAGCTTTGGCTGCAGCAGTTCAGTGGAACCATTACTATTTGGCCCAAGTCACGAGTTTCAGACTTCTGGCATATTCTGACTGATCCCGACCCGCATCGACTGTCGCACATGATCCATGAAGGAAAGCAGAGTGCTTTCCCCAAGCTCAAGTTTATTGAGAACCGACTCAAGATTGAGCGTTTGGTTGAACAAGGACGCACAGACTCACGTCCATGGGTGCGCCGAGGCAGTATCCAAACTATTCTGAGTGAAGAGGATCTCCGAAGCATTCTCGTTGAAGAGATGGAGAATGGCGTAACCACGGAGGAGGAGACAGACGGCGATGACCTCAGCGCCAATGGCCTCGGTATGAGTACACTGGACGATGGTCCTATTTACGAAGAGCCGAAGGAGAAGAGCGATTCAGAAGGAAGTGGTTAGGTTAAATGAATCGTTCGTTGTATTAGAGAAGCATGCATCATACAGTATGTCGCTTTACAGCACAGTTGCTAATTATCTTTGGGATTCTTATAGTAAGGTTGGTTTGGGTGGAATCAGTAGATCGTTACCAGCGTCTTTAGTCTAAATCAAGCGTTTCATTTGTCAATCTAAATATACTTCTTTTCTCGATAACCTAAGCCTTGGCCTTGATACGAATGAGTGTTCGTAAAGAATCAACTGCTCTTAAAACATACCTAGACAGGTGGGTGTCAAAAGAAATGTCCTCCAAGACTTAGGCTACAGAAATAAAGTAACCTAGATGCTAGCCTAAGCTGGCGTAAGGTGATCAAGTTATTTCGTCTCTTATGTCCTCGAGGGCCAATTCTTATGACACCCTGAGGCTAGACTCGGAAATAGAGTTGTTGGCTGGCGCTAGAAGCTGATAGATTGATTTACAGTGCAGGGCTGAGTGCGCTAAAGAACAGTGGCTGGACGCTGTTCTGGCCGGGTCGCTCTTTCTAAAATTGACCCCTGCACTGAAACTGTGAACACCGTGGCGCGTACGGAAGGAGCCAGTAAGTCCAGACGGCAAGTGGGGAGTGACAGATAATCCGATTACCGGCAGCCGTCAACCCGCTCCAGTTCTACTATGGTGGGTGCTCTGACCTAACCTCCATGGCAAATGCGCTGCGTGGCCGTAACTAAACGACAGTTCGACACGACACTTTCTTCTCTTCTCACCCACCCTCAAACAACCCATTCCGCTGTCCTTTGAAAATACACTCTTTTGGGGCAGAGAGTTTGTTCGCGGTGTTGCAAAGAGTTTAGGTTTTCTATTCTCTTTTGTTCTTTCCAGCGGATTTGTGTGTCTTTATTTCCCAACTTCCGTACTATCATACATCGCCTCAGTTGTGGGCTACGTTTCCTTTCAAGTTTTATACCAGAGTAGCCCTGGGGCTCTCTATAACCCGTCAAGATGAGTTCAGACTACTCTTACGACAATGAGGTAAGGAACATACAACGACTGCGCTTCAATGTCTTGCTAATGCTACAAATAGGGTCAATTCTTCCCCTTCTTCATCCTCACACTTACCGGCCTCGTTACTGTTCCCCTTACCTACACACTCCTCCGTCCGAGCCGCGACGATGATGCGCTAGCGCCACGTATCAAGACCGACTATAAGCCAGACAATGCGGCTACAGTCGAGTCGATCAAGACAGCGCGAAAGCGCAGCCAGTGGAGGGTCAAGCGGTTCATTTTCGTGGTGATCGGCTGGGCCATCATGGCTGGCATGGGTTACCTCATTGTGGTCACCCAGCGAACTGTTCCTAAGCTTTGGAACCCTTACGATATTCTTGGCATCTCAGAGGTGAGCCCCGCGACAACTTCAGGACTCCAAATACATGATGCTAATGCCAACTGCTAGTCCCTCAGTGAAAAGCAAATCAAGTCGCACTACAAGCGACTGTCCCTCAAGTTCCACCCCGATAAGGTTCGACCTGACGCTGCCAAGAACGAGACTGTCGAATCCCTCAACGATTTCTACGTCGAACTCACCAAGGCTTACCAAGCCCTCACTGACGAGGACGTCCGCAACAACTACATTCAGTACGGCCACCCCGATGGAAAGCAGAGCTTCAGTATGGGCATCGCCCTCCCCCAGTTTATTGTTTCGGATGGTGCCGGCAAGTACGTTGTTCTCATGTACACCCTGCTTCTTGGAGTTCTCCTGCCCTGGCTCGTTGGATCCTGGTGGTACGGCACAATGAGAATGTCCAAGGAAGGTGTCCTGATGGAGAGCGCCAACAACCTGTTCCGACAATACGACGACGAGATCGAAGAAGGCGGCATCATTACTGCCCTCAGTGTTGGAAAGGAGTTCGAGGACGTTGTTAAGGGCGACAAGATTGAGACAGCGCTTTCTAAGATTGAGTCACGAATCACCGCCGATAGCGATTGTCAACCCACCGCTTCTGGCATGTCGATCAAGGACAAGGAGGCTCTCCAGGATCTCGATAACGGTGCGCGACGAAAGGCTCTCGCTCTCCTCTGGGCTTACCTTGGCCGTGTTGAGCTCGATGATCCCACTCTTACCAAGGCAAAATTCCAGGTTGGCCCTATCGCCCGTGCTCTTAACCAATCCTTCAACGCTATCACCCTGGCTTACGGCAACATCGGTCCCATCGCCAACTCGTTCTACACCAGCCAAAACCTGGTTCAGGCGGTTGCACCCCACGCTTCTCCTCTTCTTCAGCTTCCCCATGTCACCCCTGAGATCGCCAGCAAGATTGAGGGCGAATCCAAGACTCACATGGCCGTCCACCGTTTCATGGATCGACCCGATGCTCAGCGCAGACAGATGGCTATTGGCGAGGGTCTCCTGACCGAGGAGCAGTACGAGACTGCCATCGGTGTCGCTAAGCAGATTCCCTTCTTCCGTGTGTGCCGTGCTTTCTTCAAGGTTACTGGCGAGCGCTTCATCATTCCTTCTTCGCTTGTTTCTCTGGTCATCAAGGGTCGTTTCATTCCTCCCGGTACTGACGACGTTCCCGGCGTCAATGAACTCGATCTCGAGGATGTTGATCCCGCCGAGGATGATATTGACGCTATCAACGGTCGCAAGAAGAAGACTATCAAGGGCCCTGACGGCAAGCTCATCCCAATTGAGGAAGAGTCCATCCTCCCCCCTCTGACCCACGCCCCCTACTACGCCCGCGACCACTCTCCCCAATGGCACGCCTTCCTCAGTGACTCCAAGCAGGGCAAGATGGCTGTTCCTCCTTTCCACTTCGCCAAGTTCGACCAGCCTATTATTGATGACGAGGGCAAGCCCACTTTCAACATGCAGACTCTCAAGGCCCAATTCGCTGCTCCCCCTCAAGCTGGACACTACACCTTCGTTCTGCACGTTATTTGCGATGCTTACGTTGGTTTCGACACCAAGATGGAGGTGACACTTGTCGTTGAGGAGGCTAGTAAGGCGGCAGAGATGCAAGCCGAGGATGACATCAGTGAGCCTGAAGAGGGTAAGTTGCAATCGCATTCTAAGTCAGATAACTGTGCTAACTATTTTTCAGATTCTCTCGCTGGACAGATGCACCAGCTTAAGACTGGAGAGGCTCCCAAACCTAAGACTCGCAGAAAGGATTCTGACGACTCAGAAGATGAGAGTGGCACAGATGAAGAGGAGGATGACGATACCAGCGCAACAAATACAGATACCGAGGACGAGTCATAGACTGGCTCAGGTCTTTGATTTATGGATATAAAAGAACCGTAATCAATATTTCATGAACGAATTGTGTCAACTCTCGAGCATGATGCGTGTATACGGAAACGACTAATCCTTGTGTATGTATGTATTGGAAAATGGGAATAACAGAGGAAGATGATAACCCTTCGGTTTTGGGCATATGTTTCTAAGCCTAGAAACAGGTTGGGAGTTTTAGGTGTTAGTTACCTTGGGGCACAAACGTATATAAGCTTGGTGTGCTCGTTTCTCAATTCACTTAAATTATGTCCATGTTCAACCTGAAACTAGCTTTTGAGACTAAATACCTGAAGTTCATCTTACAGCACAAACAAGTTAACAGAGCAACAAACGTGATCCATGCGCCCGAATTACCATCCTTTATATCGATCAACTTGGTGCCTGTGAGGCGCGCTTCTTGTTTCCACGCATTATTTACAGAATCCTTGTTCTTCCACAATACCAGGACCTTGCGAGCATATAATATATAAAAGTTTCAACGACGCAAGTCCAGCTTTCGTCACGCACCCGGATTTTCTCAACACACTCTTACACCGCAGACCTCGACGCCCTTGCCTTCGATGCGAGCGGATCGTTCAAAGTACTTGATTGACAGTTCGCGAATGAAGAGGGCGTCAGCATCGCTCCAAACGTCAAGACCCATGCTCTCCACAGCGTGGCTGTCTACACGAATGGCGTCTGCGTCATCGGGTCCGAGGTCAGAATCTGAGGGGCGAAGTGGTGTTCTTTCACCAGAGGCTTGTGATAGACCCTCATCGTCGTCATCTTGGTCAGTGTAGGGCTCATCCTGGCTGTCAGCTAGATCGGCTAGTACAGATAGTATTTGTGTTGTCAGGCGGTGGAAGTAGGCGATGATGGCGAGCTCAAACTGGGCCTCGCCCGAATCATCAGGGGCATGGCGACTGGCGTTCAGAGAACCAAGTGAGTCAGATAGCTGCCCGGAACGAGAGCCAGGACGAGGCATGGTCATGGACGATGGGCCAAAGTCCGCGAGTAGAGAAGCATCATGGGTTGCTTCTTCTTGCTGTTCCGAGCGTAATTGTTCACCAGCGCTGGCCCACCACATATAGCCATTGTAGGCAAAAGCTGCCCAGGTCAGGGGCTCAACGACCTTTTCGACTGCATCGTCTCGTGGGTCACGGACAATGTGGTTTGAGTGAGTAGAGACCCTGCGTGTGAAACGCTCTTCTTCGGGCGATTCTGGGACCGTGCTAGGTGTCTGGTTGGTAGCCGCAAGACGAGAAAGACCGTTCTTCAGAGAAGTAAAGCGTCGGAGATCTCGCTGAGTAGCCTTGATCGGTTGTCCACGAGGACATTCCACCACGGGCCAAACCCTTTCTGTAGCATTAGATGAGTAGTCAGGGGGCAGAGTGATCAGCATATCCCATAGTGTATCCTTCATGGCAAGGATGCTGTCAGTAGTACATGCGATCCAACCCGAACCTGATTCATCATCTATCACATCCTCGTCATTCTGTTTTCTCTTGGAAGCTTCAAAATCGTCCATGAGGAAGGGGATGTCGTGAACACCAATGGAGAAGAGTGGTCTCAGACGTTGTGTTGAGGCTGAGGTAGGGAGTATATCGGTAACAGACAGGGGTATGTTGGAAAGAACAGACAGATTATATACTGAGAAATACTTTAGCAAAAGACCGTATGAGCAAAGTATGCAACTTACCAAAATCACAAACTTCATGAACTGGAGCATGGCACGATATTAGAATACGCTTCCGCAGCAATGCGGCGCGATGTATGGGAAAGATGAGAGGACCAAATTTGTCCAAGAGACTGGTCAAACTCCAGGCAGGGTGGTATGGCGAGAGCTTGTTTCCAGGTTGTGTTAGAGCGGCGCCATCAGAAGCAGATCGGTTGCGGTTATGGGTCTTGCGTTGAAATGGTTGTGAGATGAGAGATGGAGAGCTCACGGGGGTCTCTCCTGACAGACAACGGTTGCCGTTGCTGGCCTTTTCGCGGTTTGCAACCCAGTATTCCTCGAGGATGCTCGTGTTCTTGCGATCTTCTGCCAGCTTTCTATACAAGACGTCAGCCAAGTCCAACTGCGCATGGGTTGATTGATACGTACGCAGCCATTTCCTTCAATCCTTCAGCATGTCTCCAAGCGCGACCCAAACGACCATAGCTCAGGGGGACCAAAACTCCAACTGCAAACATCCTCGCATTTCGTGCCTCCTCCTCATCGCAAGGCATGTTGACAAAGGCGCTGAGGCCGGCATGAACGCTATCGTGGACGAAGTAGATGAGGTCTTCCGAGACAGTATGCAATCCAGAAGGAAGTGACTTGTACTCGACGAGACCTTCGAGGTCAATGCCTGGTGCATTTTGTTTCCAGAGAATTGTATATCCGGCCTTGACGTCGAAGTGAATAAGGAAGAGAGCATCGATAGGAGGACGGTCGGTAGGCTGGTTGGTAGGCATACGGACGGAAAGCGAGGGTTGACCTCGGCGAGAGGAAGCCATGGTGATTGGATTATCGCGAGACGCGCATTATATGTCGACTGAATAATTGAGTGCGCGCGAACAAGCGAGCGCTTGAGTCGAGGGTTTGTGAGGGGAACAGGTGAAAGATAGAATGTGATAAGTGATAGCACGCAAGCGAGAAGCGAATTGGAGCAATAGGCGAGTTGAGTTCAAAGATAGACGATGGGAGGTTCAGGGGATCTGATGAAGCTGTATTATTATATTGAGAGATAGAGCGAAAGCCAGCGATAGTCACAATGAATTGGACACAGCCCGTTGAGGTGGTGATGATGGACGTGTTGGAGTTGAGTCTGGCTTACAGTGGTTACATTAGGTGCCTACCTCTTAGGTAGACCAATAGCTCCAGGTAGCTATCGATAACATCGATTTATCATAGCATCTGATAGGCGCCCTGCACGTGATTCGATACTAGTAAAGATAGTAGATAGTTACCTATCGTTTGTTGTTTTTATTTGGATGAACCTTGATAGAATATTTTGATAGTATTTATTTTGCCATGTATGGGAAGATAATCTAATTGTCAGTTCACATGTCTCAGACTCAACTGGTTCTGTACTACATTCTGAAAAGGGTGTGCTTTGACAGTCCCGTGATGCCGGATTGAATCTGAGATGCTACCTCAGAAATATATCTGACTTGTAAAACTCCACGTAAGACTAAGCAAGTCTTATTACAAATTTCTACAATAAAACGCATTATGTATGTAATATGGGAAGGTCTTTGTTTAAAGATTCTGTCTCAGAACTACCAAGACCCAGCTCCGGTGTTTGAGTGTAAATAACCTCGATACGCATGCCTGGTCAAGGCTATCAGACAAAAGTCAACTAATAAAGTATGGCGTGTCCTGAATCGATTGTCCTGGAATTTATCATGGCCTCGATCTATAAATTAGGCGAAGTTGACTCTTGATCCAACCTTGTCATGATATGTTGCATTGAAGCGAGAGTCAAATAGTAGATAACCATTCAACAGAATGAGAAGAAAATCCCGCAAGAATAATGTTGACGTGTTTCTCTTGATGATCCGAGTAAGAATTCCATAAACAAATGCAATATAAATTCAATAAAGATACAACTTGTCTTGGCGATGCGACAGTTGGTTGTTGAATATTGCTGAGTCAAGATCCTTGTCGATATTTTTGGGGAATTCAGTTCATCCTCGGCGTCGACTTTCACAAGCCATTCAGTGCTAAACTCCCTGTGCCTGTGACATCACATCTCAACCAATCAAAGCATCCCAATCAAGACGTTCCCGTCCCCGTGTCAAGCGGCCGTTTTAATCTATTTTCCCACCATCTTTTGGATACTCGAATGATCTTGTGATGACATGATATTCCCTCATTTAGTTGTCTTATATAGGAATACCTCTTGAAAGTAGTTGATCAGAATCTATAGTCCTCTATTAAACTGTAAACTGATATTCTGTTGTATAAAGTTCCAGACTCTCATAGAAAGTTACAGACGAAAAAAAGGACCCCGCCATCACCGCAATTGACCTACTGTACCTACCCACTCAACAAACCAACCCCCCGCCAAATCCTCTCCATCCCAGCTGACCTTGTCCACTCTCTACTTCTTGACCTCTACCTCTACCTCTACCTCCCTCTCAGCTGTCTCACTATATATCTATATCTACCTATCAGCTGTCTTTACATCCTCAACTACCTACGGTACGGTACGGGACGGTATAGACAGCCGCTAAATCGCCCATCATGTCTTTCTCCAGCATCCTCACCTACTTCGCCCTCGGCTACGCTGCCTTGACCATCTTCTTCTACGCCATGTCCCTCGTCATTCCTCAAGCCGCCTTCGCCGCCCGCGCTCTCGCTTCATACATCTCGCTCCTCATTGTTGCGGCCTACGGTGTCTTTGCCTCCATCTTCCTCACTCTCATCGGCAAGCAGGGCATCGCGCAATGGGCTGTCGGTCGCTCATTTCACTACCTCATGCTTTACACCACCGGTGTTGAGTTCGTCATTGAGGATCCTGACAATGTCCTCGGAACCACGCGCCCTGCTGTCTTTGTCGGCAACCACCAGACCGAGCTCGATGTTCTCATGCTGGGAAGAATGTTCCCCAAGTACTGCAGTGTTACCGCCAAGGCTTCTCTCAAGAAGGTGCCTTTCCTCGGCCAGTTCATGTCCCTGAGCGGCTCCATCTTTATCGATCGCAAAAACAGCAAGGATGCCCGCGATGCTATGAAGGGTGCTGCGAGCGAGATCCAGTCTAAGCGACAGAGTGTATACATGTTCCCCGAGGGTACTCGAAGCTACGCCAAGGAGCCCATGCTGCTGCCTTTCAAGAAGGGCGCTTTCCATCTTGCTGTCGAAGCTGGCGTTCCCATCGTACCTTGCGTCGTCGCAAACTACAGCCACATCCTCTACCCCAAGACTTTCACCTTCAAGTCTGGAAAGATCCCTGTCAAGGGTATGTATATCGTAAGCCATTGAGCCTGCCCACAATTCTGACCGTATACAGTTCTTAAGCCTATTCCCACAAAGGGTCTCACCGCCGCCGATGTCGAGGAGCTTACCCGCACAACACGCGAAATCATGCTCAACGAACTCGTCACTGTCACAGCAAAGGCCCGTGGCCAACCTGTGGCCGTGCCAGCCTCTATCTCTAACTCAACAAGCGGCAAGAGCTCTGCCATCGATACCAATGGATCTGCGCAATAGATATGTCCTATTAAAAGCAGAAGTGCTGAAAAGAAATCCAACGAGAAAAGGAGGTGGAACATAGGAAAGTGTGCGGAATTCAGGAAAGAGGAGTTTGCGAAACGGGGAGTCACGTCGGATGTAAAGACTTGAGACAGCCTTTTGATACCCCCATAGACGCATGAGGCGGCTTGTGCTCGATTTGGGCTTGAGCAAAGCCGAACTGCTTTTGTTTACTGTTTGTGCTTTTGTTACTCTGCTTATTAGTGGCATGAATATCCCCCATTTTAATCGCATCATGGAATGGATAGATATGTGTATATACACGGCTAACACCTGTCGAGCTTCGCTATTCTGAAAATGTGAACTTTGATTGATTTTGGCAATATACACACACATCTCGTGTTTCATTTGATATCATCTATCATATCGAATCTCAAAACCGGAGGACCTAAACGAGATGCAACTCCAAGATCGCCGAACCAGAGGTATCTCGCCATGCTTCCATAAACCCATTACAAGAAAATACCGCTACCAGATAATTTAAAGTCCCAGAACAGGAGAAAAAGCCGCCCAAATTTTGAATATAACAAGACCACCCGACTGCAGGCTTACTCTCTAAGCGCTTGCAGTGCTTGGGTCAGTGACACCACCCTCAAACTTCGACCCCTCTTGAGAGATGTTGAAGTGTGGGTTGCCGTAGGATTCAAATCATCACGCCAGAACCGGAAAACACGCTTGAGATCTCGAGGAATGCCCTCCAATACGACAGTGGATATGGGCACAAATGGACGATCCTCCATGCCAGCGGCGAGGATAGCATACTCTTGGGCAAAGTCGAGAGCGTTGCGGAAGGATGAGTATTGTGACTGAGCAGAAGCGCCAACAATGATGTACATCTCGAAGAAAGCGTCGAGGACATAGATGTGTTCGCGAGAGAGATCGTGTTGGCTGAATGGTGCGATCTCAAAGACCTGCTGTCGTGTGTCTGCATCCGAGCAGAAGAGCCGGCTGCAGTACTTGGCGTAGTTGGGCTTGAGTTTCCAGTGATCGGCTGAGTGGGGCTTTGATCCTCCCTCAAAGAGCCGCCAGAATGACTCAGGCTCGTCACCATCATCGACTTCGATCAACTCGCCAGTAAGAGCAAGCTCGATAGCAACCAGCTTGGCCGCGCTCAGCTCTGTCACATCGCATCCTCGTCCCTTCCAGATATAGGCCTTACCCTGACTTGTAAGAACGTAGACGAATCCTGCGCACAGACTTGATGGGTTAAAGTCGCATTCGTCGAAAGCGACCTGGCCCTGATAGCGCCGGCCGCAAAGCATGTTGTTTGCTAACGAATCGTACTTGTTGCTTGAACCCCTTCTGACCAGGACGACACCACCGAGAGCTTGTAGAAACTCGGTTGTCTCTTTGCCCTGCTGCATCTTGACGATCTTACCACCCAAGGCCTTAGCCTCCTTTTGAACGAAAAGGAATGCATCGTCAGCCGCAGACTCTGGTACTTGGTCGCCAACCCAGAAGTAGATCTCTAGTCGCTTCCATCCGGCCTCGTTTGTGAAGCTATGAGGGGCAATGTACATCTCACGCTCAAACAGCGTCCGCTCGTAGTGAGACGCCACGGGTGTTTTCTTGCCCTCTGCTGAGATTTGGAACACTTGAAAGCTGAGGCTTTGGATCTTCACGGGGCCTGTTGGAGGTCGGTTCATCAGAAGCTCTGCAGCATCCACCTTGTACTCAGCCCTTGCAGGTTTCGGTCCAAAGAAGTCAGTCAGCAAGCTCGCGACATCACTGCCCTGGCTAGGAGTCTTTGGCGGGGCGGCTGATGGTGTTTGTTCAGGCCGGGGAGTGACTGGCGCCTTGGGGGTTTCCGGTGCCTTGGGAGTCTGAGGCTCCCGGGTGGGCGGTGTGGGTAAGGGACGGGTGGCCACTCGAGACGGGGTCTTGTTGACTTGAAGAGGTGAAGAGCGAACAGGATCAGGAAGAGGACGAGGCGATGCTTTTGGCGGGGGTGTCTTGACCACAGCAGGCTCTGATCTGTCCACCGAGGGTTTAGCAGGTAGCGAAGGAGCTTGGGCTGTACCGCCAAACATGGCTCTAGCGTTCTTGACAGACACGACCGGATCACTGTCAACCTTTGTTGGCGATGATGGCTCGGGTTCTGGCAGAGGGCGCTGCCACATCTTGACTGGAGATCGAGAACCTGTACGCTGATGCGTCAATCGCACCGGCTCTTTAGCAGGCTCTGGTGCATCGTTTGATGAGCGGTCAAGGAAACGAGACATGCGGTTGGTGTCGAGCTTCTTGGGCGAGCCGGGTTGCGAACCAGCATCGCCAGTTTTCTGAATTCTTAATGGTGAAGGATAGTCACTGGGGCCAACCTCAGGTTTAGAGGGTTCCTTAGAAGAGAATAAAGATGGGCGGTCTGCACGGGTTTGGAATCGTCGCGGCTCGTTCTCCTGGGGCTTAGTAGGCGTAGAAGGGGTAGGTTTTCCTCGAATAGCGGCTCTTGCGGCGACCTGTTGTTGAATAGAAAGAGGAGCGGAAGCAGACTCTTCAGTCTTCTCGGCGGGAGGGGCAGCTTGTTCAACGGGCTTGTTCTGGACTGGCTCGATAGGTTTCGGCGCGGTAGGCTTGGGCTTGGGCTTTTCCTGTGCAGATTTTGGTTCAGCTGCGGGGGTTCCGGAGGCAGCTGAGGGGGCAGTTTTGGACGGCGCTTTTCTCCTAGGACCTCGAGCTCGACCCTTAGTCATATGTGTCAGTTGCGGCCCAGGAGCGGACGGTTCTGTAACTGTTGCACTGGCAGGCCCCTTGGATTCGGATTCCTCAGGGGCCTTGCCCCCATTGGTAGCCATGGGAGGCGGTCCCCGTGCGAGCATACCAGCGAGGGCCGGGTTGAACCGTCCAGCGAGCTTACCTCCTATACCTCCTTGCAACCTGGCAGGTGAGCTCGTTTCCTTGTGCAGACCTGGTAAGCCCCGTGGCTCCTCCGGTTTCGCTCTAGATTCGGTAACTACTCGCTTTAGACCCTCGTCAGCGGCGGGTTCAGGGGCTGGTTTAGAAGCGGGCTTGGGCGAAGAAAGGGTCTGGCTGGGTATCCTTTTGGGACCTGGTGTCGGCTTGGGCGAATCTGGCTTACTCGGTGCAGGTGTTGTCTTGACATCCGCCACTGACTTTCTCCTCGCCATCTCGGCTCTCCTTGCAAGTCCTTCTGGAAGTGGGGCATCGTTCGTGGGAGTGCTGCTCCTTGAGATTCCTTTGCCATCGGCCTGGGCTTTCTTAAAGTCATCCTTCTTCTTCAAGATAGCTTCCTTGAACTCGTCCACTCTCTCGGTCTTTTGCGGGCCTCCGGTTTGGTTAAGGGCAGCCTTTCCTCGAAGGATATTATCTTTCAATGGGTCGGGAGCCACCCAGTTTTGGGTCTTGGTCCTACGTAGAGTGCCGAAAACGTTCTTGAACTCCGGCTCCTCGGTCTTGGTTACTTCTGAGCCAGTTGGTCGGTGTCTCAGGGATTTGCGGAAGTCCATCTTAGGAGGCGCCTCTGGCTTGGGCTTGGGCGAGGGTGCGGCTGGCTTTACCTCTCTGGTGGGACTTATCGAATCATCCTTGGCGGGCTCCGATGTCTTCTTCTCTTCCTCGGTAAGTTCAGGATCAGGTACGGGTTCAGAGTCGGTCTTTTCCTCAACGGGTGTTTCAGGTTCAAGTTTGGGCGCACTTCTCGAGAAGCTCAGGCTAGGTCCGTGCATACTAACAGGTCGGTTGCCACCTGGAGGAGGGGAGTAGATACCACCAAGGCCAGTTGTGTTGGTCTTTGTCGCTGTGCCCATAGGAGTAGACCTCATAAGTCCACCGATACTAACTTGGTGCTTATGAGAGATAGACCCTGGACGAGGTCGTGTACCTTCGGGAACACTTCCCTTGTTCTTGTTAAGCTCGGCCATCCATGCTGGCTGCGATGAGCTAGACTTATGATGAGACTTGTTTGGTGACTCAGGGGGCTTGTTCAAGGCACTCTCAAGCCAGCTTGACTTTGTTGGGCTCCATCTTCTGGGATCCATCGTCTTAGATGGACTAAGAGGCATAGCAGAATCTCCCAATGATGTGTCAATTGTAGGAGCGGGAGCTGCAGCAGTCGCCTTGGGTGTGACCTCGTTGTCAGATTCTCCATGTCGTGATGTTGGTCGGCTTGAGCCTGGTGTCGTCGCACCGGGTCCTGCTCTGCTTGTTGGACGAGCATTGACCGACAAACCAGCGCCTTGGCTTGATTGGATTGAATTGGCACGGTTAAGACTAGGAGGGCTAGTAACGCTCCATCGCTTGACACTGTCTGATCTCTTCATCATAGCGCTCTGAACAAAGCCGCCCATACCCTTGGTGGGCGAATTGGATCGCGAGTTGGACCGAGTGGGAGACATGCGGCCTGGAGATGCGTTCGAAAGACGACCGTCCAAAGACAGGTCTTCTCCAGCATCAAAACCTGGAGGGTTGAGCGATGGGGGGCTTGCCAGTCTCATCTTAGTAGGCGTAGCAGGCTCCTCAACGGGCTGTTCAGCTGGCTTCTCTTCAGGCGGGCTTGGCTTGGCTGGTTCAGCCGACATGCCAGGCAATTGTGCCTTAACAGAAGCCATATCTAAACGATCTGTGTCCTCGACCTGGTTCTTTCGGTAAGCAGCTGAGCTCGCCCCTCGGTCCGCCGTTTGGCGAAACCATGAAGGGTCCTTTGAACCCAGGGACTGGGCAATCTGATCCTTCGAGAAGGTCTCTTCGGTGGCTGAAGCAGAAGCGGGTGTCGAATCCTGCGACCCGATAAACGACCGTTGGGTCGCATTTTGGGTTGCGAGCATGCTTAACGGGCGGGCTGAGCCGCTGCGGGAGTTTGGTCGCCGCTGCCACGACAAGGTTGAGTAACGGGTGGGTGTTGTGGTTGCGGGCTTTGTATCGACGTCAGAAGGAGCCTCGTTCTCCTTCGTCGGTGAAGAGCTCAGATCCATTGAGGTATCTGGTTTCGCCTCAGGCTCAGCGGATTCTGAGCTACTGCGTTCCCTTGAAAATTTGGGAGAATCGAGTTTCAATGCCTCTGTGAGGTGCACACTGCGTCGACTCGAGCGTGGCGAGGGGGTGTTTGCAGGGGATGACTTTTGTGGTGAGATGGATCGGGCACGTTCTGCAATGTCAGATGGTGGTTAGCAAAGAGGACACCATCAGCAATTGTATGATTTCGGCTATCAGCAATGATATTCCACCATGGGTGAGGCAGTAAATATCAGTGGGAAATCCGAAAGTAAACAATGGATGTACGATGGGAGCCAGTTGGCCCGACAAATGAGAGGGAGAGCGCCATCAATGCAACCAGCAAAAGCCTCTGGAAGAAAATATGCAGTATTCTTTCTCACCTTCACGACGAGCTTGTCTTTCTCGCTTTGCAGCCAAGTAATCTTCGAGCTCACGAGCTCTCACTTCGTCTTCTGAGATCTGTTGACCACGCAGGCGCTCGACCTGCTCGAGAAATTGGGAGACTTCGTCGGACATGGCTCTGGAGCCTTTGGGACATGACACGGAAGAGAGTGGATGACGGCGGAGAAGGGAGGGGCACTTTGAAGAACAAGCGCAAGCGGAATACAGTGCAATCTCACGGACAAGGTTGCAGTAGGTATTATACAATGTTTTGTTTATCTCCCAGAAGCAGAGCTAGCTTGGAGATACTGTGCTTGCTGGTGGGAAGTTGATTGTAGATGGGACTGGACAGGATAGAAACTGGGTCCGGGTCTGGATCAGGTCCAGGACTAGGATGGTATCATGTCTATATGCAGTGGAAATTTCATGAGCCATCTTTGACATCTAATTGGTCCATGCCCGAACCCAGCTGTAAAGCCCACTGTAAGAGGGGAACCCAGGTAAGCTGTAGGTCCCTGTAACCAAGAAGTCTCGGGGGACTTGGTTCCCGCTGCCAGACCAAGCCGCCCACTAATTTTGACGATTTGTGCCTGACTGGATTCAATAGACTTCAATCAGGTCCCGGCCTAAAACAGGCAGATGGATGCAACCAGCAACGGACGGAATAATAGCAAAGCATCTACTGCATGAAGCTCGATCTCATGCAAAATGTGCATGAACCAGGACTCTCATCTTGCTTGCATCATGCAGACTCGGATCGCTGCTAGGTTCGATTTAATTCAAGAGTCCGAGTCTCTAACTTCCATTATCAGCTAGCAGCCTCACAAGCTGTGTCCCCGTATCCATGTGCGCCATAAAAACAAACGTCATCCTTTGTTTACTTTCGTCCATCTTCCCTTCCCCCACGACGATCCACCACAATAACAAACCCAAACCATGGCTTGGATCCGTTGAAACCTTGTCACATCCAGTTTCGTATTATTCAGTTTTATGCCTCAGACCACTTTCAGGTCCTTAGCTCATCTGCCATGCTTCAAAATATCGGGGAAATGCTACGTTATCAGTGTTGAGACAAAAAAGCTACACGCGGCGCTTAGCGATGCTCTCCCGTCCATCACCCTCGCCCGTCTTGTTCCCTGCTTCTTGGCTTAGACTAAGCTAAGTAGACTCGCAAATCTTGCGTGCTGTGTGTGTTCAGGTAGAGTTTTGCGGGACGTTGCCCGGCGTAACGAGTCTATCATATCGGGTTTCAAGTTTCAACGTTTGTGCCTTACTTATGCGTACCGTACCTATCCCACGCTTTGCAGCTGACTGCTTGCGGCTGACGACATTTGTACAATACAATTTGCAGCGAGGTCGCTAATGTTTGTTTGCTTTTGTGAACGGACCTTGCTTGTCGTAAGGGCCAACAGAAATATTGTTGAATTTGATTCAACCTTATCTTGTTTAGTAAAGGAACAGACGCCTCTTCGCATCCTCCACCACCCACGATAGTCCCTCCTTGAGATTGCTTCCTGTCATTGCGCTGCATGGGAGGATATGCCAGCGATGTGTTCGTATCGATTCCAGTTGCAGTTCCTGTGTTCAAAGTGTCAGTTTATTGTTCTTGTGTTCATATTCTGACACGTACCGAGAGAATCTCTGCTTCCGTCATACAACCTTCAACATCCGTCTTGTTCGCGAAAACGAGCAAGCTTGCCCCTGCAAGACGCTGTGCCACTTGTCAGTAACTATCCGCCCGCTAATGAGTGGTGTTGCGCACCTCTTCTAAAAGCAACCCTTGAAGCTCGTCTCGGCAGTCTTGAATGCGTAGACGATCCGTTGCGTCAACAACCCATATCAATGCATCTGTCTTTTCAAAGTAGTTTCTCCAGTATGATCGCAGTGTTTTCTGACCACCCACGTCCCCTGAAAAGTCAGCACATGTCACTCGGAACACCGAAGAGTCTTAAAAACACACATATATTGAGTTTGTACCTGTTCAGGTCGTTAGCGGAGTTTTGGTGGCAGCCAGATATGCGTACCCTTCGTAATCAATTGTCTTGATAATGAAACCCAGGGTCGGGCTCACTGTATTGACGTCTTCTCCCATAACCTTCTTCACAATAGTCGTCTTTCCTGCATTATCGAGTCCGCTGTATGAGTGTTAGCATCGTATTCCGTTCTCTTATGAAAGAAATCCTTACAGCATCAGGATTCGCATCTCCTTGTCCTTGAGTCGAGCTTTTCGCAAGATTGACAGCATTTTGATTAGGCGAAAGAAAGGCCACAAATGGAAATAAACAACCTCTTCTCTTTTTCACTTGTGCTTTACTTTTTAATCAAAAGTACCGGTCTTTGTGTGGTTCCCGGCACATCGGTGAAGTATGAAGGTCGTTGGAATCAGTTGCCTGCGGCTTTCGCAACTCCACGTGATTGGTGCTCGTCTAAACTCCATCCTTCCTTCGCATGGGGTACCTAGATCAAATGCATACAGATACGACAGCCATGAGATTAATTCGCTACTCAAACATGCTGAATCCACTGAACTACTTGATCGTTTGATCATATATACACTTTTTTCCAGTTCACTGATTTCAGATCCGAACGTCCCCAAGCCAACTAACAAGCAATGAGTATCGTAAACAAAGACCAATCATAACGACGCGATTCCTCAACGACCTTGATTATCACTGATCAACCAAATCCTCCTGAATCTCAGATGTCGACCGTACTTCCAGTTCCCATACATTCAGGGTCTTCCAGACACCTGGGTCAATTCCATGTTTGACGGCGTCCTGAAACTGCGCCACCAGCTCAAAATCAAATTTGTTCAAAAGACGCTGAAAGATGTCGACTTGGGCGTCAGACTTTCCAACAGAATAAGCCTGTACATAAACTCTGTTGTACTTTCGGAGGTTATGTGCCGATACGTATTCATATGTCTTGCGAGTCTCAGAGCATTCCCATAGGTAGTCAATTTCACTGCGGTGATAAATGTTCACGCAGGACAGTATCTTGTCGAGAAGAGCCGTTCCGACTTTCTTCTGTCGATGCTGCGGGTGAACAAACAACCTGATCAGCCCCGAGAAGCGTGAACCGTTACAAGGGGCCAGGAAGCCAATGCGTGGTTCAGTGATCACAGCAAAGCCAAGAACTTTCTGCTGCGATGCCTGACGAGACTGCTTGAACTTGAGGAATTCCTGATATTCTTCCTCTTCTTCCTTGGACCAGTTGGTACGATCTTTAATGGGGCTCGTTGAAGGAATGGCAACAATGAAGGGCCGATGCTTGCTGAGGCAATAGTCATAGAGTCCTCTAATTAGGACAATTAAGCCAGCTGGGCCGCGGCCGGCTTTGGGAAGGTATACTTGAGAGTCTTCACCTCGTTTGCGTTCTAGGTCGATAATCTCTGCAATGGCTTGAAAGTCTTCGGGCTTTGCCGGTCGCAGGGTGCAAGCAGCGTCTGGAACCTTGTCTTCCTCGAAAGTCGGATTCGCATACTTTGCTTCGTCCTCTCTTTGTTCAATTTCTTTCCTCAAACTCTCTCTGCGGGCAAGCTCTCGCTCGATACAGATACCTGAAGTGAGGTTCATTCGATGCCAATCATGCTTTGCCGAGCTGTCCCTTTGCAATTTGATGTATCGGACTGGCTCAAGGAGCTTGCCAGTGGCGGTGTCAATATCGCATTCGTTGGTGCGAGGATGTCGATCTAGGGTTATAGCATGGACCGTTGGGTAGTTGTACTTATGACTGTCCCAATGATCAACAGCTGCCGCTGCCAGGGCTAGGGCATTAGGGTCAACTTGTTCGATGTCATCCTCAAAAGTCGCCGGCACGCCTGCTGCGTTGAGCGGCTGATTCTCCTTCTCATCTCCTGGCAGTATAGGAGACCCGCTCAAGGCCAAAGATGCAGTACTGAATGATGGTCGTCGGTTTGTGGCTGACATGGAGCCAGTTGCTTCGATAACGTGAAGTGGTGCTGGTAAAGGGGCACCTTGCACATCGGTCGAGGCGCTTGAAAGTGCCTTCTCCTTTGGAGAGTTCCATGTACCCACGGAACTGCCTTCAAAGTTGTCTGTTCCTTGAGAGTCGGCTTTCACCGATGGATGCTGAGACAGGTGTTCTTCTGCCTCAGAGAGCGCCTGTGAATAGCCCGGCGACGACATGCGCACTTCTGGTTGACTTGAACGAACCAGCTGCATGTTGTTTTGGTGCGTAGAGTTGCTCATCATCTCTGCGGGTGCATGTTGAGAAGGGGCACCATTCGACATTTCTGTCGACGTTTCGAGTGCACTGTTTAACCGACTCTTCAGAACATCACTAGGAAACAACTGTGACTTGGCTGGCATGTTTCCGAAAGATTCTCTCAGTCCTTGGACTCGCATCAGTGACTTGGTGAGGTTGGGCGAAGGAGTATTCTCCTTCTCAGCCCGGCTTTGACTGCCGTGCACCCACGACATGATGCGTAAGGCGCACTGTATTCTGTTAGATTATTTGACAAAAGGGTACTTAATACTCAATACTCAATACGAACCTGCGGTTGGTCTGTGTCGGTAAGTCACACCACTGACGGGAACTGGCAGGTCAAACAGCGGGCGGGTAAAGCCAAGACGAGATGAACAAATAACAAAATAATATGAGCGTTTTCATAGAACGAAAACACTGGGGTGACTAGGTAATAGGATGTGTGAGTGCGGAAAGGTATGATCAGGCTTGGTGTTGATGAAGCACTTGAGGTGTACGCACTTCTTTCCTCAGGCAGTTATGTGGGAACTCCTCGGTTGCTATGTGAATTACCTCATTGATAGTCTGTGAATCACGAGGAGGGGGTGCCTAGCCTTAGGCAGAAGGGAAAAGAAAAGGAAAGAAGAATGGTTGCCAGCTCTTGCCAGCTGGTAGGAGGCAGCGGAAATTGCAGTTGCGTTTTAGAGCCCCGACCGCCCTGACTTTGGCTTCGAACCCTCCATATAACAGTAAAAAGTCTCAACTATCACGTAGTAAGTAGTCAGTAGTATCCAGACATGGTTGTTGATTATTGTAAAGGGTACATCAGACTTATATGAATCGCGGGTAGGTGCATAGACGGTAGTCGACCAGTTCAACTATTCGATAAGTTCCACGCTTGTCCATGTTACGGGTCACTATCACATGTGCATACGAAGGGTAATAAATCAAAAGACATAATATATAGCTATATCTTGACATAAGAAACTGTTGTGGCAGGGCTCTGCCGTGTCCTATTCTCCTGGGTATATCCATCTCAACAAGCCATGATATAAAAACAAATGAAATCGCACGGTAGACATATATAAAAGAAAGACTCCTCCACTATTCTTCATTCTCATACTCCTCAATCATGCTAGCTCTGTTCTCTTGCAAACTGTTCCAAAGGCTGTTGCCGCGCTGGTCTCGCGACTGTCGATGTGCGGCTCTGCTTCGTCCACTGTGACTCGAAGCTGCACGGCTTTCTCGCAATCGGCTTTTTGGTGGAATGGCCGGAGTAGTGTCATACTGCTGAGAGCGTCGAAAGCCAGGGTGATCGGAGTATACGCTCGAGGCTGCTGCAACCGAACGGGCATCCGAATTCTGTCGAGTTGGTGTTTGGGTTTGCGGCGCTCCGGAGGCTGCGGGTGGTTCGCGGAAATCAGAACCAGGTGCCAGGCCCCATCGCTGGCAAAACTCGAGGTGTGCTTGATTGTCGGCAAACGTGGTGAAGAGAGAATCGTTATCAATCTCCCTGTTGGGCGCGATAGGGGCACGGCGAGTAGGCGAATCTCCAACTACAGACTGTGGGGGAGAGAACACTGAGACAGGCTCCCAAATCGATTCTGCAGGGTCGTTGTCAGAAGTACTACGGGGCGGAGTAGGTGGCTTCTGAGGCTTCTTGGCCAGGCTGAGTGGTGCTGGGATAGCACTTGGACTGGAGAAAGAAGAGATTGCATCATTTTCGAGCTTTGGCTCAGCATCGTTCTGCAGCCGATCGCCCGCCGACATTCCTGCTGCATCTTGTGTATAGTCACGAAAGGCGGGGTGCATGTCCTGTTCAAACATCTCCCGGCGCTTTGATGCTGTTAAACCTCGTTTCTGCATCTGACAGTCCAGATAGATCGACGCTTGGCAGGCTTCGTCTGTATCCATCCATTCTTGCTCGGCTTCGGTATTGTATTCGTGTGATGGTCTGGTTTGGTGGCTACCTTCCATGCTATAGCTTCGAGAACTTGCCTCGCGGGATGTTCGCTTCCGATGACCATGAGCAGGCCTTTCATCCGCTTCATGCGTATTTGAATTCCGGTGACGGCTCGATCTAGACAAGTCAGATATAGGGCGGTCCTTCTCCAAGGTTCCGAGGATTGCATCCAGATTGTCAAGTTGCTGACGAACTTCGTGACTTCCAGTCACGATAGCCTTGCGAACATCGGCTTTGAAATGTCCAATCCAGGACTCTACCACTCGGAGCAATCTAGGGGTTTTCAGGCCTTTGTCGAAACGGCGATCGCGACGTCCAATCATGGATGCTCGTAGGTAGGTCAGTACCTGAGGTCTGCCTCCAATGGCCGCCATGATACAGGCCTCGCACTTGCTCAGGACCTTGTTCTGATTTGGACAGACGCGATCGTAGCCGAAGGTGGCATTAAAAGCATCCCGAGTCATCCAAAGTCCAGTCACCGCATCCATACGATCTAGCCATAGAAGTATAGCAGGAGGGAAATCGATGTATCGACGCCAGTAACGAAACCGATGAATACGTACAGTGCACTCAATTATGATGAGTCCCATCAGGCGCCGAATCAGTTTGGGATCGAGGTCGTGATGGGCATCACAGAGGCAGGCTGTAGGTCTTCCATCATGTACATGTCGTGGTGCGAGGCTGAAGTTCTCTAGTCCGGATGAGATACGCTTCCAGAGGTTCTTCGAACGCCGGTTAGACTTGTCGAGTCGAGCGACACCATCGAATTGTGACTGCAGCCACACCTGATTTGGCATAACTGCGTTGACGCTTTGGTCCATCCATAGCAGTTCCGTAAGTTGGTCCAGTTGATAGTCCGAGATGTCGCTGAGCGGGTAGTGCTCATCCTCCTCGAGAGGTCTGTTGTTTGCAGGATTGGGTGCCATGATGAATGCTGTGATACAAAAGTGGCAAGATTGCTTAAATGTTCGAATAACAAGCGCTCGACAATATAACTTTTCGCTGTTGCTTTTTGTCAATCTAGAGAAAGTTTGTCTTCAGCGGTTGCATGCATTAGTGTCAAAGCATATTCGAATCATCTGCTATCAAGCCTTATATACCCGATCAGTCACAAGAAGCAGTCACGAACATGCACATTTGAGTGACTGATCAGCATGTGTGAGTTTTGTGCACTCCATCGAGAAGTGAACAGTCGAGTTATGCAGCCTAGCCCTGTGGATCGAAGAGCTCGTCCTCGCAATGTTCAGCTTTCTGTGACCGAGCACCGCTTTGTTCATGTCAACCCTCCTAGCTGTTAGCAGAGAACAGGAGATCTTGTAGCGTTGTACACTTACCTATATGTAAGATTAGGCAAAGTTGAAGTCATATGTACAGCAGCAGCTTACAAACATCGAGAACAAGCCACAGATACGGGACATTGAATGAATAGATGAGTCCGGTAACAGTTGAGTATAGTGGGGCATGGTTCTCGTGGAACATTGTGCGATTTTTTATTTGTTCTGACAAAGGGGACAAGATGAACAGTATAGTTAGTTGTTCGCATATAGCTTGAGCCGAAATAGGCCCATCAACGCCTTCCATCGAAATGCAACATTCCTTCCAATCACAGCGTTGCGTAAAACAACCGCCAATGACAACTCCCGGTATAAACAGAAAAGATAACGAGAAAACGTCGGCTGTAGCACTAGAGTACAATAGCAAAATCGGGGCGGCATCAGACAGTAGATCCTATCCGTACGTCGATGCCCATCACTTCGTAGCAACGCCATGAAAATCCAGAACTCCGTGATCATGCTCATATGTCGTTAGTGGGGTATCAGACGCATGCCATCAACGGACATATTGATTTCTTGAAGCCTGCTCCATCCGTAACCTCTCTTGGCGGATCTTAGCAGCCTCCGTACCATCATCGGGCTGGGCCATCTCTTTGAGCCACGGGTGCTGCAACGCTTGCTTCGCAGTAATACGCTGAGCAGGGTCATATACAAAGATCTTTTTGAGCAGATCAACAAAGTTCTTGAGGAAAGGGTTGTTTCCAGGAATGATGTGCTGTTGTCTATTAGCTTGAGTCATACAATGTCTAGTCGAAAGGCTACTCACGTCAAGATGTTTCATGGCCTTGACAAAACGACGAGAGCCACGAGTTGTATCTGGTGTAGGATAATCGAGCTTGAGACGCTTGAAATATCTGGGCGATGTTAGTTTGTGAAAAGCGAGGCATTTGAAGAGATACTAACTTGGAAGCGGCATTACCGCTGTTTCGAGTCGACATCTTGTTAACAGCCTGCACGAGATGGCTGTCGATTCGTGACCCAACGACTGCCTCCATCATTGCCAGATGTTCAAGGTTATCGTGTGTCTGGAAGAGAGCATCACCCGTGAAGAACTCGACCAGGATGCATCCTATGCTCCAAATATCGCAGGGGAATGACCAGCCCAAACCGAGGATGATCTCTGGGGCTCGATAATGGCGTGTTGAAACGACTGAAGAGTGGTATTCGTCTTGGAACGTGGCAGAACCGAAATCGATCAATCGGATTTCGGTATCGAGTAGAACACGGCGTTGCGTAGCCTGGCGGTTAATGGTTGAAGAAGATGAAGGGATCTTGCGGTTATAAGTAAAGGTCTGGTATGCGTGGTCACACAGCAAGATGTTCTCAGGCTTGAGATCTGTATGGATTAAGTTGAGATCGTGCAAAACTGCAAAAGTCAGTATGAGGTCACCAAGACTGTATATCTTAATACTCACAGGCAACGCTGGTGAACAGCTGGCGCGCGAAACTTTGGATTTGGCTGTTGGGGAAAGGAACGAAGCCGTTGCCCTTGAGAAAATCGAAGACGCTCTGGTCAAGCAGATCCATGACGATACAGATGTGGCCGCGGTAATCAAAACAGTCTCGTAAATGGATGCATCGGTTACGGTTCTCCTCGTCATTCCGTTTCAGAGTCTCAAGAACGCGAAGCTCAATCCTGGAGGCATCTCTGTACTTCTGGACTGATCGAATGATTTTGACGGCGACAGCTTTGTTACGTTTGCGGTCGCGGGCTTCAACAACTTTGCCAAAGGTTCCTTGACCTAGAAGGCGGACGATTTGGTCTATGGAGTGATTAGCAATTAAGTCGGAGACAAAATCGATGATTACTTACACTTCTCTGTAAGTTCGGCTTCGGGAATGACAATATAATGACCGTCATCGTCATCGACCTTGACGTTCTTGTTATAATGTCGCTATAAGCTATGTCAGTAAACCATCACTAAACTCTTGGATCAAGGCGGAGTAAAAACTCACGTCATGGATAACCTGAACATTAACCTCGCCAGCCTTCTTAGGAGGGTAGGGTGGAGGCTTGTAGGTGAATTGATCTCCAAAACCATCAACATCGCGACGCTTGGCTTCGTTAGCCACCTGCTGACGGGTGCGCTTTCGCTTGAGAGGAGCCGCATCCTCGTACTGGCCGTTGGACGAGAGTGAAGTCGGGGCAGTAGTGTTAAGAGCAGAATTGGTGCGGTCACTACTCGAATTGGATGAGCCAGCAGGCGTTGAAACCTGCGCCGGGGTGTTGTTTTTTGATCCAAGGTATTTGATGTGGTAGCCCGAAGCCTGGACAGTGCCAGTTTCTTCGTCTCGTCTCCTCTTCTTGGCCGCTTGACGGTTCGTATTATCGTTGGGCGCGGTAACAGTACTATTCGTAATCTTCCGGCTGGTATTTGCTTCAGGTTCGGGCGTATCATCAATTACGATGATTTCCTTAGGGAGACCATTCTTGTAAAAAGTATTCCAATCGGGTTCGCGAGAGCGACGACGCTTTCTAGAGGGCTCCGCGTTGGAAGCAGAGGCAGGCTCAGCCATGGTGCCAGTCGAATAACCCGCGTCGTTTCGCGGGCTAGGTTCCTGGACGTGATGTGCAGAGCGAGAAGTCGACGAATGTGTCAGGCCGATACCATTCGATCCTGAGGATGAGTACGCCAAAGGTGAGAGTTGGTACGGAGGAGGCAGAATGGCACTGTGGGAGGGCGAGACAGCTGAAGAAACCGGAGGAGGTAAAATATTCTGATTCGAAGCAGCGGGACGGTAGTTGGCGCTGTGGTTTGGCTGGTATGTCTGATGGTGCGAGTGCGAGTGTGCGTATGATTGCGGATAATGGTGAGGATGATGGTAGTGTGGAAGCGTGGCCGTGGCCGTGGTAGGTGTTGACATGATGGGGGAGCCGAAAGCCACCCAGGGCTCAAAAACAGAAGATATAGGTAGCGATCACGAAAAACAGAAATGAGGTATATGCGAACGTGCCGGAGCAGTATCGGTCGGTGCAGGAGACCATACAAATCGTCGAGTCGATTCGTATGTAAAGGTTTGCTCAAGACTCACATACGAGTGCGTCGTGGAAGAGGAGGAGGAGCGATGAGCGAAGAGAGGCGAGAGATAGAACGGGGAAGGGGACCCGGGGGCGTCCCTTCCAGGTTAGTGGTTTTGGTTTGGTGTACGATGGTTATGGTGGTGACGGGAGGTGGAGGTGCAGCCGGGAGAATGAGAGGGCAGTTCAGAGAGTGGATAGATGGGCTGGGCGTGATGACCACCCAGTGAGAAAAGCTCAGCGGTCTCAGAGTGTAGTTAGGGGGATGGTTCAGTGAGTTTAGCACCTAGAATGACACTATGGGCGGGCCCTGGGGCGTTGGTTTTGTGTGGAAATTCAGGGCTGCGTCGGCTTCCCACTCAACCTAATCCAATCTTGCTTTTTCTCTCTCAGATGATTTCTGTATTGAGTGTGGGGATAAATAAAGAGACAAGGGCAATAACAAGAAGGAAAATGAGCAACGGTTGAGTGGAGTGACTTCTGTTCACAAATCTGCCCCAAGCTCGGTTGAAGGCGTCACGGGCATCCATTTGTCTTGGAAAAAGGCGTTGGCCAAAAGTTACTGGGTGGCCGGGGGAGTGCTGGGACAGCCCGACTAGAGGGATCCATTTAGGGTGACGTTGATTCAGATAAAGATTCGCTTCCGAGTACATTTTACATGGCGGTGACGTCCTAACGATAGCAAGTATATTCGGCGTCATCTTCAACAGTCCCCATCTGGAGTGTGGATTTGTCATTTGTCACTCAGGTTGGTGTTGTGTTGTGTCCAGCCAGTCTCCTCTCCTTTCGGGTTACGATTTTGGGGTTCAAGACGACGTGGAATTCCCGTGGAATTTACAGAGGTACTTTGTTTGGAAAGTGGCGGCGTCGCGATCCGGCATAAGCTGGGAAGGAGGGTGCTCACTCTATTAAGGGTACATTTGTACTTAGAGAGCCCAAGAGCATCAAGAAAACCAGGGTCCATGAAGGGTCGCTTTGGGGAAAATGGCCGAGTGAGGCAAGGCAAAATAGGCCCATTCAGCGTGATGAATGGCGGGCCTTTAAAAGGCCAACACCTCTAACTTTCACTGTAAAGAATTACCTGCAGGGCAGCAGGCATGATTGCAGAAAAAATGCAGCCCCGAAACTATGCAAAAGATACCTTCAAAGGCATATGTGATTGTTGCCAAGTTTAATTCGATTATGTAGGGATATCCTTTATTGGAATCAACACTCCCATTGCAAGGCTTCTGGTTTCTAATATCGCTAGATGGTCCTAGGCTGTCTTACTCTTGAATTCATTCAAACAATCTAATGTGAGAAAGGGCAGGGACCAACGTGTGACGTGACGCTACAGGAGACCCATAACGAAAGGTTGACAGCAGAAAGCACCCATTAAATCTATCTCAAATACTAAAAATTGCTTCCTTCAGTATCTCGGGGAGGGCTTGTATCTCGATGAGTCAGTTAAGAATGCAAGATTCCCGAGTTATTACAAGTTTAGGTTTTCTCAAAAGACTATTTTTACTTATTTTCTGCCCTGTTTCTGCCAATTTGCGAGGCTCTTATCGTGTCATGATGGTACCTGCCTGGGAGAGGATGACCTGAAAGGACCAACTAAAGGAGGGCCCGTTTCGCGATTGATGCCGCAGGTACAAACCCGACGCTGACCCACAGGTACCCTCCTCAGGTCAACTGTTTGTTTTAGCTCAGCTTTGCACGCCATGGTACATCGGAGGTTTCATGATAGGGGTACCTTCCGCTTGCTCCTTCTCCCCAACCAAGAAGGTGAAAAAGGAAAACACAATGTGCCTTGACCATCACCAGCACCTTGCTTTTGCTCGTTCTCTTATTCGATTCGTCCCATATCTTAAATTTCATGCCTTCTATCGAGTCGACATTTGGTTATCTGTGTAATTTCAGCGAGCTGATATAATAGGTACCAAACACCGAGCAGAAAGATTACAATGCGAGCGATGCTAGATCTACGTCATGAGGCCCATTCACGGGCAGGAACGCCATATCCATTGGTACCGCATCGCACCTGAGCTGAACACGACCCTACAGAAACACAAATCCACACACCACGAAACATGTGCCTTGCCTATCCGTACTATCGAATTAGAACGTGAACAACCGCCTCTGCCTTCTTTGTACACGTTTGAGATTTTTCATGGCGCTGGTAACAGAGCAGACATTTACCTCTACAGTTAAGTCAGGAACGCATTGCAAATATGCTTCGGCTCGCCCGTTGGTACCTCATTACGACTAGAAAGAGAGTTCAACCTTTATCGTCTGGACGAGTCTAGCTGGGCACTCAAGCACTGTATCTACCACATTTCGCCCCAGGGCAGGGTGACGCCGGTAGTGGGCCTCTGGTCAAACCGCGCTGTGTCTTTCACGTTGCATCTTGAATTACTTTGTACAGTACTGTATTGTCTGCTTGTCTCCGGTCACGCTCATCCATATCGAACAAGAATTCGGGAAGAAGGGGCTGATAACAGTATTTGGATGTGTACAATGGCAAGAGACGACTTCTCCCGCTGTTCAGCTTCTTTCTTTACAATTCGCTGTCTCTCTTATTGAAGACCCCAGACAATGAGGAACCCCCACATTTACTGGGCGTACGGTACAACCTTCGAATCATCCCGGGCCTGCGGCCGTCGAGGTTCCAGAGCTTCTCTGCACCATTTCAGCACGGCCATCAATGGCTAGTGGGCAGTCTTCTAGACCTCGATGACTGTTGGGCTTCGCTAATGAGAGGCCAGTGTTTTCGCGCTCTCCGACGTTATTCGTCACAGCATTACCCTACAGCCAGACAACAAAATGCACTAGCTGTGTTTTAAGAACAATTGATGCAACACCAAGTCAGACTTGTGATTACTCGGGGTGATTTCGATTGTCAGTGAAAATAGCCCTCGATGACAGAGGTCCTATGGATTACTTTACAGTCGTTACGAGTGGAGAGATACATGAAGCTTGGTCGATGTGATATTCACTCATGCGCATGCACGTACATTCGACCACTGCCTTGCGGCACATGTCCACGTCCCACCCGGCGATGGATCCCTACATCCGACTAACAGGTGTTAACCCCAGGTCCCTTCAACGTTGGTCGCTGAGCCCCAGGCTTACTGATGGACTGGGGCTCCAGATGGGTCTCAAAACATACTGGAAATCTTTTTGCTTCACCTTCCAAAGAGTTTACCATGGGACGTTATACATAGCATTGTCGGTTCCAACATATGGCTCATAGCCGAAGTCAACAAGACAGCAAAAAGCAGAACCAGGGACAGCCAGTGGGGGATGTTGCTGGTAATTCTGCGCGCCACGGCCAGATGATGGGGGTCCATTAGTTCACTATTTCTTATTGGCTGCCCTGATTCTCATCCTCAATTTGTTGGCGCTCAGTCGTCCCTGGAGTCGGTGCTTCTTCCGTGCACTTAACGATTTGTCTGCCCGGCCGGATATTTGAATCGCAAGAACCATCGTTTACAGCTGTCATGCCGTGCTATTCATAGTTTCACTATGCCGAGCCGATACGCTACGTGCTTGAAAGTCAACGGCATCCTTCAAGTAAATCCGAAATTGGCACTACAAGAGGTCTTCGTTCACTCCTGAGTTTGTACAGTATTTACAGTACAATAACTCACAGGCCCTTTTTGAGCTCGGCGTTTCCTGTTTAGCTTCAGGTTGGCTTAACAGTCTCAGCAGTGGCCCCTTCTACGCAATCCAAGACGATTGACAAGTCAATACGTGCCCCACTTCAGAATCGTCACCAAACGTGACGTCTAGGAGTTTCCTTCGACGGGGTCAGATCCCGTCATTTCATGAGGAGTACACAAATGCTTGTGTAGTAACAATAACCTCACTTGTCCTGCTTGTCCTTGCGGAACACAGCGATCAGTAAAAGAAGATTCTGGACATTTCCCATCCTCCTTCCAATTGTCCCAGCATGCGGTCCTGTCATTTGCCTGGCCTCATTCCTTTAACCGGCGCGAACGCGTCGGCTTAGCATCTAGCCCAGGTTAGCCCTGTCGATCGGTGGCGATAATTCTGACTACTTGTCTGCTCTCCTGCGAATGACAGAGGAATTGAGCCCTCGGCTACTGCTTCGTGATAATATCGGTTCCGATATCATCACAATCACATCGTCTCTTATATGGCTCTGTAATCTCTCAAATTTGGTGTCGGTTTTAATGCTGTGTAGGTGGTTCTCGTGCGCGTTTCGATTGGAAGTTGCTGCTGTTACTCGCTACCCAGGTAGTCGTACAAATGAGAATAACTCTATTGAGACCAGTTTCCGATCGATGTTGAGTTTCGTAAAGAACTCCTCAGTCAAATACCTTAACTGGCATGCTTGTTGTGGCTTATTGGTCTCTCGAGAGCTGGTCTGATCACCAACATTCTGAAGGTCTAAGGATCGACTGCGAGCACAATATCTAAAGCTGCGAAACGCGTTTTAAGTCCATTTTTATACTGCTGATAATACTAGAAAGTCTAGCTCTATGGATTGATCGAGCCAACTATGGTTGAAAACCACCCTTCTCCTCTACGCTCTGGTATACCATTCAGCTCTGATACGCTACGCTCTCGGGTTACAGAGAGCTTTTTGTCTATCCCGTAAACGCCGTCTTTGGGGATGTTCCGTTATCTTTCGATACTTTCAAAACCAACGAGGGAGTGTATTCTACTCCCCTTCCTCTTTCTGAGGGTTCGAGGATTTCATTGGCTTGTTTGCCAAAAAGAATCCGGCCTGAATAGTGGGCAAAGCCATCGGCTTCCCATTATTGTCAGACCAATATATACTGTCGCTTTCGCGATTGTCAAGCCAAGCTTGGCTTAGATGTCTGAGGACGCATGTTCTTTACAGGCCTCGGTTGAAAACAATCTTTCCATCCTTACCTCCCTTTCCATGGAACTCAGGCTCAAGCGACTCGGCACTGACCTCCTGGTACTGGGGGAATACAGCCAAAGCGAAAGGTAGAACAGCGAAGGAGGTAACGGCAATCAGAGTCAAGTTGATACCGAGGGGGATACCCTTGACCAGTGCTGGTCGTGCGCGCACCCACTCCTTCTCCATAAGGTTCTTGTACCAAGCCTGCTTGCTCTCGATATAGTAGAGGGCCATTGGGGGAAGAACCATGATGGGGGATGCAGTGAAGACTCGGCTAGCGGCGGTTTGGTATACCGCACGCTTAGCAGCAACCTGGGACTTGCCCAGCGAGGGAATGTCTCGCTCCGACTTGCCCTCAGCGACGAGCTTCTGCTTATCCTCCTCGGAAAGAACAGGTCGAACATCGATACCCTTGACAATCTCGTCGCGGCGCATAAGGTAAGTGTTGAGACCGGCAGCTGTGGCAACAGCAGCGAAGGGAATGAGTCTACCGAGAATGTTGCGGGTGGAAGGGGTCACGTTGAGTCGAGGAACAATAGCATTGAGACCGAGAGCAACGGAGCAAGAGGCTCCGACAGCGGAGAGGTAAGACTTCACCAGGACAGAGTTCGACATGGGAGAAGACTTGTTGCTGTTGGCGGTGTTGAATGCGACGTTGAGAGACTGGTTGAAGACTTGCCAGCCCACGATACCAGCCGTTCCCATGCCGGGCTGGAGCATACCAGCGGTAACAACAAGGTTGGTGAAGACGTAGCAGGACATTCGGAAGGGGAAGAAGACGGGTTCGCCGGTGTCTGTTGTACGGTGTCTCGTCAGCTGGTGTTACAATCGCACATGTCTGACAGGGTCATATATACCGGGGTGCAGTGTCGAGTCGACCACTTTCTTCGCATGCCACAATGCTGGCGACATGTGCTCGATCTTGCCGGTCTTGTAATCGGTCACCAACGCCTTGGCCGTCTCGAGTCCGGTCTTGCCCGCGAAGAGGGTTCTGAAGAGTGCGCCAGCATTGTCAGCTTTATGATACTTCGGGCACTGGAACTGAAGCTCAGCAATTGGACTTACGAGGGATCTGTGATGCCCATAGTATGGCGCACTCGTCCCATATACGTTCCGAGATCATACTGGGAAGCGGGGAGCTCCCGCGCGCCAGGGAGCGAAGCCGACATGTTCTGCGTATCTTATCGTATAGATCTCAACGGAGTCTTATCGGGGTCGAGATGTCGGAGGGGAGATGCTCGCGAGCAAGAGGACGACCGGACGTGAGACGGAGATGGGAGACGAGGACGAGGACCAGGAAGATAAAGAAGAAGCGAGCTGGCCTGCCCTGGAGTAAATCAGACAAAGGTCACTAATTGACCGCTAGAGGGGGCTCTTGTGGACTAGAAATGCCCGAATGACCAGTACGTGGGACAGAAAAAAATCCGTGGAGGGGAGGTTCTGAATAAACGCGACGATAAGCTAACGTAGCCGCACAAGAGGCCCGCTTTCGGAGTCGGCAGCTGGATCACTTTACGTACATGCAGACCCCCGGCCCGGCTTACGGACGCGGATCGTGGGGTTCAAGTAGAAGCATACTCGGGAGTGAATCCCAGAGTACAGCCAGTCATTGCATCTTTGATATAAACAAACATCTTATTCACATTACAAGAGAGATACCTACGACCAGACGGCATCATAATAAACTACCAAAGAACATAATTAAGCTTAGGGCTCACTATACCGGGCCGGTCCCCGTTCCTGAACAGAATGATATCAGAGGCCAAAGATATCTAAGCGCTAAACTCAATATCCATCATTGGTGTCAAAAGAATTGGCCGCCAAGAGCATAAGAGACGAAATAAGTCGGTCACTATATGCTGGTCTTAGTACAGCACTTAGACTTCTTTTCTTTGACACCCTAAGTTTTAGAGGATACCTTTTCTGGTACCCACCTGCCATCATAACATATCCAAGAGCCGCGATTGGCGGCAGTTCACGCACCAAGAGTTCAGTTCATCAGTGGAACAGAATAGATCACAGATCCAGCAAAAAGTGTACAATGCCTTGAAATGGCAAAAGAGGAATTCCGATGGATATTCGACCACGCCAGGAGTCGAACCTGGAATCTCGCCGCAAAACGCTGGTTGAATCAACAAAAGGAAGGAGCGACGACCGCGGCAGGAGTCGAACCTGCAATCTCTAGAGTATTTGATTTTGGTGAACCGAAATCTAGCGCCTTAGCCATTAGGCCACGCGGCCGGAATCTTTGTTTGATGGAGTTTTGTGGTGGTGTTGGAGTTCAACACCGTTTGGCTAACAGTTCAAGACGTTGAGTTTGAGCTCTGACTTCTTGTTTCCATCTGTTTGGATAGGATTATGTCTCGAGTATCCGAAGTAAACGTACGAAGTATGGTTATAACTGTGAGTGTGGTGTGATGCTCTTGTAGTTGTGGTGAATCAGGACAGCCGTCCTCGAGCAGTCCCAACATACCAACGTGGGTATTCCGTTATATTCACAACTTGCCAGGTAATTGTACAATTACTCGTCTTATTGCGAGGACTGCTTTTACCAGAAGACTCGGACATGCTGAGAAGTCAAAGCTTCGAATATAGACTACTTTGTGGCTTCAAACCCCAGACAGACATTTGTTGGGAATGATGAGTTTCATCGAATACGACGAAACTTCTCACGTTCAATTATGATAGTACAGTAGTAATATTGGGGTACTCAATACAGATTCTGAACAAAGATCTTCACCTTTGTCAGGGAGAGTTGTAGTCATACATCGGTTACTCTTACAAGTCTACCATTCTATGCAGCTTCCTTCACTTCTTTAACCTCTTGAGCCTCTTTAACCTGTTTCACGTCTTTAACTTTGACCTCTTTGTCGTCCGAAGACGCCAGTAGCAATGCAATAGCAGGCTGGAAAGCAGCCGCCTTCTTGAAATCGCCCAGTTTGACAGTCATGTGGTCAAACGCCATCAGAACATTGGGAACCTTTCGTCCCTCTCCCTCCTTCAACGACTCAGACTTGACATATCGTTGCGAGAAATGCGTCAGCAGCGTGTTCTTGGCCTCCATCTTGTGCGCAACGTCCAGAGCCTCACCGATAGTGGAATGACTCTTTTTCTTAGCGTGGGATTGCATATCGTCATCAAAAGTGCACTCGTGAACAAGGAGATGCACGCCCTTACATATACGAGCAAAATTGTCAGAAGGACGGCAGTCTCCTGAGTATGCAATGCGTAAGCCAGATGTAAGCTCAAGCTCTGTGGCAACGGAAAGCCAGCAGTGCGCAACAGGAACACGTGTAATGGCCTTGAGGCCGAAGCTGTCGTCTTTGATTTCACAACGGCCAAAGTTCTTGTTCTCTGGTACTCCATTTTTATGATGGGGGAAATGTAGCCGGTGGAAGCCAAAATCGTCGACCTGAGAGATCTCTCCCAGAAGATCCCTATATCTTGAGACACAAGAAATAGCCAACTTAGCGTTGCTGTCGTTGATAGTATGTTCATACCAAGCTTTAATCAGAGTGGGGGTACCCAGGTGATGATCGGCGTGAAGATGGCTAATCACGATGCACTTCAAATCTCGTAGGATGTTTCCTGTTTCTTCCTCTCCGTAGAGACGTAGAATCTGACCCAAAGTGCCCTCACCAACATCGAGAATGTAGTTACCAATGCCAGGGACACGAATCAGTGTCGCCGAGACATTGCGGTACTTGCCTGGCATTGAAGAGCCGGTACCAAGAGGGATGACTTCGGCGTCTGGGTTAGGAATATCCTTCGCTTCTTCTTCTGCCTTCCTGAGGAACTCGGGATCAGAGGTCTCTGCATGGGCCGTCTGCGCCAGCTCCAGAATCTCTCTACCGACGGAATTGGCTGTTTCCAGAAGGTTAGGGAAGGGTACAACTACGCCATCGTCGAATTTAAGACGGGGCATAAGGCTGATCTTGTTTCCAGCACGGCCAGATTCGACTTGCGACCCAGAAGGCATTTTCCCCTGTACGTTGTTGTTGAACTTGAGTAGACTGAACCTGGCTGAATCTACCATACGTAGCTTGGTCTGCAACTCAGCCGGCCCAGCAAGTGAAATCATGTTGGGACATGTGTCTTTGGCGCAGAAAAAGTGTTTCATCCCGGAGTGTTGATCGACGAATTTTTGGATTCTGGCATCATCCGACAGCCCAGGGCCCAGGATCCAGTATACAGCAACCACATCGGACATCAACTCGGGGTTCGTCCATTCCGGTCTCTCCATGAAAGCGTCGATGAGATCGCGCGAGTCAATGTCAGCAACGATAAACCCCTGACCTGGCCAATCCTCGCCAATGATCATCTCAGGGGTGACGGTGACACCGTTCGCTGTTTGTATAGAGGAACCCGCAATCAACGTTTTGTATTGGGTCACAGGCACCCCGAGCTTCTTGGCTTTTGCTGCGTCGAATTTGCCTCGACGAGGAAGACATTTGACCAGGTAGGACATGGAACTTTGACTGTACCTCGTAGGAGGCAGTGATGCCATTGTTAGATTGGGAAGTGGAGATCTGTCTTCCGGCATCTTGGTGGGAAACTTCCATACTTTCTCATTTTCTTGCTCAGGGGTAAGTTCTGAGTTGCTGGGCCTGGGGCCACTGTACATTTGAAAGCCGGTTCTTCCACGTTTTTGAAAAACTGTATCGTCTGGGGAGACATCTCCTAACTTCACAGGAACGATTAGGCCAGTGCCACGCAACGTGCCATTGAACATGAGACCTTCAACCATTGCGCGGGCGTATTCAGGATCTGAGAGAGTTGATGCCTCCTTAAACCGTGACTCCTCGGAGTCGGAAATATCCCCAACGATAGGGCTGGAGCGACGACGCTTCTTAGGGCTGCTGGAGCGCTCTCGTTGAACTGGGATCTTCCACACACGAAGTGTATCATCTTTCCAGTCAGGCTCCAGACTTTCGATAGTTTGTAGCCGGGGATTCTCTCTGTGTTCGTGCGTCTTGACGTAAACGGGCTGCCGTGTAATGACGGGACGACAGGCAGCCAGAGTGTGATTTAAGTTCTCGCCGGCATGAATATGAATGATTCCAGTACGAGATTCCTTGATAGGTTTACCCCTTGCCTTCCTCTTTTCGTTCTCGATCGCTTCTACTTGCGCGCTCGCGTCCACCACGCCGCCAACTGTGAGAATATAGCCAAAGAGACCTCCAACCTGCTGCCACGAGACAGCGCCACTGAGAAAGATTTGTTCCGTTCCTCCCATTCGAGTCCTGCTGCTCTGGAAGGCTCTCTGAGTACCTTCTTCGGGGCGCCCGAAGATATATGTCCGCTTATCAGAGTGGACAAGAAGACAAGTGCCTGGAGTGTCGACTGTCGGGGCCGACGCAATTTCTATCGAGGTCGACATTGCTTGTGTGTAGCCGTCGTTGATGGGTACTAGAGGTGTAGCGGAAGACCTCCTTGGTGTCCCTGGTTGAAATAAGCGGCTGTCAAAAGAATAACACCGCCTATTAACAAAAGATCCAGGTGAGGTTGAAGGTGAAGGTAAAGGTAAAGGTGAGGGGGAGGGGCAGCGAGAGTGAAAAGATGGTGATGATAGCCGACTAGCAGAAGTAGATAAATGCAAGAGGCGTCGACGGCCCCATGTCTGCATGGGTAAGATTTATATAGAACGTTGTAAGAGAAAGAATGTGATACAAAAGCTGCATCAATGGCTTATATCATGGCTGTCTTAGTATTTCTTGCCTTTGATAGTCAATAGATCGATGTCTTTTTTTTTTCTACGACGCGGCGAATGACTCCCGCTTCCGCGTTGCGCTAGTCCGCGCTGTCACATGTATGACTTTAATTGGATGGATAGTTATGTAAGCTGATCTGCTTACCCTATACACATACTCACCATATTGGGCTTTGAAGAGAACAGACAATTTGTATCAAGTTATTAGCCTGTACATGCAGGCAACGATGTCCTGGAAGCCACAGAACTCTTGAACAACAGCTTTGTTTTGGTATGCAGTCATTGTTCGCTATGGTAGCTCCCATCAGACAAAACCACAACAACACCATTGCTGTCCAACGAATGTCATACCGAAACATCTTTATCCCTCAAGATCACTGACTCACTCTCTGACAGTGAATAACTATCACCGATATTAAGTTCTGATATCAGCAATACCTGCATCCAAAGTCCCAAAGACAATCGAGGCTCGTCCATATAAATGGCGCCAATGATATTTGAACAAGCAGGACCCTGATTTGGAGAACGTGGGGTAATCCTCAGTGGCGGTACGAATATTATTGTCATTAGTAAAATAATTTTTGATTAATAAATACGTATATTAGAAACGACGTTGGATCTTTATTTATAATACACAACTGCTCTGAAACCATTCACTTCGTTTATAGCCGGGAACAACTACCGAGCTTGATATACATCTTGGCCAATAACCACCTCGGCTAACATAATCTCAAAATGACTCGGTCGATATACAATTCGTCGCCGCTACATGACTCTTCTCTATCAATGAGGTCACGTAAAAGTTCACTGTGGGGAAGTCAAATCCACCCTCCATGCTTTATCACTCATTACAAACAGTCTTAGCAAGCCCGATCAACCTTAGTAAACCCGGGGAGCCCCCTCAACAACCCAATGGAACCCCATAGTTTTAAATAACCTCCATCTCCATCCTCATGAACCGCCTTTTCAAACCACTCATATCTAAAAGACTCTTCACCACTTCTCGCTTCATAATGGGAGACGCTATCAAACGCAACCCTCACCCTGACTTCAAGGGCGTCGAGGCTTCTCGTCCTGAACTTGACACCTCTTCTGAATTCCGTTACACCAAGACCGTGGATGCGGACTGGGCTTTTGGCTCAGGCGCAAACAGACTTGCAAAGGATGATGCTGGCAAGAAGCATGTCGCTATAGATCCTCATGAGGAGGGCCGTCCTGCGGGCTTCAACTATAAGCTTATGATCTCATCCATCGTGCCCCGTCCCATCGCCTTTGTGAGCAGTCAGGCTCCTGATGGAACGCACAAGAACCTGGCACCTTTCAGCTACTTCAACATGATGAACCACGACCCTCCCATGTTTGTCGTTGGTTTCTCATCCAGTCTTGCTGCTGCCAAGGACTCGCTGCGCAACGTCTCTGACTCGGGCGAGTGCGTCATCAACATCATCTCCGAGCAGTTTATTGAAGCCGCAAACGCATGCAGTGTGGATGCCCCTTACGACGTGTCCGAGTGGGATATCTCAGGTCTAACACCCTCTTACGACTGCGAGACTGTCAAGTGTGCTCGTGTGCGCGAGGCTATTGTCAGCATCGAGTGCAAGCTCGACATGCTCAAGGAATTCGACAGCAAGGCACGACCAGGCAACAAGTCGGGCACCATGGCTGTTTTCGAGGGCACGCGATTCTGGGTTCGCGAGGATGCGTTGAACGAGGAGAAGAACTTGGTTGACCCTGGTGTTCTGAAGCCCGTCAGCAGACTGGGAGGAATCACTTATGCAAGAGTTACTGAGGCATTTGAGCTGCCTAGACCGGAATTCAAGAAGGATGTTGGTGGCCAAGAAGGACTCGAGGAAATCCAAAAGAAGCAGAACAAATAAGCTAGATGGGGACGTATATATTTATTATGACCTAGACCCAAAATACAGATAGAATAAGGAAGCACAATTTGGTCTTCCCAACAGAAACGTCTCTTGCAATGTAGCCTCCCAGATTTGATACCAGTTCAGCACATCCAGAAAGAACCCTTCTTTGCCTCATCGTAAAACAAAACCTCATAGCTGAATCGTATATAAGAAAATCACAAGCGGTATAGTGCAAGCCTAACCACAACCATGGATATCTCCCAGTATATAGGAAAGAAAGCCTATATAGTCGAATGCAGAAACAAGCATAAACCCCAACGCCGGTAGCTGAAATGCTCAAAGATAGAAGCTTTTTCCAGGCTTAGAAATGACAAATTCGCACCCTAATTGTACCTCGCTCTCGTAATCGTGTAGTTGCTCCAATATCACCTCGCCCCTGTCAGGACCGTCGGTCAAGTGGTCTTTGACATGGATGATGACGACTTGTAGGCCCTCGAGGGGTTTCCTAGTCACAGGTACGGATGTGATCGAGTCAGACTGGTTGAGTGTCAACTCTGCTGTCGGTGTAGCGAGGTGTGGTGTCGGAGGCGTATCAGGACCCGGGGGCATATAGTCTGGTGTTGAAGCCTTGAGTGTCTTGGGAGACACAGGGTCTTCAGATGTGAAGTTGGCAAGCGAGGGATTCCGTCGAGGAGCCTCATCAGCGTTGCTACCCATACGCTTGCGCTTCTTAGATTCGTTATAGCGCAAGGTGCGAAAGTGTTCAACTTGGCTGGCAAGCGCACGTAGTTCCTCTATGACGAACTGGGGCTTCAGATGGCCATATAGGCGGTCGTTGATTTCCGAGTCATCATGACTACATTCGATAAAGATAGCCTTAAGGTTTCCTGAAGCAATCTTTGGTGCCGCCTCTTGCCAGATCTGCGAGTTCCTTGGACTTAATGATAAGCTGTCGGGCTCAACGTCTCCGAAAATCAGGACTTCGCGGTTGGTTATGGGATCCTGGATGAAGTATGCGCTCGAATCGACGACGCACATGCGCTCCTGTTCGGGCGGACCACCCATGGAGATAGAACCAAAACCTTGGGAGAGTAGGACCGAACCTCGGTGCATGGCTCCTGGATAGTAGGAATTTGAACGGGCAGGTGGGCCTTGGCCCATGGACATGGGCATGGATGCATCGTGGCTACCGAAGCGAGTACTAGCACTTGATGTAGATCCTCTATGATCGTGCTTCTCGAGACAATGACCGTGGCTCACACTCCATGTCTTCACGAGGAGTCCATCAGCGACTTCGATATAACCTCTAGTCTCACCGTCGCCGAGTGAAGGGCTTCCTCCTTCAACCAGTCTCATGTAAGTCACTAGACCCGCTCCGTTGTTCTCATCACTGAGGTTAGGCCATATAACGTTGTTGAAGATGTGTTTCTTGAACGCCTGGATTGTACCAGGCAAAGCAGCCAGTTTCTTGGGCCTTGTTCCTGGAAAGCCAGCTGTGTTGACAACGAAGCCTGAGATGTGATCAAGATGAGGGTGTGTGATGAGATATGTGTCAACAAGATGTCGTGTGACGAAAGCAGCATTAGCAGAGGCTGAAGAGTAAGGAAGCTCAAGGCCTGCAAAAGGACCTGTGGTGAGTGTGAAAGGAGGAGGCGGCGGTGGTGACGGTATCGATTCTTCCATAATACGTGTAATAGCAGAAAGATGAACGCCAGCATCAACAGCAATGATTGACCCACGATGCCATTTCGCACCAACAGAGCGAACCAAGAAGGCCGTTGTATTTGATTCTTGAGGACCACCTCCAGAGCCCTAGTGATGAGATTAGTGAGAGCTTGATCATGACAAGACTATACGAGTATTGAGTGGCACATGGCTGGGAGGAGCCGGTCATGATAAAGTATGAGAACGTATGCGCATACACGGCAGGATAAACGCCACATGATGCGACGCGTTTCTCTTCTTTCGGATCTGTATCCGAGCCGTTTCTCATATCATGGCATGGCCAATGATGACTGAATTTGTATCACATGCAGTGTAAACAAACGAGGGAGGGAGAGGATAAGGTACTAAGGTTTTTGGGGGAACGTACCAATACAATCACCTGCAGAGCAGGTTTCGTGTCTGCCACCATTATATATCGGTAGTAGGGAATAAGAAAAAAAGATGAGAGAGTCAAAGATCAAAAGACTGTTGACGTTGACAGACTCAATCAAAGCCTGGGAGGACTAGACTAGACCCTTCGATGGTCGATGGGATGTGACGGTTGGGATGGATTGGATCTAACTTGATTGTGGATGTGGAGCTAGGCCCAAGCTGGAGCTAGAGCTAGAGCTACTGTAGAGCTGGGAGGCCCTGCAGCTGGAGTGATCCCGGGCGGTTGACCCACCAAAGAGGCCTGTAAGGTACCGCCTGAAAGGTTCAAGCAGAAAAGCTAAAAACTGGGGACCTGGATCTTCTCCGTTTTGCTCGCTATCACAAGCCGTCTCCGTCACTGGCGGTTTTGTTAGTAACTCCGGAATGAGATTGGTTGAAGTAAAAAAGGTTAAGAATTACCTGCAAAAGAAAGTGTGTACTGTAATTGAACAGCCAACTGCAGCTCTTGGATATTTCTCCGAGGGACTGAAGAGCCCGATAAAGGTTGCAACCTTTGGAACGAACACGGTAACGTAGAGATGGAACTCAAGGAAGGACAGGATATGAGATAAGATGGAATGGGAAAACCGAGGATCCGAAAAAAAGAGAGAAGAGGGATAAACGGTAGAAGTACACGTGATTGTTCTGCAGTTCTAATCGTCGTGTCCTGTACTACTAGAACTAAACCTGCAAATGAAATGCCGTGCAACCGTTGATTGATATATGTGATGCGCTTCGCTCTCGCCGAACAATCGATAGTGTACTTGACCACGTTGACCCTTGCTCCGATCCCTTGGCGAGTATGAGATAACAAAGGTATTTATCTTGTATTAACAAAGAGACGCAAAGAAACTCGAGGATGTAGAACAAAAGACCCAAGATCAAAGACTTGAAGACCCTGAATTGGCAGCTTCTTTATGCTCTACATCTGTCCTCGCACTTGCCGATGCCGATGCAGCTTCGGCTCATCTCCCTTGTCATATCATACCTAACGTATCACTCCAATATCTCACCTGTCATGTCTTGCCGCTCAGCCCAAAAGAGGAATCACCAGCAGCTACATACCCTCCGAGTTGTGAAGCAACAGCTGCCGGCTCAGCTGCAAGGCCAACCTTGTTTAGCGGCCTTAAGAGCTGTAAGCCTGCATCGGCGTTTCCGTAACCCCCTCATTCCAAAAAAGGTTCCCCCACCAAACGTCACTTTACTAACGTTAGATCAGAACGGGTGGGCTGTTAGCTACCCTACCTTACCTGGTCCGAGCTGCATGCAAAAGGTCAAGAGCTTGAAGAGGAGAGAGAGCTTGGCCGGGCGTTGATAGCCTTTCATTGAGTGGGTTTCTTTCAAGCTTGGACGAAACAATGCTTGTCCCATGATAAGGAAGATCGTGTCAAAGATGGTCTGTGATGTTTCTTTCAGATCGGGGACTGGATCTTGAGTTGAGCCGTGCGTTTGCTTGTCACTTATAAAGTAGTATTTGTAGGTGGTGGCTTGAAAGAAAGGACCCTTGACGGTGGGTGATACGTATCGTCCTCGTACGAGGAACCAACAGGCTTGAAACGTTGACAAAGATACCAACTGTAGCATTTTTAGAAACAATCTCATATTGAAACCGATTTCGCTTGGAAACTTACGTGTTGAAGAAGCTGGCTCAACTTCAACTCTGTCACGATGTGGCGACTTTGACCTGTCAAGCGATACTGCAGAAATAAGGTAATTGTCAAGATTATAGAGGTACTTTCACAGTTTGAAGAGTAATTGAGACAGTTCATTGAGGCAATTCAAATACGATTCTAGACTCTAAGGAAATACAAGCTAAACAAAACCTCCAAACTCCAAACTAAAACATATGCGTATGCTAAAACAGAAATCTAATGCGCTCATCGCTATGCTGCTTGTATCAGGGGTATCAAATGATGAAACAAAACAAAACATTCTACAAGTCTTAAACTCCAAACAAAACCATGTGTAAAAACTTTTGCCAAAGGTCTCTGACCAGCAGAGATCCATACCAATGATCCTTCTCCTTCTCTTTCCTTCTTCATCTTAATATCCACATTTTCCCTGCTATATCCTAGGATCCCACTACTGCTGCCTTTAGGGAGTTCTCTTCTCGATCACACGGCTGCTTCGGCGCAGAGGTGAGGGCTGAGCATCAGCTGCAGACGCTCGGGGAGAACCGAACAGGCTGCTTGCAGGAGAGGAAACGTCCTGGTCAGCGTCATCACGGACGATGATGGTATCTTCAGCCTGAGAGGGGACTCTGCTCTTAGTTGTGTGGGCACGAGTGGCCTTGTCCGGCTGCTTGTGGAGGTTCTCCAAGGGGTTTTGGATATTGACTTCGGCAGGTGGCGCTACTCGCTGGACAGGAGAAGTGATCTCACGTAAAGGCTCGCGCTGCACTCTAGATGGCTCTCGTCGCTGGATCGTGGCTGGAGGAGTGACAACATCGAGGCCCTTTGCTTGCTCATGTCGTCGCTTAGTGCGCGCCTTGCTAAGCTTGTCTCGCGCGACATACTTGGAAAGGTCGCCCATGATGATCTCGATCGTCTTTCTTTCATCATCAGGCCTCAATGCGTTGCGCTTCTTGCGGCAGCTCTCACGGGCGTTGGTCTGGTGCTGGATATGGTAGTTGCACAGCGTCCATGAGAGAGTATCTTCATGCAATGGATAAGGGACAGGAGTGACTCCAACCTCTTTACGCTTCTTGCCCCATCGCTTGATGGTAGGGACGACACCCTTGTAATCGTCTCGATTGATGGCGGCTCGGTTGGTCGCCTCGTGGGGGAGATCGCGATCATCAGGCATCAACTGGCCATTTTCAAAGCATTCGTGAGGATCAATGCACTGTTCAAAGCACCAAAGATGCATGACACCAGCCATCTTGAAAGGATCCCTGCTGCCGTCAGAGGTCTGATCAGAGAACTCGTCAAATGCCACACGATGCCATCCGTGAAGAATGGTTCCGTATTTGGTAGGGCAACCGGCGTAGCGGCACTTCATGTCAGCGTCTTCTTGTCGACCCTTGCATTTAGAAGGGCTGTTTTGCAGCCAGACCCTGATCGGTCGAGGACAGTCGTTCAAGTAGTCGCGTAGATGCTCGGCACTAAGCAAGATGTCTTCTTCAAGCTGTCCACCTGGCAGATACTCGAGGCGAAAGCCACCCTTAGTAACCCAGGGAGCAACCTGTCCCCAGGGACGGTAAGAGTAGACCTTTTTGCCTGCATTCTTGGTAGTCCTCTTACCCTTGGAGGCACGAGTTGTGCGGCGGCTGATAGTCTTGATGGTCTTCGCGGGGGGCTCGCCATCATCGCCGTCGATCTCATCATCGTCATCGTAAATGAATTTGCGCTTGAGACGCTGATGTTGAGGCTGCTGTGGCTGTTGAGGCTGCTGCTGAAGCTGTGGCAAGGCGTTACCTTGGAAGGCCGGAAGAGGGAAGCCAGGAAGAGGTGCATAGGGGCATAGTCCCATATGAATCGTGTAGCCACAGAACACGCATCGATGAGTGGAAGGCTGAAGAGAAATGTTAGCTTGAGGTCCATAGCCCATGTTATAAGCAGGTTGCCAAACCGTTTGGTTTACATTGGGTGAGTCCATATAAGGCCCCTTGTAGGCCTGGTTTCCCTCGATGCCTTCCTCTGGGTAGACGAACTGAGGCTGGTATGGGCCAGGGTTAAAGGCATTGCCGTAAGAAACCGGGTCAAGATAAGGGAGTTCATCAGCCTGGTTAGGTACTGCATATAACTTCAATTGAGCTTGAGCTGGCTGTTGATATTGCACAGGTTGATACGACTGAGCAGGAGCCTGAGGGTATGCTGCAGAAATACCGCGTGGAGTTTGAACTGGCTGTTGATATTGCATGGGTTGATACGACTGAGCAAGAGCCTGGGAAGGTACTGCAGATAAATCGGGACTAGGTTGAGCTGGCTGTTGAGGCTGCACAAATCCACACATCTCGCTAAGGGGGCTCTTCTGAAGTTGTTGCTGCGGTTGCTCAAGGGAACGTCGGGTTTGTCGAGGTTGTTCCTCTACGAAGTCGGGCTGAGGAGAGTCGTAGGGGTAGTTCGAATGTTGCAATTGAGGGTCCACAGGTTGTTCATCATCACCATAATCATGTCCCCCGAAATCAAAGAGATCGCCGAGCTCAAAGTAGTAGTCAACCGGGATATCTGCAGCCCCGGTGTAACCGAAGTTATCCAGCTGATCTGCCGCCATGATGTTTCGGTCGATGTTTTTGCTACCTTGTACTAGTAAATCTGTAAAGTTGTTCACAGAAGGACCTAGGTTACCAGAACCGTCCATTGTGCGTCGAATCAAGACAAGATTGGTGTTTCGATAGTAAGTCAAGAGTAGCTTTGGAGTGGTGAAGCTAGAGCTGTAACTGGGAGGATTGGATTGTTTTGTTTGTAGGATAGAATGAATTGAATGGAACGGGACGATTAACGTCAACTTTATATTATTATTAAAACGAACAACTCTCAACTGAACAAATATAGAGAATCATTGTCCTTGGTACACGGCTTTGTTAAGAAGAAAGCCGTGATAGAACATGATCTGAAAGCCACGAGATGATTACCTGGGACAAGGACGCAATTTCCTCGAACGTAGTTGGTGTGCTCGACTGTCTTTGTCTGGTGGCACCGAACAAGAAAGGACACAACCTCGACCAAGTCGAAGCATCGAAGCCGAGTTCCATTTTTGGGAACACACATGTTGTTTTAAGTACCTGGCGCCAGGTTAGTACCAAAGTCATGAAAGACGAGGCTACGCCAAAGGATTAATTGCAAGAAAGAGGTTTGATCAGATAAAAATGCATATGTTTTCTACACAAGGTTTCAGAACAGGTCTGTGTTATGTGTGTCTCATCATAGAAATAGGAACATGTTCAAAGAGCAAAAGAAAAGTAGTAGACATACCATATGACTTGCGCATTAGAAGAGTTGTAACCTATTTTGGTGAGTAGAGTCGGGTCAACGAAGCAAATGAAGAGGCTGTTGCTCCTCATGGAGAGGGCTAGTCTGGATGATGCATGGCATCAATCCATCTGCAAGTCATTCTGCACTGAACTGAACTAAAGGGTAGTCGACCCTTTAGCAAAGTTGTTGCTGGGAATGCTTGTTCAGTGTTGGAGAATAGTGAGTGAAGCAGAAGTTTTTGAGGATCGTGAAGAAATGTCAAGGTTGGTAATTGCTGTGGGTCCAGTCCGGAGCAATAGCTTCCGACCGTTGCCCATCGAGAACACAGGGCAAGTACTATACTTTGGAATAGGTTGGCTTTATTTACAGCCGTATCAACGAGTCTTGTCATTATATGAAGCTTTACTATAGGATTGATAACTCATCAAAGATTATCGACTTGGTGGTTTGTAGAGACAACAAGGCCGTTCAATCCAAGCGATCGCATCTCTTTGTTTACTTGGCATTCAAGTTTCCCCAGTAAGTTCTCGATGGAATCCATATCAACACGGAAATATATCTCGTATTATCATAGGACTGCGCCGCTCCAAGCAAACTGATACGGATACTTTTGAACCTGCTGATCACGATGATCACCGAAGCTATTCCGAAGCAGAGCTTGACGTTCAGAGTCATCCATCTTGTTTTTGGTCTGCTATCGCTCAAATATGGTTACCAGCATGGCGCTAAGACAAGAACCAGCCACTATTTTTAGCGGCCAATGTTCCTCTTACGACACGAGACAGTGGGGAAGTTAGTGCAGGTTGAAGGAGGGGCACCAGTGAAAGGGTGCAGGTCTGAGTTGCGGGCGGATTCACCCGCCTAAAGGGACCGTATTCAGTACCCAGAAAAACTGGTTAAAGTGGTGATGGTGATACAGGCTTAACTCAACCAAGACAGTCCAGGGGCACCCCGCCCTTGAATTCAACGGGCCCTGGTTAGAGAACCAATAAAAACATCTTGTTGTCCGCCCTCCAAGTCTTCAGTTCGGACTACGTCACGAGACTCTGTTTTCCCGCCGGGTCCCTTCAAGTTACCACTGAGAGACCTCCGTGGCTAACCTCGATAATCCACCAAACCTTCTGTACTCGATCTCATCTTTTGAGCGGCTGCATCAGGTCGCCAGAATAACCGCCATCATGGCTGATGTCAGTCCAGAGCTTCAAGAGCGGCTTGAAGAGTTGGATCGCGAGCTAGAGGTTAGTAGAATGCCCCCGATTGTTCCACAAATCCCCGTCTCCCTCTCAATGCTTTGCTTGCTTGGCGCCTCAACTCGCCATTGCAGCTATTCTGAACCGAGTCTGTCGTCGCATGCGACGAAATATCGTCCATTTGAGTTATCATGACTGACTTATTTTCTGATATAGGAAGGAGACATTACACAGAAGGGGTAAGCTATTCTGCGACCGAAATACTCACAATTGCTCCTCAATTACTTACGCGCTTGTAGTTACCAGAAACGACGAACCCAGCTTTTCTCCCAATTCCTCGGTTCTCCTCCACCTCAAATTGCTGCTCTCGCCGAGCCTCAGTCTGGCCTTCGCATACACTCTCCCGATGACTCGGCCCATCCTTCAGGCGATGGCCACCGCGCCGCTGCATACGCTGCTCTCGGCAGCAGCAGTGGTCCAATCCCAGATTCGCCAGACGCACCTATATATCGACCACATTCTGGCTATGCTCCCTCAGAATCACCAAGACCTCCTCCTTCAGAGCCACCGGCTTCACTGCTACGCCCTGGGGGCTCTATGGCTGGAGGATCGACCGCTGCGCACCGCGACTCTCTTTTCTTCTCTCCCTCCCATATCGAACCTGAAACCCGAACGGGAACCATGATGTCTGGCGATTATGCTTTCAGACCTGAGCAACAAGGTTCATACGTTGACCCGCACCAACAGCAACAGCAACAGCAGCAGTTTCAGCAACAGCCACCGCCACAACAGCAGTATGATGGCCGAACTGCAACTCTTCTCGATTCACAAGGATATTTCTCAGATTTCGCGGGACAGCAACATTATGATCAGGGTCAGACTGTTGAATATGGAGGACCCCAGCAGCGATATTCTTCCAGCGATGCTTTTTCTCCAACCGCTGCAATGGCACCTCCGATGCTCACAACCAATGACCTTCCGCCGCCCGAGGCCCTCGAATACCAGCTGCCTCTTGACCCTCGCGAGGTGCCGTTCGCTATACAAGACCCTCATGACGATTCTACGCCAATGTCAAAGTTCGATAATATCGCAGCCGTACTACGACACAGAGGCCGAACAATTGCCAAGAAACCAGCGTATTGGGTGTTGGACAGCAAGGGCAAGGAGATCGCTTCAATTACGTGGGACAAGCTGGCATCCAGAGCGGAGAAGGTTGCGCAAGTCATTCGTGATAAGAGTTCTCTATACCGAGGTGATCGAGTTGCTCTCATTTACCGCGATTCGGAAGTCATTGATTTCGCCATTGCCTTGCTGGGATGCTTCATTGCTGGAGTTGTTGCTGTTCCTATCAATGACCTACAGGATTACCAACGGTTAAACCATATTCTTACCACGACGCAAGCCCATTTGGCGCTGACTACCGATAACAACCTTAAAGCCTTCCAACGAGATATCACTACACAAAAGTTGACATGGCCAAAGGGCGTCGAATGGTGGAAGACAAACGAGTTTGGCAGCTTTCACCCTAAGAAGAAGGAGGATGTTCCAGCTCTTGTTGTTCCAGATCTGGCTTATATCGAGTTTTCACGAGCGCCGACCGGAGACTTGAGAGGTGTTGTTCTCAGCCATCGAACTATCATGCACCAAATGGCCTGTCTTAGTGCTATTATTTCTACTATCCCCGGCAATGGGCCTGGGGATACTTTCAACCCATCTCTTCGTGACAAGAACGGCCGACTTATTGGTGGCGGCGCAAGCAGCGAGATCTTGGTTTCGTACCTTGATCCCCGTCAAGGTATTGGCATGATTTTGAGTGTACTCCTGACCGTTTATGGCGGCCATACTACCGTTTGGTTTGATAACAAAGCCGTCGACGTCCCTGGATTATACGCCCACCTCCTCACCAAGTACAAATCGACCATTATGATCGCTGATTATCCTGGATTGAAGCGAGCGGCATACAATTATCAGCAAGAACCAATGGTGACACGAAATTACAAGAAGGGAATGGAACCAAACTTCCAAATGATTAAACTCTGTTTGATTGACACCTTAACTGTCGACAGTGGGTTCCATGAAGTTTTGGCTGATCGATGGCTGAGACCGTTGAGAAATCCTCGCGCTCGTGAGGTTGTTGCACCTATGCTTTGTCTGCCCGAGCACGGAGGCATGGTGATCAGTGTGCGCGACTGGCTAGGAGGAGAAGAGCGTATGGGATGTCCTTTGAAGCTTGAACTTGGAGAGGACACCGAGTCTGATGAAGAGAAAGAGGATATCGAAAAAACAGAGAAGCCGGCAGTTTCGAACGGTTTCGGCAGTCTTTTGAGTGGCGGCGGCACGGCAACGACTGAAGAAAGGGCAAAGAACGAGCTTGGCGAGGTTCTTTTGGATCGTGAGGCTCTTAAAACCAACGAAGTTGTGGTAGTGGCCATTGGAAACGACGCCCGTAAAAGGGTAACGGATGATCCAGGATTGGTTCGAGTTGGTTCTTTTGGATACCCCATACCCGATGCCACACTCTCCGTCGTCGATCCCGAAACGGGCTTACTAGCCTCACCACACTCCGTAGGTGAAATCTGGGTTGACTCTCCTTCTCTTTCAGGCGGGTTCTGGGCACAACCAAAGAACACCGAGCTGATTTTCCATGCTCGCCCTTACAAATTCGACCCAGGCGACCCCACGCCCCAGCCTGTAGAACCCGAATTCCTTCGAACAGGCCTGCTAGGTACTGTCATTGAGGGTAAGATCTTTGTTCTTGGACTCTACGAAGACCGAATTCGGCAGAAGGTTGAGTGGGTTGAGCATGGACACGAACTAGCGGAGTACCGCTACTTCTTTGTCCAGCATATCGTCGTGAGCATTGTTAAGAATGTTCCCAAGATATACGACTGTTCAGCTTTTGATGTCTTTGTCAACGATGAACACCTACCAGTCGTTGTGTTAGAATCAGCGGCTGCGTCAACAGCGCCGTTGACATCTGGAGGACCTCCTCGACAACCGGATACAGCTCTACTAGAGTCGTTAGCTGAGCGTTGTATGGAGGTTCTTATGACAGAGCATCACCTCAGACTGTACTGCGTTATGATCACAGCACCGAACACTTTACCACGTGTCGTCAAGAATGGTCGACGCGAGATTGGTAACATGCTCTGTCGCCGAGAGTTTGATCTCGGCAATCTTCCATGTGTGCACGTCAAGTTTGGCGTGGAACACGCAGTGCTTAACCTTCCTATTGGTGTAGACCCCATGGGCGGTATTTGGTCACCATTGGCTTCGGACTCTCGTGCCGAGTTTTTGTTGCCTGCCGACAAGCAGTATTCTGGTGTCGACAGACGTGAAGTCGTGATCGATGACCGTACCTCCACTCCCCTCAACAACTTCTCTTGCATTTCAGATCTAATCCAATGGCGTGTGGCTCGCCAACCAGAAGAGTTGGCGTACTGCACAATCGACGGCAGAGGTCGTGAAGGTAAGGGTGTCACGTGGAAGAAATTCGACACCAAGGTCGCTTCTGTTGCCATGTACCTGAAGAACAAGGTCAAGGTGAGACCAGGAGACCACGTCATCCTCATGTACACCCATTCAGAGGAGTTTGTTTTTGCCGTGCATGCCTGCATTTGCTTGGGTGCCATTATTATCCCAATTGCACCCCTTGACCAGAACCGGTTGAATGAGGATGTCCCAGCTTTCCTGCACATTGTAGCAGATTACAATGTCAAGGCTGTGCTGGTCAACTCTGAGGTTGATCATTTGATCAAGATTAAGCCAGTGGCCAGTCACATCAAGCAGTCGGCCCAAGTTCTTAAGATTACAAGCCCTTCCATCTACAACACAACTAAGCCACCAAAGCAAAGTAGCGGACTGAGAGACTTGAGATTTACCATTGATCCTGCTTGGATTCGACCTGGTTACCCTGTCATTGTTTGGACATATTGGACACCCGATCAACGTCGAATCTCAGTTCAGCTTGGCCATGACACAATTATGGGCATGTGCAAGGTTCAAAAGGAAACCTGCCAAATGACAAGTTCAAGACCTGTGCTTGGATGTGTAAGGAGCACAACTGGTCTAGGCTTCATCCACACAGCTCTCATGGGCATTTATATCGGAACACCTACCTACCTCCTATCGCCCGTTGAGTTTGCAGCCAACCCCATGTCTCTATTCGTCACGTTGTCGAGATACAAGATTAAGGATACTTATGCGACACCACAGATGCTGGACCATGCCATGAACTCCATGCAGGCAAAGGGTTTCACTCTTCATGAGCTTAAGAACATGATGATCACGGCTGAGAGCCGACCAAGAGTTGACGTGTTCCAGAAGGTCAGACTTCACTTTGCTGGAGCTGGTCTGGATAGAACTGCTATCAACACAGTCTACTCGCATGTTCTCAACCCCATGGTTGCGTCGAGGTCTTACATGTGCATCGAGCCTATTGAGCTCTGGCTTGACACACAAGCGCTTCGACGTGGCCTGGTTATCCCCGTGGACCCTGAATCGGATCCCTTGGCTCTGCTGGTGCAGGACAGCGGTATGGTTCCAGTCTCAACACAAATCGCCATCATCAACCCTGAAAGCAGAGTACACTGTCTCGATGGCGAATATGGTGAGATTTGGGTTGATTCTGAGGCCTGCGTTAAGTCCTTCTATGGTTCCAAGGATGCTTTCGATGCTGAGCGCTTCGATGGCCGAGCTGTTGACGGAGACCCCAACATTCAGTACATCCGTACTGGAGACTTGGGTTTCCTCCATAATGTTAGCCGGCCAATTGGCCCTAACGGTGCTCAAGTGGACATGCAGGTGCTGTTTGTCCTTGGAAACATTGGTGAGACTTTTGAGATCAATGGATTGAGTCACTTCCCTATGGATATCGAGAACTCTGTGGAAAAATGCCACAGAAACATTGTGCAGAATGGCTGGTAAGTGAATAATTCAGATGTAAGACGAGTTTGCTAACAAAGTCCAGTGCGGTGTTCCAAGCTGGCGGTTTGGTCGTTGTTCTCGTTGAGGTCAACCGCAAGCCATACCTGGCGTCGATTGTTCCTGTCATTGTCAACGCTATTCTCAACGAACACCAAATCATCGTGGACATTGTCGCATTTGTCAACAAGGGAGACTTCCCACGATCTCGTCTTGGAGAGAAGCAACGTGGCAAGATTCTCGGCGGCTGGGTTAGCAGGAAACTGAGGACCCTTGCACAGTTCTCTATCCGTGATATGGACGCTGAGTCTACCGCGGGTGATGTTATGGATCCTTCCAGAGTCTCAATGGTTAGCGTACGAAGCGGAGGCGGCGCTGCTCCTGGATCTTCTAGTTTGAGAAATGTCGAGCCCGCACCTCAAATCTTGGAGGAGGAACATGATCAGACAACTCCTCGTCATGAATACGAGTCAGCGCCAACTATGGTTTCTGAGCTGCCTGACGGCCAAGAGACACCAACAGGATTCCAGCACTCGCAGTTTGAATACCCAACGCAACAACAAGTTGGTTCTCAACCACCGACTCAACTGAACCTTTCCCATCAACCTGATCAAGGATTTGACATGGACTTTTCAAGGTATAGCACCATAGAACCCGAACAAGGTCCCGTCCACAGACGTCCAGTCCCAGGCCAAGCCCAACAACCTCAGCCTATGACAGGGAACGGTCAAGCGCCGCCCCAGATCAGGCTACCAGGTGTAGATGGACGAGAAGGAGGAGGTTTCTGGTCGCCGCAAGGGCAAGGTCAGAACGAGAAGAGTGAAGAAGACTGGACAGCGGAGGCCATTATGCATATGAATCTGGCGGGTGATATGAACCCTCCCAGGTGATAATACATACAACGACAATAAGAGCAATGGTGTGACGAAGCGGAGTTGGAGTTGGGAAGCATTTAGAAACTCATATAACAAACTTGGACTTGGAGCCCGAGGGCCTTTTTATCTACTGTGTTTTCTTGACCGAAGTTTGTATTTGTGCATTTGTGAATGTCGTAATGTGCCAAAAAGCTATCGAATCAAGCATATTCTTCATGAAGCAGAGAGAAAAGCTTTCTGATCGTCAGCAAAGTAATTAATTATGACAATTGTACATGCCAATCCTGAAGAGAACTACAGGTCTTGCACGGCCTCGTTGGGTACAAAAACGAAGGATGGTCACAAACATGCAAAAAAAGATGAACTTGGTCAAAGTCCTGAATTGTCAGTCGACGCAGGCCTGATTCGAACAGACGCCTCCGAAGAGAATAGATTTCTAGTCTATCGCATTAGACCACTCTGCCACTGCGCCTTTAGCTGATTGGATGTTGATGGTTGTGTCTAATTCTAGCTCTGTTTCTAGACGTGGGTGGGTGGGTATTATAGCAAAAGCAGACCTGGTTCGTGCCTATTCTATGCCAATACTATTATACAATCGTTAAAACCGTGATAAAAGAGTAACGTAATCATGATTGGACATCTCTCGTTGAGGCCGCTATCGGTTCATCCTTCTCTTTCTGTCCATGTCTGCGAGGGCACGTTTTATTATTCCCTCTGCCTCTGTAATGACATCGTTTCCTCGTCGCCATGTATACAGGGCCACACCTAGCCCGTCTAATTGCTCGTGTGCTCTTGCTAGTCTCCTCCTCCATAACTCAAGCTTCTTGTTTACTCCTTGAGGACCCATGTTAGGTGATCCTGCTGCTGATGTGTTGCCATCTGATCGGTAACCTGACGCCATTGAACCAAAAGACGTAGGGGGTTTCGCTGATGGTGGTGGAAGAGGGTCGTAGTCCACGTCCAGATTAGTTGATGACTGGGTAGGGCGTGGTGGAAGAGGGGGGTTTGGGTTCGAGTCTGAGATACTGGATGGTGTTCCCCTTCGACGTGGCGGAGGTGGAGGGGGACCACCTCCTGATGAAGCAGACCCGGAGCGACTTTGTGCTGGAATCTTGAAAGTCCCATTGCCACTAACCGAGCTTTGCTGGGAAGAGTTATGAATTTGCTTAAGAGGATGGGAATCCCTTGCCTGTACTCCCGGCCTTCTAGGCGGAGGAGGTGGAGGCAACTCATCGGAATTCGTTCTTGACAACCCTTTGTTCAACTCAGTGATGGACTTGGCACTCCTTAAAGCGACTGGCTTTGCTGGTCTGGGCGGAGCCGGTTTGCGCCCGCTAAGAAGGTCGGCAGTGCTGGCACTCTTTACGTCGGAGTTTTGAACTTGAGAGAGCCCCGCGTTGCGATCGACTCTTGTCTGTCGGGGTTCATCAGAGAAGTCAATCAATGTGCCCATAGTGGGACCTGCTGATGGTCTTCTTTCTGCTCTATATCCACTGGAGGACAGGTTCTGATATGAAGACTTCCGTGAGACGTTTCTTGATGCTTCATGAGAAGGACCTGCAGTCTTTGGTCGGGTGAGGTCGAATCCAGAGCTGAAGTATCCGGTCTCTTCGGGCGTTGTGACATCCCGAATAAAGACAGCTAGAATACGACCAGGATTTGACAGAGCGAGTTCTGTGTATACTTCAAGATCGGCTTCTCCACTGTCTCCAACAAGTATGAACTTCCGCTCAGGAAAGTCCCTCAGGAGGCGATTGAGTGTAGATTTCTTTCGTTCAGCCACTGGCTCGAAGATACCCTGTAACATGCCACTGTACTGTTTGAGATGAAGTGAGCCTGGCGGTAGACCGTGCATTTTAAAGAAACTGGCAAGTACTGGGAAGAGTTGCCACGGACTATTGGAGCAGTAATGTATGCTGACTCCCATGTTGGCCATTTTGTTATACCACTCCTTAACACCTTCAACCGAAAGATCGGCCAAATCGCGAATGAACGTGTTGCGAAAGATTTCCTTGGCTCCTGCAGAGATATTGGATTTCTTGACGGTGTCGTCGATGTCGCTGATAAGACTAACTCCGTATGGCTCAATGACTTTGATCTCTTGAACAGCAGACAGATCCTCATCTGCCAGAACACGAACATGAGTCGGCACGAAGTCGAGGGCGGCGCGAATAACAAAATGCCCGGCATCGTTCGTCATGACGGTCTTTGACTGCGATTTGGCTTCGTTGTAGAAGAAAAAGGTAATCGGGAGGGCAACGGATGGATTGGTCATAAAAGGGGCGATTCGAGCCATGAGATTGGCATTGGCGAGGACCAGGTCGCTGTCACTGAGCTCGCCAGCATTGGTATTCGATGTCATTGTTCTGGCTGACATCGTGGGACTGGAAGGGGCCGAATCTGGAGATTGATTTCCCCTTCTAGAGGGTTGGTAGTAGCTATCCGTGGAGGGATCATCGACCTCAGGCGGCTTTTCACTGAAGCGTCCTTGATAGGCAGCTTGCTTCTCACGTTGTCCTATTCGCTCTATCCGCCGAGCTTCGGCATTGATCTTTTCTTGGTCCCTTTCCTCTTCGTGTATCTGGTGGTGCGAACGTGGTAGTCCAGTTCCTGGGCTATATGCCTGGTCTGCTCGTGGGGCTGGGATACCACTCAATTGTCGTGCAAGGCCGATTAAAATTCGGTTCTTCCGCGTCATTGGACCAGTATGGGGTGCATAAATCCAGCCGCGAACATCAACATCAACAATCGCGTTTTCGTCCTCTTTTCGCTCCCATTCCTGCCGCCAAAAGTCCTCGTCTCTGATACTGCCATGCGGGGCATCTGGGTTGTGCGCGGCCAACTCGCCCCAATCCTGTTTGGTGTGCTGCTTGGCATAAGAGGGGAATAACACCATTTGGTCATCGCCTTTGACTACAATCGCAACATCCGGAAAAGCACCTGGGATGTGTATTCGGCCATGGTTTTCGTGTCCTGCACCGGCAGGGTTTGATCTTGTTTGATTGTATGATTCCTTGATCTCAGTGACCGCTGCCTGGCCGCTTCTGTACAGATTGCCAGCCATTGCTGCCAAGCGCTTCCTCCTATAGCCCCTCTCGCCATCCCCAGGGCTCGTCTCCCGGTTAGAACCGTACCCCATCATGGTTCCTGTTATCTGTGGTGTTTTATGAACCACTGAACCCCTAGTTCGGGTCCTCGCATGCTTAACAGGGCGAGTCGCTTGCGATCCTAGCCAAAGCTGCCTGCCTCGGCGCCGAACAATGTCCAAGATGCGTGATTGGTCTGCGCGCCGACGTTGGCGTTCGAGTAGGTAACGATAGACTCGGGATTGGAAATTGTGCTTGAGGTGAGGAAGAGTATTGAGGTGGAAATTGAGTAGTCGTTCGCGATATCGATCTCTAACAGTCCGGGGAAAAAGGAAGCGCGCCAGGCTCTGTTTGTGTCGGGGATGAGGGCGATAGGGACCGAAGAATCTAAAAGGAGCCAGCTTGCCGACTTTTAATAGGACCGGGTTTTAAATTTATAGAGTCAGACGAGGCTATCGCGGGGTGCGCTGGCGGCTGACGATTAGGAGTAGGAGTATGCGACGCGGTAAGGACAGTTCTCAGGCGGGTTCGTCTTCTGATGGAGGCTTCTCTCGGCCTGACAGGGCAGAGATAGGTAGTTAGTGAGGATGACAGTGGCACATGATTTGGATCGATCTCGGTATAATTGTGGTGGTTAGAGGCTCAGATGCGAGACATAGAGAGACCAGCTCGTGACCCTAACCTTAACCTGGGAAGGTAAGCTCACTAAGTTGGATCGGCCTTACGTCATCACATTCCCACGATACCCTGGTCCTTGTGCTTAGGTACGTACCTATCTAATCTGACCTCCGATATTGTAAGTGTAACCATGTGGCATGCATGAGGCTCTGCCGTTTATCGGTGCAACATTTTCTTACTGTACGTAATATTGTTTCTTTGCTTGTTTGCAAGCTGTTCAATCAAGAGATGGATGTTTTAGACCAACTAATTGAGATGACGATCATCTAAACTTTTGTGGACAAAGTATAATGGATCAAAGCCAGCCATGATGCTAACAGATAAGAGAGCATACCAATTGACTCGACGTCTCTACGCCTTTTGGATTACATTTGATTGCCTGTCTTTTACTTACCCCAAATATCCAATTCATGCAGACTTTTCAAACTAGAAACAAATAATCAGGTATAATTCGTAGCATCAACCAGGGATCATGGTTCTCCAGGCCAGTCTAGTAAAGTTTTAATGGGGATTGTCTCCGACTCCGGATAGCGGATAACAGCGGGAGTGCGGGCAATTAAGGTACAACAGCTGAATTGTTTGTATTTGGCAAGGAAACAAGACAGTGCCCCTCCAAAAAAGTGACGGATTGCCCTGGGCTGTCTATCCTGTCACTGTCACCTCCAAATCTACTACCCCGCCTCCGTGACTCAAAAACTTTTGACTGACTCAATCTCTTTATTACTTCTTTCTTCTGACTATTTGTATCTGGCTTATCCCCTTTCCTTTATACCCTCTCCATACACTGAATTGGAACTTCATCGCTCTCCAAAGTCCACTTGCAAAGATGACCATGTAAGCTGCGACTTCGGCGCCCTCCAAGCATGCAGCGCAACTAAACTTTTTCTTCCCAGGCTCAAGGAACCCTCCAAGAAATACAAGCCCTTCCAGGTGAATTTGGTGTTCTTTGACATTCAGACTTAACATAACTAACACCTTCAGGGCCCTAAACTCACAAACCGAACATGGCCCGACAAGACTATCGAGAAGGCCCCTCGCTGGCTGTCGTACGTCACTTAATTGACACTCTAAACGAACGTCTGAATGTTAACAATCCTCAAGGAGTTGTCTGCGCGATGGAAACCAGAGTCTGCCTGACCCCATGGTATGTCCATCCATACTTGCGCACAATTGCGACCTGAAACTCACTATGAATAGAACGGCGAGGAGAAGTGGCGCTACTTTAAGATGCTGTGTGATCTAGGATATAAGGAGATTGAAGTCTCTTTCCCATCCGCCTCCCAGACCGACTTCGACTTCACCCGACGCCTGATCGAGACCCCTGGAGCTGTTCCTGACGATGTCTTCCTACAAGTCCTGTCGCCCTGCCGACCTGACCTCATCCGCAGAACTGTTGAGTCTGTTCGCGGTGCCAAGAACGCCATTATTCACATCTACCTCGCTACAAGTGCTTGCTTCCGTCAAGTTGTTTTCGGCTACTCTGAGGAGCAAACCCTGGAGCTTGCTGTCGAGTGCACCAAGCTGGTCAGGTCTCTGACCAAGGACAACCCTGAGGCCTCTGGAACTAACTGGCAGTTCGAATTCTCGCCCGAGTGCTTCTCCGATACCGACCCCGACTACGCCGTGAGAGTTTGCCAGGCCGTCAAGGCTGCCTGGGGGCCCAATGCCGAGGCTGGTGATCAAATTATCTTCAACCTCCCCGCCACGGTCGAGCTGGCTACACCCAACATTTACGCCGATTTGATCGAGTCTTTCTGCAACAACATTGGAGATAGACAGGATATTTGCGTGTCTCTGCACCCCCACAACGATCGTGGATGCAGTGTCGCTGCCGCTGAGCTGGCTCAGATGGCTGGAGCTGACCGTGTCGAGGGATGTCTGTTCGGTAATGGTGAACGAACTGGAAATGTCGACCTTGTCACCCTGGCTCTTAACCTCTACACACAAGGTGTCAGCCCTAACATTGACTTCTCTGACCTGAACTCAGTTATCGACATGGTCGAGTCTTGTACTAAGATCCCCGTTCACCAGCGTGCTCCTTACGGTGGCAGTCTGGTTTGCGCCGCCTTCTCCGGCAGCCACCAAGATGCTATCAAGAAGGGATTCCAGGACCGCAAGAACAAGGGACTCAGCGACGAGGACCCCTGGAACGGCATGCCTTATCTGCCCCTGGACCCCCGCGATATTGGCCGAAACTACGAGGCTATCATTCGTGTCAACTCCCAGTCCGGAAAGGGAGGAAGCGCATTCATCGTTCACACCAAGCTCCAGCTCGACCTTCCCCGTGGTCTCCAGGTCGCCTTCTCCAAGGTTGTGCAGAAGCGCAGCGAGGAGGTTGGACGCGAGCTTTTGGCTTCTGAGATCACCTCGCTGTTCGAGCGAACATACTTCCTCAGCGAGAACCCCCACTTCCAGCTGGTCGACTACAGCATCACCCCCGACCGATCACGCTCTCCTGCACCTGCTGCCCAGGGCAGAACTCAGGACACCAAGGACTTTATCCGTATTTTCGAGGGTGTCATTCTGGTGAATGGCAAGGAGCTCAAGTTGCGTGGCCGGGGCAACGGTCCCATTTCCAGTATGGTTGCTGCTCTTAAGGAGATCAACATTGAGTTCGATGTCAACGACTACAAGGAGCACGCTATCGGTGAGGGACGTGGCGTCAAGGCTGCTTCTTACATCGAGTGTAAGCCTGTTGGCAGCAAGCACTCTGTCTGGGGTGTTGGTATCCACGAGGATGTTGTCCAGAGTTCTCTGATCGCTCTGCTGAGCGCTGCTAGCAACGTAAGTTCATTCTCTCAAACAACCAAAGGCCAAAATTAACAAGAATGTTTGTAGTTTGTTACCAGCCGACCTCCCAGCCCTCTGTCCAAGACTGAGACCGCCCCTGCTTCCCAAGAGCCCTCAAGCATCGTCTCCATCCTGGAGGAGAAGGCTAATGATATGTAGAATGGGAACGAGAACAAAAAACAAAGATAAAGAAAAATAAAGAAGCATCTGAGTCTTCACATGTTTGTACAATAAGGTTGGGTCAAAGAAGGAAGAGGCATAAATGACCAAAAAGCTTTTCAAATAGGGAGTTGGCAAAATGAAATGAGAATTGAACATATCATAATACTTTTTGAAATCTGATTGAAGTCAAGGCTTACATCGCATGTCATAAGCACCGTGGTAGCTAAGCTGGTATTCTCTTGAGACAGATCGATATGGGGACGTTTGTATTAAAGAGATATCCAAGACGTCAAGGAAAGAAGATCTAGATTTCATATTTGACATCTAAACGAGACAGGCACAGTCTTGGCAACCCCGTGGGGAACGTGAAATAGGAAGAGCCAAGACCTTGAACCCCTCACTTGAAGAATGAGTTTAAGGGCTTGGATGACCAAGACGAGCTTATCGAGCGGTTGGGATGTTGCTATACGGCCCAGGGCGTCGATCACAACGGCTATTTGAAACTCGAATCGTCGAACAACAGAACGTCTCTGGCGCAGAGTGGTCATAGTTCGACATCAGGTGGGAGTGAACAGTTTTCCCATACCCTATATCAGAGATACCAGAGTTTCAGACAATACCATCGATGTGTTCGTCTGTGGATTGTTTCCCTTCTACTGATTACGTCAAGAATTCATATTCGAGTGATTAGAAGAAGGGTTCGGGCAACCAGCTCTTGATGGGGAGCCTCTTACATCAACAAGATAATCTTCACATGATGGATAGAGACTTCAACTAACCGTGGCGCAATTTTTGTCTTGAACATAGTGAATATGGCCTAAGACACTAGCCCTTCCGGAGTAATTCTACAACTGAACAGAACGACCCATCCGCGGATATACCGTATGGAGTTTGTGATGCCAGTCGGAAGTTTCCGAACGGATTTCAGCCCTGCATATAAAGCCGAATACAGCATCTCCATCACATCTCCGAAGCCTCGATTGATTACTAGAATTACGATAGTATGGCCATATATGATCAACCCATACAATATGTGAATACGATGGTAACTCGATTAGCTATGTGGCTGCAGCTATACAGAAACTCGGCAGTTCCATGCACCTCTATACGAGTGTCTATAACTAAAACCTTGAAATGCGAGGAGAATATCAATGAATAAGAGATGAGTGGTATTAACTGTTTAGCACTAGCAAAAAGGGCCCGATTCACGAGTCTACAGATGGGGTAACCCAGCCTCCTTAAGCACTATGCCATCATCGACTTAAATCTCAGCATCGCACTTTCATTTCAACGCATTCAACATATACTGGCAATGAGAGCAGGTTTATGCAAATGAGAACCGGAGTGAACCTAATCGATCGGCTACGGACAAGGTTATGCTGGGTCAAGTTTAAGACAACCTCATTCAACATGTGAAGCTGTTGCCAACGGAGTTTCGGTCTTGCGTACAACACGCTATTGGTCGATCTCGAGTTGAGCGCAACGGCCACCACCAATAGTTTACGCGGAAGCTTTCGTAAAGAAAAACAAAGGAGTTTCGATGTGCGATTGACTTTGTTTAAGCCAGGAACAAAGACTGCCCTGTCGATCATGTCTTAGACGTCAGGACTACCACCCTCCTTGATACCACGGATACTTTGTTAGACGGGAGATCATCATACTTACCTACTGATACAACATGGCTGTTCCTGGCAGATAGACCGTTCCAGATGCCAAGAGTATTTCTATAGTGACACATTCAAAAGGGCAATACCGCTTGCATATCACAAGTCCCCTGGCCAAGAAGCCTACCCGCTACGGCCCGGCGGCAACGGCGTGTTTGTAAGACCGCACTGGGTATAGCTTCCCGGAGCAAACTGTCAAAAGATCCCAAGTCTCTTCAACACAAGGTTTGGCTGGAATGCAGTCGAGCAAAGGGTCCTAAGCTAAGCCATGTAAACTTTGGAATGTCGATCGGGATGTTTTCCTAAAGCTTGTTAGATCCAGGCCCGACTAGTTGTTGTCGAGATCGTGGTGGCGATGGGGTGGGATGGTGTTGAAGAATGTGTATATAACTCCTCTGGTCTGGCGATGTAGGTGAACTTGGAATATCACCACCACCATCAATTCACTCGTTACTCTTTCTTTACTTTCTTGTCAAGTGACTACGATTCATTAGTCAAAATGAAGTTCTTCAACCTCATCACTCTGGCTGCTCTTGCCACTGCTGTTCCTCACGTCCGCCGACAGGATACAATCACTGGAACCATCAAGAACGCGGCGAGTGCTATGGCCGATGATACTATGACGGCTATTACAAATATTGGTATGTCTTCCTTTGCCGAGTCCCTCGAAAGTTGTTTTTTATTGACCGAATTACAGAGAATGCTGTTGAGGCTCTCAAGACCACCAACACTACCACCGGTGCAGCCCCAATCCAGGCCCAAAACGCCGTCAAGGCCAATGTTCAAGAGATTGTCGATGCTCTGAAGGCTGCCACCGCTGAGGTCAACCGCGTCACCACCGAGGCTCGAGGAAGCGTCGGTGCTCAAGCCGCTGGCTTCCAGAACGCGGACGTTGTTCAACTCACCACGTCTCTCAAAAACGTCGTGAACGTTATCAAAGAGATCGCCGCGACAGTGGGCAACATCACTGAGAGCTTGACTCCCGAGCTTCTTTCTACCATTGATGCTGAACTCAGCGCTCTCAAGGACTCCATCAACCCTCTTCTCCGCCCTCTTCTCCTCCTCGGTGTTGCTGTCCGAAACACTGCCAACCAACTCGTTGGTGGTGTTGAAAAGAGTCTGGACTCTGTCATCACCAACATCATTTCCACCCATGGTCAGCTTGCTAAGCTCCTTGGCCTTTCTAGCCTCCGAGGCATCTAAAGAACTCAAAAGAATGAAGGGACTTGAATGATTTCATGACATAATGATCATTTTCTATTCTAGCTCACTAAAGATGTCAAGCCATACGCGTTGACAAGAGCTCTTACACTCCTTTATAATTAATATAATCTTTCCCTTCATGAACCTAATGGATCGTTAATGCTCGACTGTAATACTCCCCGAACGCCTACCGGAAGACCATCCTTGCTTTGTCGATCAGGGTTCCGGAGATCTACAGGTACAAAACTGCCAAACTCTATCACAACATTCCTCTACCAGCCGAGAGCCGGAACATAAGCCGAATCAGGTTTAGTTGCACAGAAAAAGACCGAAGACGGTGCAGATGCAGATAGTCAAGAGTATAATTAAATCTATCTATACATCGCTGCCAAATAAAACTCCTAAACTTTTAGACTTATCTTCTACCACCTCGGCCGCCTCTGCCTCGGCTGCCACCCCTTCCACCTCTACCACCGGCCTTGCCCCTGGGCTTACTAGGAGCTTCGTCCTTCTCACCTCCCTTGCTGGACTTGTTCTTGGCCTTGGCATCTTTGTGTCGGGCCTTCATCTCAGCCTCTGACGTCTTGCCCTTCCTCCACTCTCCGCCACCCTCGGAACGCATCTGCTTTGCGTCTAGTCGTTTCTTGTCCTTGTTGCTAAGCTTGCCTGTCTTCATCTTCATGGTCTCCCTCAAACCGTTGAGCTCATCGCGGCCAGCTTGCTTGGACTTCTTCTTGTCGTGCTCGGACTCGAACCATGTTCGCTTAGGTCGTCCCTTGATCTCGGCTTCGTGGTGAATCAAGTTCTCACCCTTCTTGATTTGCATGTCGACATGGGCGAGCTGCTTCTCCTCCTTCTCCTCCTGCATAATCTCCTCAATTTCGTCATCCATCTCGTCGATCTGAGCTTGAAGAGCGTCAACATCATCGGCATCAAGTTGTCGACTGACAATCTTGGAACCTTGAGCCTTGCCTGCCTTGACAGCAGCCTTAACGACCTTACGGTCCTTTTCAGAAGCTATTGTCAGAGCAATACCCTTGCGACCAGCACGGGCTGTTCGACCGACTCTGTGAACGTAAATATCGTGTGATTGAGGAGCCTCATAGTTGATGACAACGTCTACACCCTTGATATCAAGACCACGAGAGGCAAGATCAGTAGCTAGGAGATATGAAACCTTGCCGTCACGGAAGTTCTCAACACTTGCAATACGCTGAAGCATGTTAGTGAATGTCATGATTGGGAATGAATATGGGACTAACCTCTGTTTGGTTCATGCTACCGTGGAGCTCAGCACATGATAGACCAAGCAGGCCAAAGATGATTCGGGCTCTGTGAGCCTCCTTCTTTTGACGGAAAAAGATAATAACTCGCTCCTTGTAAAGGTTCTTGCAAACATATGCCAGGTAACCCATGCGCTTCTCCTCTCGGCCGGGTCGTAGACGGACAAACTCTTGGACCAGAGTAGTGACAGTCTTTTTCTGAGAATCCACCATCACTCGAGCAGGTCTGTTAAGACCGACCTTGATAAGACGGTCGACACTGGATGTCATGGTAGCGGAGAAAAGCATGGTTTGTCGTGATTTGGGGAGTGTTGTAAGAATTTCGTTAAGTTCGTCGGCGAAACCGTCCTCGAGCATACGATCGGCTTCATCAAGGACCATAATCTCAACAGTGTCAACGTTGAAGCTGGCAGAGTTGCGCATATGATCAATGAAACGACCGGGTGTCGCAATGATGACATCGGGTCGCAGCTTCAACTCAAGTTCCTGGGCCTTGAGACTGAGACCACCAACGGCAAGAGTGAACTTGATATCGGTGAACGCAGCGAGCTTTGTCGCGACAGCGTGACACTGAATAGCCAATTCACGAGTAGGAAGAAGGACGACAACACGAGTGGTAGGAATCTTCTTGGGTCGGTAAAGAAGACGTTCCAGGATAGGCAGGATGAAAGCACCTGTCTTACCACTACCTGTCTGAGCACCACCGACGACATCCTTACCCATCAGCGCAATAGGGATAGCCTTGGCCTGAATGGGCGTGGGCTTGTTGAAGCCGACTGAAGCAAGACCACGCTGAATTGGGCGGGACAAGGACATTGACTGGAAAGAAGAAGCAGATGTCTTCTTATCGGATGTGTTCTCGTCTTCAGGAGCGAAGAAAGCCTTGCGCTTGGCTTCCTCCTCTGCATCTTCCTCGTCGTCGCTGTCGTCGGAACCATCATCTTCAGGGTGGCCGGTGGGAGTAGCAACAGAGTCGTTGTCTGAGGCAGCATCGTCGTCCTCGTCTCCCTCAGCAACAGATCCCTCCTCCTCCTCATCATCCTCGTCCTTTTCATCGCCAGATTCCTCGGCATCAGAAGCAACGTTCATACCGAATGCGTCGTCAGCGAGGACCTCATCGTCGTCATCGTCCAGGTCAACTTCCATAGCCTCGGCCTCGACCTCGTTCTCTTCAGCCTCAGGCGCATCCTCGGTAGACTTTCCAAGCTTCTTTTCGCGGCGTCTTCGGATGATTTCATCAAGATCCACTCCCTTCTTGTCGGCGTTCATTCCCTTCTTTGCGCCGTCGAAACCCCAACCCTCGAACTCTTCTGTGCCTAGGTCGTTGTTGTCTTCACCACCGAACTCGAAATCGGAGTCCATAGCACCATCGTCGTCATCTTTGAATCCCCAGATGCCTTCTGCGCCATCGCTTTCCTCATCCTCGTTTTCGGGGCTGGCAGCGCGCTTCGATTTCTTTGACTTTTTCGCAGTTTTGGCCTTCTTCTTGGGAGGCTCTGCAGTGACTTCCTCCTCCTCAACGGGAAGCTCGTCGTCGTCGTCAATTGTGTAGATGAAGTCGTCTTCCGCGGGCTTTCGCTTATTTGAGGGCGCCATCTTGTCAATTAGAAAATGGTACTTGTTCTACAATTGATCAAGATTTGCAGAACGCGACTTCAAGCAGTGGGGCACCTTCTTGGATTTGGAGCAAATCTCGAACTTTTTTTTTTCTGCCGCTTCTGGAAATTTTGGCGGTGAGAGCTTGCAACAGAGGCCATGGAGAGCGATTGGATCACCTACCAGTGCTCTGCCACGTGACGTCCCGCAGAGGGGTTCAGAGACAGTACGTGGCGGTACATGCACGGCCCATTAAGGAACAGCAAAAACACAACGCAGGCACTGGTTCTTCTGGGTAACCCCCCACCAACGGCTGAGTGGTTGATTGGGTGACAGGCAAACGGGCTGGCAGCTTCGTGGAATCAGCGCGAAGGCAGTTGCTTTTAATTTCTCCCCAACTTAACCCGACAGACGCAATCTCTCTTAGCCTCTTGTCCCTTTTGCGCCATTCTTCCTTCTGTTTTCTTCTTCTCCAAGACCATACTCTTCTTCGACAGCATTTTACGACCCCGATAATAAACCACAAACCCCAACAATCAGTTCAAAATGGGAGAGTCGAGGTTGGTGACCATGTTCAAGGCTGTCGATGAAATGGCAGATCCTACCTACAAAACCGTCGCAGTTTGTAAACTAACCTGGGGCGTAATGTAGACAAGAGCTTGTTGCATGGCTCAACAGCCTTCTGCAACTCAACATCACAAAGGTTGAGCAATGCGGTACTGGGTAAGTTGTTCTATCCTCACTTGCCCCGCCCCCTCGTTGCGGTTTGCTACGTTGTGTTGCACCATGCCATCATGGAGGAGCAATCCATAACAAAACACCAAAACAACCCCGCGATCGCCATCACGATGTCCTCTAGCCATGACGGTCCTCTCTTATGGCGAATCAACACTGCACGGAGCAGTCATGATCTACAGAATGACCGATTCTAACACCGCTTTTTCAGTGCCGCTCTGTGCCAGGTCTTCGACAGCATCTACATGGACGTTCCCATGTCCAAGGTCAAGTTCAACGTGAACTCTGAATACCTGTACATTCAAAATTTCAAGGTCCTCCAAAGTCAGTCGCCTTTACCTTGACTCGTCCACGGTACCATACTGACTCGTTGGCAGACACCTTTGCCAAGCACCAGATCGACAAGCCTATCCCCGTCCCTCAACTCATAAAATGCAAGATGCAGGACAACCTCGAGTTCCTCCAATGGACAAAGCGATTCTGGGACCTTAACTTCCCCGATCACGAGTACGATGCCGTCGCCCGACGAAAGGGTGGTTCTATGCCTCCCGCTGCTGCCGCTCCTCGACCCGCCGCTACTACTGGCGCCGCTCGCCGTGGAGGCAGCACTCCTAGCGGTGGACCCCGTGTTGCAAAGGCCGCCGGACCCGCTACCGCCGCTCTGCAGCAAGAGAACGCTACGCTCAAGGAGACAGTGGTTGGTCTGGAGAGGGAGCGTGACTTTTACTTCAGCAAGCTCCGAGATATTGAGCTCCTTGTTCAACAGGCTGTCGATGAGGATCCTGAGTTGGAGAAGCAAGAGGATGGCCTTGTCAAGCAGATCCAGACTATTCTGTATTCTACAGAGGAGGGATTCGAGATCCCTGCCGAGGGTGAAGCTCTGGATGACCAGGAAACTTTCTAATCGTTCTGATACCATCAGTCTCTCGAGAGATATAATGAACGCGACCACGAATGTGCTTTGGGGGACAACAATAGGTTTCTCTGGCAGGAGGTTAAAAGGGCATGAATTTGGAGTTGTGGACCGATACTTTTGGGGAGAGACGTTTAGCCATAGAAGCGAAACTTTTCTCTTTAACTTGTTCCGGGAAGTGTATTGAGTCCTTGAGAATGAGTACAAATTTGATCTTGTTGGACACCCGGCTTTGTGTTGAGTAACACCGTGGGAGGCCAGCGGGGGACGGGACGGGCCGCAGCCATGAAATCAAGGCCGAAGTTAAGATGGGTTGAGGATACATAGCTAGCTGTGATTCTAGCGATTTCAAGATTAACGGTATGGGCTTTATATCTGTTAAGCCATTGGGAATAGAGAACTTTTGATTGCCTTCGTTTGTATTTCGGGTTATCCGAGAGAGTCTGATTCATGAGCTCACCAGTAGTTGAAATCTCATGAGTGACTGTAAAATAAGCTTTCGGTAGGGTAGGTTCTTCAATGAATGGAGGGCTGACAGCCCGAGACTCTGCCTTGACCTGTCGTCTTGGCTCACATAATTGTCTCGTGACATTGCCTCTCTTTGTTACCATATATAGGATATGGACCTCTCATGGTTACTGCATCCAACCTCTGCAAGTTTCTGCCTTCTTGTATCAGATGTCTGATATACAGAGGGTGATTCAAAGCTGTTTTGGGTATACTTCGAAAACTCTCATAAACAAAGATCGCTACATTGACTTATCAGATTGTGTTGAAGCGCACTTTGTCAGATGAACGTTTACTGTCGCACCAGGTTTCACCGTCGAGCGGATTCCACTTGGTCGAGGCAGATACAACACAAGAAATATACGATACGTAGAGTTGTTTTAAATGGAAATAAAGTCGTTTCAGAGGAAACCAGTAAAACACAGAACGAAACAATATCTTTGTTTAGTTCAGCCGTCTCTGTAGTATTGGTGATGGATGGGCTTGTGAGACTTAAGCCGAAGCTAGAGCAGATGCAGATACAGTCCGTAATTGAGTCTGTAAATTTTCGTGAACAAACATCGAGGAACAATGAAGTAAATATGTTTATTAGATATGAGATCTCAGCATCTGACGGTTGTGAACTAAAAGTAGTAAGTTGTAAGTCAGCGATGCCTTCAGTCGAATGATATCAATCACAGTGTGATTCTGTACTGTATAGCTGGTCGCATGCACAACCGATTCCAGTTTAGTGGCGCCAATTACCGGGCGCCGTGACCTTGACGGTCAGCCTGCGCTATAGAACAGGGCCTGCATAACTAAAGTCTCACTGTACGAATACGTCAGGCAGCTCTTAGGTATGCTATCTAGAGAAACGCAATGACCATGACGCAGCCACCATTTCTCTCTTTCATATCTTGGTTTTTGCCCATCGCTCACATCAAAGTTGTTCTTCATAGAACGTATTATATTGCATCCTTTTGATTCCAAATCATCGTCTCGTACAAATCCCAGTGAACAGCGAAGCGCAAAGTAGTAAAGAACCCCAACATGGCTCCGCCGCCAGAAATCGCCATTCCTTCCACCAGCGTCTCCGACGAGGGATCTAAGAAACCGTATACACTCTACAATATCACACTTCGACTACCTTTGCGCTCTTTCGTCGTTCAAAAAAGATACTCCGACTTTGATGAGCTCAACAAAACGCTCACGCAGGAAGTTGGCGCGCCACCACCAGAACCGCTTCCTGCCAAACACTGGTTGAAATCCACTGTCAACAACGTCGAATTGACCCGCGACCGCCAAACCGGACTCGAGAAATATCTACGTGCGATCGCAGAGTCGCCTGACCGACGATGGCGCGACACCTCAGCATGGAGAACTTTCTTGAACCTGCCCAGCTCGAGCACGACAAATTCTGCAGTATCAGCGGGCGGAATGTCGAGGAATGCTGCCGCTGGCGCCGCGGATCCAGGTACATGGTTGGACATTCATCGGGATTTGAAACAGAATCTACATGAGGCTCGACAGTGTTTGTCAAGGAGAGATGCAGCTGTGGATAATGGCAACTCGACAGCTGCAGCGGAAGCAGGCGCGGCGGCCAAGAGAGTCCTCGTCCGCAGTGGAACTTTGATCGCCACACTCGCCGACGGGCTGCGAAGAATCCAAGAGTCTGGAAGACTAGGCGAGGGTGAACTAAGGCGTCGTCGCGACCTAGTTTCTCAAGCTCGCATGGAACGGGAGGGTTTGGATAAGCTTTCTAACAGCATGCCCAGCTCAACGGCTGCTGCCGGACGAGGTGGAGTTAGTCAAGGCCAGGCTTCAGCAGCCGATAAAGCTGGACTTCTAAGGGGAGGCCGTCCCGCCGGTCGTGTTTTGGGTGCTCCTCTGCCAGAGACAGACAAGACACGAGAGCTGGACAACTCAGGGGTGCTGCAGCTCCAGAAGCAAGAGATGCAGAACCAGGATCTCGCAGTCGATCAGCTTACGGCTATCATCCGGCGACAGAGAGAGATGGGTGAGCAGATACACGAGGAAGTCGAGCATCAGATTCGATACCTGGATGAGTTGGATCAGGATGTCGACCGAACAGGTGCGAAGCTGAAAGTTGCCAACAACCGCATTAAGAAGATGTGACTGTTGTTTCTCACGCTGCTGGTACGGATAATTCTGCTTGTGGTTCAAGTCGCCGTTTGGTGGCTATGGGTTCTAAGGATACTACTTAATGGGCTGTCATGGGTCGCAGACGCTGCGACTTTCATATCGCAGCAATGGGGAGGGAACGATTAATGGATGGATGTTTGTATAGGCATGCAAGGCGTCCTGTGCTATTGGAATGGGTTCTCGATCTCTCAGCGATTGTATATACATAGATCGCCTAGTACTGTACTGTTAGGTGTTTGCATGGTAGGAGTAAAGCAATAATAGTTCGATTAGCGATTGGCAAATGAGGACTAGATGCAGCATCACCGTTGAGCGTACATTAGAGTTTGCAGCATCACATGAAACCTTGTTCCTTGTCGAGTGATGAACGTGTTGAGTGCTGCCCACCACGGACCTTCTCCACAACCAGCCGCCTGTTTCATTCTTGGGGACCCTCTGAGTGTCAGAAGAATTGACCCCGGGGAGCATAAGAGACGAAATAACTTCGTCATTTAAGGTCAGTTAAGACCGGCACTTGGGCTGCTTTATTTCTGTAGCCTAAGCCTTAGAGGACAATTCTTCTGACATCCACCTGGGGACTCGCAGCTCAACACCGTTGTTTCTCATTGCGCCTCTTGGTTACATTGCCGGATAATCGTATTGTACACAAATTCACCCGATGTATCATTGGTTACACCGGAGATGACAGGCTTCTTGGTAAACAGGTGACTCGACTTGACGAGCTATCAAAAAAGCCAAGTTGACCCTGGCCACACCGTCCCGCTCTTGCATGAGGATGAGCTTACATGGATCACGGCGGTACATCAGAAGTACTTGGTGGTCTGTCACTTCTCATTAGCCCACCACGAGGAGAGCAGGGTGCCTAATAGAGGCCAGACCACGAGATGAAATTCTCTTAACCACACAGAAGAAAGCAAAATGATTGTTGAAGTTCATTTTTCGCTCGGCCAAGGTGGTTTCAATGTGAGACTAGCTCAGAGATCGGGCTTTAGCATAACATCAGGCTCAGACATGCAGCGATTTAACTGCTCTGCATTGAGTTGCACGAGAGTCCGTCGTAGGCTAATAGATTTGGTGGCGGAGCTACGTCACTAGCCGAAGTGGTCGCGAGTTTAGCGCGCTATTTCTTCTGATCTGGGGTGTATTCTGCTGATCTCTGGTTGCCAGGCAACGCTCAATTGAAGAGGACAATTGCTTTCGAGTCAGGTACCAATTTGCTGGAAATTGCAGGATTGACTGCTTGATAAATGCACAAATGAAGTGCATTTGGTCGTCGATTGGTGCCACGATTTTGATATTCGATATTCTCGTAAAGATTATTTTGCGTTTTTTGGAGGCTGGGCAAAGACCAGCTGGAGAAATAAAAAGAGGGCCTCAGCGGTGAAGAAGGGACAGCCACTCCTCTTTCCTTGGCGTCGCGGAAGCTACGGGCAGTTCAAAGCCAATCGGCTCTGAACTTCACTCGAAACTTGAGTTGAGTCGCAAGTTGAGGGATTTGCAACAAACATAATAAGCTTTCAGAGTTGTATTCGAGGTTGCATTCAAGTAAATGACGTCGGCAGATGAAGGGAAGCAGTTTGGCGGTTTCTTGGAGTCACTGGTAGCCCCTCAGGTACCAAACTCAAAGCTCCCACGGTAGTGGGAAGTCGAGTCATTCTTGTAACTAGAGGATGTTTATTTACCTCGATTGACCAAGAACAAAACCGCACCCGTGGTATTGGTGCTGTGGCACCCCAGTATGTAACCACAGTGAGAGACGAAAGAAGAGCCGCGGCATCGTCTAAGCCGCAACAAGGATACTACGAGGCCCAGACCACGAATGCGGATTTCAGTTACCTCAGCACTTTCTGGCGGTGAAAACATCGCCGTTGCTAGTTTCAAGTTTCCTCTCATGCGTGCAAACTTTTGCACAGGTGGATTTGTTTGCCAGGGCAAGAGCTCGGGCTTTTACCAACAACTGCGGGACTTTGATGAAGTGTCAAGGAACCGATGCACGAGATATCTTCCCAGCGGGGACAGATGCTAGATTCTGCAACTTTTGTTGACGAGCATTGGAGCAAGCTGCAAGGACCAGAAGCAAATGCATTCACTGCTGCCCAATCGTTTCAAAACGCTTGAGGGGAATGCCTATCACGACACCTGTCTCTTTAGATCGACAGGCGGGGAAGATCCCATTTGCTGTGCGCGAGTTGGCACAAGCTCATAAACGAGCCCGGAACTTCCTTCTGCTCGGTAACGGTTTGTCGCTAAATTGCCCAGTCGCCGAGTCTTTGGAGGGGTTGCCGACAAGAGGATCCGTTTGAGTCGAAATGGCTCATACACCTTGGGCATCTCAGCCAGCTTTTGGGGTTATGATTTGGGTCGTCAACCTCAGAAGACCGTTTTGCTGCTATCCAATAGCCTGTCCTTGTAGTCGTTCTGCTCTTTGATCCACAGGGTCCCGTCAATGCTTTCCATGGACAGGATGCAAGCCACCCGCATTGCACAAGGAACAGGTGAGAAGAATAAGAGGGTTCTCGAGTATGAGAGCGTCGAGATAGTGACAAGCAGGGGAGACCCAGCTTCATGTCTTGTGGGAAATGAAGAGGAACTAATAGCAGTCGTTCCTTCGAGAATGGTGTTCGGCAGATGGAAGCAGGATATACCTTGATAAAGGACGCTTACACTCTGCCAAAGGCGACTTCGATATAGCCTTTGTATCATTGGTAATCGCAGCTTCATATATCAGGCCGCCAGTATCAGAGCATATCTCCATATCCAAACCAGAAAAAAAGTACAGGACAACAGTTGAATGCCCTGCACGTCAGATAGGGTTGACATGTCAACCAGCCATATCGTTAACAAAGCCGTTCAGCATATCGTATCATGGATCGCAACGGCCTCCGCCAGCCCAATGAACCTTTGCGAATCGTGAGGAGACAAGAAATTGAAGTCTTTCAGGACCAGCGTTGGAACCTACCCAGTCCCAGTCTCTCCACTGATAGGATAAAAAGTCCAGGGTGAAGTTGTCGTTTGCGACTATTCACCAGTTAGAAACCACGAGTGAGTGACGATGTCCATAGGGTGGGTCACTCTAAGCGGGTGTGCCCCGCCGACCAGGGCAGCTGCGCTAGCCATGAAGCGTCACAGCGAGTCTTCAGGCCCTGGCCTAACTGCAGAAGGCGCTCATGGTACCTGCAATGTACCTTCTCCAGGGCTCATCCACCCGTCAACCCGCCTGCATCCACCCACCCACCCACTTCACTCGATACCCATGCCCGTCCCGTCCGCATCCACCTTTCCCAAAGCGCCTGGAAGTAAACATGGATACTCCCATGTTCTCTGCTTGCTCTTGGTCTTTGCCTCGACCTTGTCTGGTCTCTCTGTCTGCACTCTCTCTCCACCTCCGCCTCTCTTTACCTGCATCTCCACCAAGAAGCCGCGCCATTTTTCTACTGTCTCCTCCTCTCCTCGTGCTCTTGACATCCTGGCTTTTTACTTCTCGCTTGTCTGAGCCGGCAGCACTGGTTCTTTGCATCTCGCAACTGCACCTAATTAAGGTCAATAGAGCATTGTGTTTTGTGTCACAAGCGGTCGTTTCTGCTTCGTTGCTCTTCGCACGATACTTTTTGCAACATCAGTTTTCCTCTGGATCCTCGACTCGAGTTAGATCCGAATTCCCTGTATTACCGATTTTGTCTTGCGTGAGTCCGTCCTGTCCAACCTCGTTTCCCTTGCCGCGCACCCAGCCCCAGCCACTCGGGATTGGAAATTTTTCGACTGCTGTTTTTGTATTGTCAACTTTACAACTTTCGTTAAACGGCTCTTTCCTTTGCTTAATCCCAAGTATGCCGAAGGCATCAACTGACCTGTCTGATTTTAGTACCGATAATATCTCGCAGCCTTGATGGCTACCGCGAGACTCTCGTAATTCAGCGCTCGCGTCTAACGACTACGACTCCGAACCCCCGATAGGACAAGGAGTTATCTTAAACAACCCATTCGAACTGAACGACGAGAATGAGCGGCCCCCCTCCGCCGCCTCCGCCTCATGGCGGAGTGCCAAAGGGTTCTGGCTTGCCTCCAGGCAAATACGATATCTTCGTCATCCCTGAGCACTCATCCGGAGGCGGTTTCTTATACCTCCCGTCTATGCAACCGAATGTGAACAGTTTCGCTGCCGGATTCGCCTCAGCCTTGATACTCGTTGTGCTTGGTCAGACGCTCGCCCCCGTCTTCCGTACTTGGTGGGAAAGCTTCAATGGATTGAATAATGCGGCAATGGGAATGTTGGTCATTGGTGTCGGCTTTGGAGCATGGGCATTGGGTCGGTTCCAGAATCAGGATAAAGGTTTCCCTGGGGCTCCTGGAGGCAGTGGTCCTGGTAGTTCTGGGCGTGGTGGTCAGGGAGGAGGATGGAATTCGGGTTTCTGGTCATCAAATTCAGCAGGAGCACCACCACCTCCTTCACCGCATGGCACCCCTCCTCCGCCGCCTCCTCACCATGATACTCCTCCCAGGCCTCCACCTCATGGCAGTGGTCCCAGAACATCATGGAACAGCGCGCCGCAGTCCGACTCTCCCCCTCCGCCTCCTCCTCACTCGGCACGGCAATCACCTCGAAATGAGTCCGAGCCGTTTCCTCAAGCTCGGCCTCCACCACCGCATACGCCTCCCGAGACACCTCCACCGAAGCCCTCCAAATCGAAGTCCAAGTCAAAACCTAAGCCACGGGATCCCTCGCCTCCGCCGAAATCTCGTCCCTCAAGTCCTCCTCCAAAGTCCAAGTCCAAGCCGGCGCCTGATCCAGAGAAAGTCGCCAGAGCTGAAGCCGCAAAGGCCGAGGCAGCAAAAGCTGAGGCTGCAAGAATCGAAGCTGCAAGAATCGAAGCTGCAAAAGCCGAGGCCGCCAAGGCAGAAGCTGCCAAAGCTGCCAAAGCTGAAGCCGCAAGGATTGAAGCTGCCAAAGCCGAGGCTGCTAGGATTGAGGCCGCTAAAGCTGAAGCTGCCAGGATAGAAGCTGAGAAGGCGGAAGCTGCAAGAATTGAAGCCGAGAAGGCCGAGGCCGCAAGGATCGAGGCCGAGAAGGCAGAAGCCGCGAGAATCGAAGCTGCAAGAATAGAGGCTGCAAGACTTGAAGCGGAAAAGGCAGAGGCTGCTAAGAGGACTTCATGGGCAAAGGCTCGCGAAGAGATGAGAAGGAAGGAAGAAGAACGCAGGGCGAAGGAAGCCGAACAAAAGCGACGAGAAGAAGCCGCCAAACGACTTGCTGAGTTGAGAGCAAAGGATGCCAAGGAACGTCAAGAGAGAGAAAAGCAGCGTGAGCGTAAGGAACAGGAAGCCAGAGAGAGGAAAGAACGACTCGAGGCTGAGCAACGCGCCAAGGAGTTGGCGATCAAATTGGAGGAAGAGCGCAGAGAACGTGAGCGCTTGGAGAAGGAGGCCAAGGAAATTCGCGAAAGAGAAGCACAACGGGAGAAGGAGGCTCGCGAGCTTGCAGAGAAGAAGAAGAAGGAAGCCGAAGAGCGCGAGGCCAGAAGAAAGAAGTTTGCTGCTGAACGAGAGGCTCTCAGGAAGAAGGAAGCCGAGGAGGCCAAACGACGAGAAGAACAGCAGAAGCAAAAGGAGATGGAAAAGGCTGAGAAGGAGAGACTTGAGAAAGAGAAGGCTGAGAAGGAACAAGCTGAAAAGGAGAAGGCTGAGAGAGAACGAGCTGCAAGAGAGACTGCCTCCCGTCAACCAAGCAGTTACGCCTACTCGGGTGTTGGTGAGAAGACCAGCATGTGGCCGAACGGTCGCCCGCCTGCTCCGAAGTCCACCACTTCGACATCTACTGCTCCCAGACCTGCGCCCAGCACAGCTTCCACTCAACGCAAGCCTGCTCCTTCTGCCACTAGATCCAATGTTTCTGGCGTTAGCACCGAAAACTCATATCGACCTTACGACAAGCCAAAGCAGCCAAGGCAAAGAACCTCCATGTCTTCTCTGGGCTCCGAAGAATCTTGGGCCGCTTCTCAGACTACTGGTCGAACGACGCCGCCTCCTTCGAATCGGACTGGCCCATACTCTACCAAGGATCCAGAAAAGATTGTTATCTCGGGTGTCTATCTGTTCATGAACCAGTTCTCCAAGACACCCGCCAGTCAGCTTATCTCCGGTGTCGGAACGGTGACTGACGGACTGATACTGCGCGTTACTACCGAAGGTCTTTTTATTGATGACGATGTTCGAAGTGTACCTCAACGAGAATGGGATGTTAAGGCTTGGACGCTCAAACAAATCGAGGTATGTTGTTCCTATACGATTAGAAGTTTCAAAATACTAACATAATTCCTCAGACTGGAGAGTGGAAATCCCAGGGTCTGCACATTGTGCGCGCCACAGTTCGAGACCAAGAAGGTAAACGATACCTGTTCGTTATCGATGAATCGGAAGCCTGGAAGATTTCAATCGCACTTCAACGTCTCCGACGCGGTACCCAAGTTCGACAGCTCGCTGTCAACAACATGGCAGCAGCAGATGCCCGAAGCACCCTCGAGATGCTGGGATGGGCTTGATAAGATCAAGACCTTTGCGAAATACATATTCGCTTCGGTACATAGATTTTGGGACAGACGGTACCAAGACCACCAACATAGGAGGACGAAGAAGATCAGAACAATAGAAGAGAGGGGGCAGCGCAGTGTTTTATGGAGGACCAGGACCGGGATAACACAAGTGGTTACCTGGGTGAAAAAGGATCGAGCGAGTGCAGCATTTGTGGCGACATGGTTGTTGGAATGTCAGTGAATTGCATAGCAAGACAGGAGTACCGGGGTAAGGCGGATCTGGATTTTACTAGGCTGGCCTACCTGCGTCAGTGATTTTGGTTTGATTGTTAGCATTCTGTTCATCATACCCCTTTTGCATCTTTGAAAAATTGGATCAATGATAGATTTTACGATGAAAGATATGACCATAGTAAAGACATCTAATTCTCAACTCTCGTATATAATCTCGTGCTGTGATTGGTTGGGCTTTCGTTTGCAGCTTTAGGGTAAGTCTCTAGGCATCAGACTACCTAATCAGACATATCTATCTTGAACTGATGTCTTTTATTCAGGTACACTCTTCAATAGATGCCAACTTCTTGGACTGTTTTTAGATTACATTGTTCTACTGAATTGCTTTGTCATAAAATAGAAAGTATGTGATGTTTATGCCGCAAGCTCAGTTCTTCCAAAGGCACGATGTCGTCGCAGAAAGTGTAAATAAACTGGGCTGAATTGATGTGAGTTTTATACTTCCCAATCAGACAATAATTAATCTGATATGCACAAGATTAAATGAAATACTTCAGAGCAGAGTAAGGGCCTGGTGTTGGTAAATACCTGAAGTCCTGATGTCGACATTGCCAAGTTGCGGTTGGTTGGTCATGTGATGCAGCCAATGTTAACACTGTACTGTGGCTTCTGGAGGCTAGGAACTGAAACCACTCACTTACACTCCCACTCACATCACCTAACGACACAACATTCAGTGAAAATGGAGACCATATATCTCATTCTCGGCCTTTTCATTATTTTCATGGTTGGACGGGTAAGTGAAGCTTCCTGAACCTACTCATACACCAAACTAATTGACATTCCAGGCTGTCTTCGCGGATCGCTCACCCATCCCCGAGACCTCAGGCAAAGTGAACAAAATCTCACAGGCTTCAGAGCTGAACAGCGTCCTCACCTCAAACAAACATGTCGTAGTAGATTTCTACGCCGACTGGTGCCCGCCGTGTCGTGCCATTGCCCCGGTCTTTTCCTCCCTCGCTGACAGGCACGCTTCCGCTGGTCATCTTGCTTTTGCAAAGGTCAATACCGATCATGTCAAGGATGTTGCTTCCAAGTATGGAATCTCGGCTATGCCGACTTTTGTCTTCTTCACAGATGGTGTGCCCAAGGGTGTTGCTGTTGAGGGCTTGCCCAGTGGGCATTCGGTCAATGTGAATCAGAATGGACTTGTTGATAGAATTAGGGGCGCGGATCGTCGGGCTTTGGAGGCTGTTGTCAAGGCTTTGGCTGCTTCGCAGTAGGATGTACTCGTATGAGAGGATTAGGTGTGGTGCTTGAGGGACGTGTCACCTACAAGGCGATAACTTCACACAGTTGTGCAATTAGTTGGAGCTGGTATAAGCAAATACCTACTACATAGTACGACATTTGAAACAGTGTATTTAAAAGAAATCGCAAAGGGTTACCTATGAAGCCAATCATCCTCCCCTAATGTGTCGCCTTTAGTTCGAGTTACATTGTTACCACAATCTTCTTTGCTGATACCCCAGCATTGAGAGTGTCCATAGCAGATTGAAGAGCCTCAAGCCCATGGCCAACAACCTTAGCCTCCGGCGCCGGAATAAATTTCCCATTTGCCAACTCGCCCGAAATGTAGTCGTTATAGATCCATGAAGAGAGTTCCCTGTCTGTCGACAATGGTACGACAAACTTGGTTTCAACACCTTCTGGCAACTCAAAGCGAGGCACCATCGTTAAAGGCACAAGCTTAGAGTTGTCAGACGAACTCAGAGCGACAGCTGCACAAGTATCGACGATTGAAGCATATTGCGAAACTTCCAGACCTCCGTTTGCGATAGACCCGGCAACAGTCTTCCCCTTAACTGCCGCAAGGAGATCTTCTTTGACTGTAGATGAATTGTAGTCAAAGACTTGACTGGCACCTAGTTTCTTGAGATACTCGAAGTTTCTCGGCGACGCAGTGGTGATGACTTCGAACCCAGCTGCTTTGGAAAGTTGAATGATATTGCAGCCGACACTGGTAGATCCTCCCCAGACAAGAATGACTTTCCCACTAGCCTTAGTGTTAGGAGTGGGAAGATCAAGTGCCAGATATTCCGGGTGGAAGAGCGCCTTGACAGCAACACTCAAGCACAGCGGAAGTGTAGCCGCTTTCTCATGGCTGATGTTCTCGGGTACTTTGGCACAAGAGTGTTCGCTCACAGGAACGTATTCTTGGAAAGTACCCATGTGATACCCAGCGACACGATCACCGACTTTGAACTTGGTAACGCCAGAGCCGACGGCTACGACTTGTCCTGCGACATCGCAGCCTAGTATAGCTGGGAACTTGAGCCATGGAAAGGCAGTACCGAGCTTTTGTTGGGCACAGTCGACTGGGTTGAGGGAGATTGCATGATTTTTGAGTATGACTTCGTCGTCTTGGGGATCAGGATAGGGAGAGGGTTTAACCTCGAGGGGAGCGTTCTGAGCGGTGAGAAATGCAGCTTTGTTCTCAGGCATGATTGTATGTATGAATGGATGAGTTGTCTAGTAATTCTGACAGATATAGTCTATCAATCTATGGGAATCTATCGATGGCTCTTATATATAGTCAGTTCTCGAAAAGAGGACTTCACACAACACTGCGATGTCAATGAAGTCAATGACGATACTGAGACATTCTGAATACGACAGGAGGTTAGCGCATGTTAACACAACAGACTGTTCTCTGATTGATGCATCATCTGTCGATAGTTACATTGGATAGGTCTAAGATCAAGCAAATCCTTGATGTCCGTGAATACGACTTGAGGTTAGCGTGGCCTAGCCATCTCATGCAAGTTTGACAGGACCTTTGAGTGCTGTCGGAAATAACGTCTGCAAACTCCGCCAAGACCACCTATCATAGACGTCAACTAGGAAACGTCCAATCGAATGATAGTTGATATTAGAGAGTCCAGAACGGTGTTAATAGTAATTGATTCGTCTCAATTGGTGCGAAACGCCGTCTGTAAGACAGTGGAAAGCCGGCCGACAGTAAACCAGAAGTCGATGGTTTTGTCCCAAGCAAACGGAGTGAAGTCACAAAGTAGTAAATCACAAAACGACATAAGAGATGACCTTATTAGACTGCCTACTCATAGTCTGTACCACCACCTTATCTATTGCCCGAAGCGCCCATGATTCGGGTCGGGACACGGAGGAACGGGACCCGCTTCTACCGGTTTCCGGGGCATGCGGTCCGAAAAATAACCACGATATAGAAGTCTATCAACAAAATAACTTAGACTTACTTAGGCACTAAGCTTAAGGTAGATTATCCTAATTCTTATGATACCCTTAGCTAAGTCTCGCTTTTTCTTTGGCCCACCTGCGGGGATCGGTTCTCTGGAGGCCCGGAAGCGATATCGGGAGCCGTCATAATCTGCCTTTATGTGACTGAACGGATTCAGTATCTAGAAGTAAACATGAGTTGGTTTATGGGGTTCAAGAGAAAGACTATAACCGTGTGGATGTGGTTGTCAGCTGAAGTAGCTATGTATATGATATATTGGTCTCCAGCTTTCGGTTCGGCTGAGGTCGGTTCGGGACCATGTTCTTCTTGTTGAAAACCACAAATTGATGCTATTCTAGTGGCTGTTGAGACCTATATCTCAACACTTCTATACTCAAGTTCGTATAAGAACCAATTCTAGTCTGCACCCTTCTTCGCCTCCCTTGATGCAATATAAGCCCTCCACTTAGGATTCCAGATACAAACAGGAATACCTAAAAGAAAGATAATAGCAAAGATACCAGCTAACACACCAAAGGCCCATGGGTACCCATGCTCTTCCACCATAGGTGTCAATCCATACGTGACTCCAAAAGAGATGACATTCTTGGTTCCAACAACAGTAACGATCGCAGGACCGGGATGTTTGGGGGCCGCTTCAGAAGCAAAAGTGGTAGAAACGATGAGAACAGTCGTGAAGGAGTATTGGAAGATGGTCCATCCGAGATAAGGTCCCCACCATGTCGCTCCGCCCCCGGCAGTGAAGCCATATAGAAGAAGCATGGCTGTGCCGATGACTGCGGCCGGAGCGAGAGTGATGAGGTGATGCTCGGGCTGGTGAATACCGCGGTTGCGACGGGCCATCCACATGACGAATGGGTTGGCAACGAATGTGCAGTATAACATGGCGATTATCGCTCCAATCGCTCCGCCGACGTTGACCAAACCAATATCCTTGGCTTGCCAGTGATACTCACCCATCAAGACTGTATTGTAGGTCAAAGACATGCCCACACCACAACCGAGAGCAATGGAGGATGTAAGAACGGCGTATAAGATACCGGGTGATGCGAACGAAGTGATCATGTACTTCCAGCTCAGAAGGATAACTCGTACTGGCTGCGAAGAGGGCTTGGACCACGGTTGAAGACGCTGCAAGTAAGTCTTACGCTCAATGTTCTCGTCCGAGTTCTCAGCACCTGGAGGTGTTAATCCAGATCTCGACATCTCTTCCAGATAAGCTTGAGCCTCCGAATCAGGAATGACCCTTGTAACGCCAAACTCATCCGTAACGACAAGTTGGCCATCGAGCGAGGCAGCGGGTCTTGTAAACTGCGTCTCAAAGCCCAGGAAGAAAGCAATAACCAAACCGACTCCCACTGTGATGGTGAAGACCCAGTAGTACCAGCGCCAGCCGAGGTCAGCGTTGATGTAGGAAGATGCAAGGTTGAGGGATGAAGAGAGAGCGTTCTGTAACATCCAGTAAAGACCGAAAATGAAGGCACGTTCGTGGAGGAATGTTACTTCTGTTAGCATGAGAGGAAGGAGAGATTCGGATGCGCCAGTTGCGGTGCCTTGGATTATACGGGCGGCGAGATGGCCATTGTAACTGTTCTGTGTAGCTGCCGCGATGCTGGCCGCGAAGAGAACAATCACCGAGATAAGAAAGATAGGACGACGGCCAAAGGCGAGGGATAATGGAAGAATGATGTAGTTTCCTAGCACATGTAAGTCTCACTTCACTCCAACATATTGAGATCTACTTACCAAGACCAATAAACAAAGTCGGCAACGTAATAAGTAGCACAACTTGATCCGAGTTATATCCCTGAGGAATATACATCTCAAAGAAAACATTCAGAATAGCTCCAAGTCCACTGGCCACTGAGAGACCCATAACAGAGAACCAGCAACAGCAAAAGACAAGTCCGTACTTTTCCCATGGTCGAAAGTTGAGAGGATCATTAGGGTCTGAAGATGGAACAGGAATCTTGCGGACTTCGCCCTTTTTGTCGACTAGAAGGGCGTTTCCTTCAATATGACCATGGCCATCGTTTTGAGTTACTTGAGTCTTCTCAATGTGGTCTGTTGAGATGACTGCTTCGAGGTTGGGGTAGTCTTTTGTGTCTGCCATTGTGAATTAAACCCTTCGCTGGGCTGGCTAAACAGAACAATCTGATTGAAGCTTGGCTCTTGTTTCGAGAGATGTTATCTATTTAAGCCAACAGTTTCCCCCACAATTGAAATCTAGATCTGATAGATCTCTTAGTTCCCCCGGTATATCGGACCTCCAGATTCTCTCCACATTCCCGGTCCGGGGTTTCGGTTCGGCATCTAAAACCCCAGAGTTTCCGATCCTTGTGCAATGCTTCACCCCTAGTCACATCCTTTGTTTAAGTATGACCACTGACTTGGCATCAATCGAATATATCTTCGAGCCAGCAACTACCTCACTTCATTACAGGTTGATCCAATTTGCATTGTATATCTATGACCTAGACCGACTTATTGAACCGAAGCATCAATCTCGCCTGTCCAGCAAGAGATAAACTGACCTCCTCAATCTTAGTCCCCACGGTCCCTCTTCTCGGTATATATCTCACCGAAGACACTCAAAGAGGACCTACGACCTTTGCCCAAATCTCAAATAGCACTAGAATCGACATGAAAGTCGCCAAAGCTTCGACAACAACCCGACTGAGAGGCCAATCTTCCCCCTTGCTGTCAATGCGATTAACCATTGGGAGCCCTGTAACGAAAAAAGCCATATATCCCAAAGACCCAACAGTCATCATCCAATGCGTCTTCTCATAGTAGAACCAATCTGAAAGTAGAGGACTCGACATGAAGAATGTCTCTCCGACGGCAACACTGTAAGATAGAGCGACCACCACAATAGCCCTTCCCAAGCGTCCAGGTTGCAAAGCTTGCACAATCGTACTCTCCGCCATCATGAGAACTGTATAGTATGTCATGAAGTACGCATGCGTAAGAGGATACAAAAACAGGGGAACCTGCCCCCCAGTCCTTCCCACAACAGCAGAGCTAAAGTTCCACTTACAAGGGAACTTGTACCGCATACCCATGAGATCAAAGAAGTAGTGCGACGTGAAGTAAGTTCCGAGACAGACGATGATAACAACCCAGACGTTAAGCTTAAACCAGTATCTGCGATACCATGGACGGCCGGCCTTTTTGGATAGTAGTGCTGGGAAGAGAATTGGCGGTGTTGCGACTGCTATTGAGAAGAGGATGTAGTCCATATCGTGCCAACTGTGCATTATACCGCTGAGCATCGCGAATGCTACGGCGGTTATCCAGAAGGGGCTTAGGAAGAGGTTCAGGCGCTGGACCCATCGTTTTTCGTCCTTGATGCTCTGAGGTGTGACTTTTTTTGTTGCTGTTGAGGGCGCCATTTTGATGGCTTGAGATGTGAATATTAACGTTAAGACAGGCAGAGGAGAAACCGGATGAAGGATAAGTCAGGACAGATTATTTATATAACCGGCTAATAACAAGCTTGGATTGATCCTTTGAACTAATGCTTGCATAGTCAGCTTACAGAGCAACAAGGATTATATTCCTTGGCTCTACCACATCCCGGGACAGAGATTCATCGTGTAAAACCTCTTCTAACAGACAACAACATAAGTAAGAATCACTGACATTTTAGACATGGTGCCGTTGTCATTCATGACGCTGGGATAATCTGGACTTGAGTAATTACTTATTCGACAATTAACTCGGTCGAAGAACTACTACGATGGGCACTACGCACAGTTTCGCTGGTAATTTGTACCTTTACTCTTTTAGCAGCAATGCAGAGGAATTAGAAGCTTGTTCTGAGTACGAGTATCGATAACGCGAAATGCAAAGGTTAGCTCTGCTGAGTCATGAAACATAACAGTGATACTACTTCTGCCTAACAACGCAACTTCTCTCACTTCCTCCACGATTCAATATCCTTGCAGGCGCGAAATAGTAAAGTCTCATATGTTTGTCTATGAATGTGATTTACTGACAATAAATAGATACCAAAACATGGCGTCTATGGAAAGAAGTCTCTTCTTCTCAGACCAGTTCGCCATCAGCTGCGGCACCGTGACAATAGATCTCAAAAAGGCCAAAGTCCTGCTCATTCGCATGCGAAAGAATGGAGAATACATGCTTCCCAAGGGCCGAAAAGATGTGGGCGAAAATCTAGAAGAGACAGCTCTCCGAGAGACGTATGAAGAGACAGGAGTGAAAGTGCAATTCTTCCCTGTCGCTATCGATTCACAAGCTACCTCGCCCCAAGGCCAAGATCGTCCAAAGGCCATCACTGAGCCGATTGCCGTTTCTCAGCGTATGACGAAGGGGGGTCTCAAGATTATCTTCTGGTATGTCGGTATGGCGGACTCTACTATTCCTCCAGTAGAGGGAACGCAGCAGGAGAACGAAGATTTCGAAGCTGTTTGGAAACGGTTCGATGAGGTCGAGGCTGTTGTGTCTTGGGAGGATGATCGACGAATTACTATGAAAGCTATCGTTGCGGTTCTGAGAGGACGGTCTGCGAGTTCTGGCACGGTCTGAGTCTGACATAGTTGGAGGTAACAGAGCAGGAAACGCACCCACAGTCAGCCCCTCTCACTTGCAAACAACGGCATCATGGACATATATCGCTGTTGAGAGCCTGGCATATGCTCTTATGTATTATTGTGTTGAATAGGTACCTAACTCAAAAACGCCTGTTCCTAAAGCCTTGTTTCTAGCCCAATCTTGTCTACAAAAGCAAATTACAATCTGTATATCAGGGTATCACAACTTTTCAAGCCCTCCTGTCAAGAACATCCCTTACTTCCACAACTCCGTCCATCCTTCCAAGCACCAAGCTGTTACTATCCTCAGCGAAAGCCCCAGACATTACCATCTCCTCCATTATCTCCTCATAGATGACCGATCCCGTCGCAACATCCATAATGTCAAAGCCGTCCTCGGTTCTGCAGAGCATGTAGCGGCAGTCGGGCGAGATAGCCAGTGGCCATCCCTCGCAGCTTCGCACCGCGTTGAGATTGTAGGATGTCAAGTCATTGGCTGAGGGGATCCAGATGTGGACGTTTGTTCCCCAGACTGAAACGATGCGGCGGCCGTTGGGGCTTACGGCTAGAGCGCGGGGGTTGTTTGACCCATCGATTTCGAGACGGCGCATCGTCTTGCAAGTCGTCGTGTTGGTGATTCTTAGTGTTCCATCGCGAGAGGCTGTGACAAGGCTAGAATCAGGGAGGAAAGCAGCGTGGGTGATTGCGTCGATGTGGCTCAGAACCCTTCCAACTCGCGTCCCACTCTTGACATCCCAAACTCCAACACGATCCTTCGCCTCTCCAACAGCAATGAGCCTTCCATCTCTGCTCCAAGCGATAGGCTCGCCCTTAGCCTCCTTGAGTTCGTGCACAGTCTTCCCACTCACGTAGTCCCTTAGGAAAACAGTGCTGGAGTGGTGAAAATCAACACCTCCCTGAAGCTGAACAGTCCAATCTCTCACAGTCGCCAAACGAGACCCCTGAGCCGAGAAGACAGCGCGAGAGCCGCTCGTCTTGGAGTAGCCGTTTCCGTTCTTGGGGTCAAAGACGTCGATCCAGGATTGGGCTGTTTGTGCTGCTGTGTAGATTGCGAAGGCTGCTGAGGTTAATGGGGAGATGCCGACTGAGGAGATCTCTGTCTTGCTGACGGAGCGGCTGAAGCGAAGTCTGAGATCCATGGTTGATGATGTGCTTCTTGTGCTTGAGGCGGGTGATCTTGAGATGGATGATGTGGAAGATGTTGATGATTGTCCCCTGTTTGTTGTTAGTTGTGAAGATCTAGTTGTAGATGGTGTAACTTACATGATGGTGACCAAACAATTGGTGTCAAGTAGAAACCTGTTGAGGATACTCGATGATGAATTGAGTTCAATGAGGAAAGTAGTGAAGAGCCAAGTGATTGTCGAGTTGTGTTTATTGAGATTGTCTGAAGAGTGTGTAACTGAAGTCTGAAGGTATCACCAAAACCAAGGGGCGACACTCTTCATTATAAACAATCCCTCAACTGGAAGAAAATCTCCCAGCCCACAGCAATGACTCTTACCCTGACGCATTGCTAATCACATCTCCCATACTCACGGCGAGTCCCAAATTGACTCTAACAAAAAAGCCTTCTTTGATATGCTGCTTATACCGGCTTGTTGAGTCACGAACGATGTCCGTCTATCTCCGTCTTTCTCCAACGGCTTGAATTTTCGGCAAGGCAGATTAGGTATGGTCTGAAAAACGTGGAGGTGGGTTCAGATGTCTGGGGTGATACAAATGGACTAGCTTGAGGAACCTCAAAAAGAAGATGGCCGTTATTTGCAGCCCAGTGCCTTGAGAAGGTTGCGGTTTCGGTCAGATGCAGAGATCCCCCGATGGCATGTTACTTGATGCCCTGTCTTTACATCAGACTGAAGGGCGTAACGGCGTTGATTGTCACAGCCCTACAGAAATGAAGTGACAAGAGTGAGTGATGCTGGAGAAATAACATGGAGACCCCACATGAAGGTAAGGATGGATGGGTGGATGGATGGCGGAGCTCGTTTAGTGGAATAGAATAGGCTAAGCTTTGTAGGCCTAATAATGGAACTACGCTAAACTTCACACTTCACGATGCGCCATCTTGAAGCTGAAAGACGCATTCAATGGCTGGCAAACAGAATGGATTTTTAAGCAGACTTTGCGAGCAACTAGCTTACAACTGTACACACTCGCTTGTCCAGCGTTACTCAATGTATACTAAAGTCAATTCATCAATTCATTGCGACAATCACATAACATAGTAGATAGTAGATGTTCGTCATTCAAACCATCAAGGTGCTTGATCAGTGTCCTATCAAGGTGTATTCTCTCAACTAACAAGAGCTTCTCGCTCCGCTATCTGTCATAAACTCATAAACTCGCTCTACTCTTTTCTTTTATTTAATCATCCTCTTAAGCACCGAAAGCCTCATCGTATCCTGTCATGCAAGATCGGTAACGAACAGAGCTCGTCCTCAATGCCTCCATAGCCTGCTGAAGACCCTCCTTGGAGATGGGAATCTCCTCAATCCACGACTTGAGTCCCTTGTCAGCAGCGAGCTGAAGCATCTCGAGCATCTCACGTCGGCTACCCAAGTGAGATGTGCCGATGTAGCAACCGTTGTTGATAAAGTCCTGGTTGCGGATCTGGATACCGTCACCACCAGGAAGACCGACCGAGTTCCAGTGGCCGTGGATGTCGAGAAGGCTGAGGTACTCGCTGAGAGCGAAGCCCTCGAACGAGGTGGCTGTGTTGATGATGATGTCGAAGGACATCTTGTGGCCCTCGGTCCAGTTGTCCTCGCCGGTGGCCAAGAAGCCATCGGCGCCCATCTTCTTAGCGTCGGCCTCCTTGGCGCGGGATCGGGAGATGGCCCAGACTTCGGCGCCGAGGGCCTTGGCGAAGATGACACCGTAGTGGCCGAGACCACCGATACCGACGATACCAACCTTCTTTCCGGGGCCGGCACCGAGACGCTTCAGCGGGCTGTAGACGGTGATACCGGCGCAGAGCATGGGAGCAGCTTGAGTGCTGGACAGTGCCTCGGGGATGGGGTAGACCCTACGAGACAAGTCAGTTACGTCTCAAGTAGAGACTCATGTGTACTTACCAGTACTCGTGCACTCGGCTGTGAGAAGAGTAACCACCCTGAGTCTTGAACCCAGTGTCAAGGTAATCAGCGCCATAAGCATCAATCTGATCCTTACAGTAGGTCTCGTTGTCATTCTTGCACTGACGGCAGTCCTGGCACGACCAAACCTGCGCACCAGCACCAACACGATCACCGACCTTGGCGAGGGTGACCTTGTCGCCTACACGAAGGACCTTGCCGACAACCTCGTGGCCGACAGCGAGAGGGTAAGGGCAGGCACCCCAGTCGCCGCTGATGGTGTGACGATCACTGGCGCAGACACCGCAGCACTCAACCTTGATGTCGACATCGTACTCGCCAAAGGGACGAGGCTCGAATGCGTTCTTCTGGAAGTCGGTCCAGTGCTCGGCGCTGGGAGACTGGAAGCCCTGGAACTTGTCGGGAACAGACATGATGTGTGAGATGTAGAGTTGTTTGGGTATTTATGAGAGAGGGAAGAGGGAGAGAGAGGAAGAAGAAAACAAGAGTCAATGGCAAGATTGGAACATCGTCAATCTTTATAAACTTCTCCTCCTCATGGCCTTAACCCCCAAGCTCAACCCCTCATCGCGTCGACTGCCATTTACGTCGCATCGCAATGAGGGGCAGAACAAGTCAACAACCCGGTCAACCCCTCCATCATGAACGACAATGATTCGAGCGCGACTTTGGGGGACATTCTTTTACGTGGTTTGGGGGTTTCGGCCGATATGCCGACCTGCAGTAGAGTTGAACGTCTCTGGTTGTAAGCGACATGCGATAGCCGACAGCCGATGGTGAGACATGATTGGATGGTAAACAATTGTGGTCCATCATGACTCTGGACATGAGAGCTCGGATTATCGTGAGGGTAGTGGAGACTCGTTCAGTTCCTCCACAAAGATCGTGGGGGAACTGATCATGAGGGCTGCGATGCATCGGATTAAGCTTGTTTGTCTGACACCAGAGTTCTATTGGGGTATTCTTTAGAGAACATCATGGGCTCTAGACTCTTATATCATGTCTCATAAAGGCACAGTCAAATAATATTAAATCCCAGTCTTTTCTTTTAATTCCCCGAATCTTCAACAATTCGGTATCTAAAACCGAACATCTCGCTATCATAAACCCCGAATTTCTAGACTCTAAACCTTCCTCTTCAAAACCTTGGACTCTCCCAACCCAATTCCCATCAAGAAACAAATCCTCATAAGCATCCCACCATAAACCCAAGGGACATTTCCCCAGTCACTAGCATTCCACGCCCTAAAATCCCAATAAATCGACGAACCAAGCTCACTCATCGAAAACAAGTGTCCCACATCCGCGATAAGAAGCACGAGCAGCACCGTCTTCCAAACCCTCAAATCAGGCGTAGACCGCAAAACCAGAGCCTCGTTGAGCGCGAAGAACATGTACATGTTGGACAACTGCGACATGGCGACGGAAGTGGCTTTTGGCGCTTGGGTGGGTGCTGAGGCGGCGTTGAGCAGAGAGAGGTATGTTTCTTGGCGGAAGTGCGTGTAGAAGGCGCCGACTAGGGCGGAGATGGGCTCGAGAACGAGGAAGAAGATGCGGTAGAGGGGGTGGATGCGGAAAGCCACTGAGGCTGGCCTTCTTGTAGCTTGCACGGTAGCTTCCATGGTGTCGTGAGTGAGCGGTACAGCTCAATTGGGTGTGAGGTAAGTGGTGGTGCTTGATTGGTAAGTGATGGTGTCCAATTAAGTTGTGAAGGCGAGTATGGTGATGTCGCAACGTGGTGTTTTCGGTTGATATCTCAAAAACTTGTATGGATCCTTAAGCGGGAAAAACTTGATCCACTGTCTTCCCCACGACAGCCCTACGATGAAGGGTAACCAAGACAACAGTGAACCGCAGATATCATGATACTGTTCTTTTAAGATCTTGAATACGATATTATGTGTTATTTCCCAAGCTGATGGAAAGGTTACTTGTGAGAAACATTTGAGCTTTCACCATTTGGGATAGCCTTATGTTTGGTGACATAGGGTAAGTGTCATGCCGAAGACAATCTAGACGACTTTTATCCCATTTCAATGTTCTTGTCTCAAATAAGCTTCAGATCAAACTCAGAATCAGGTGAGACTGAACAAGATCATTCCAAAGTTCGAGGGGAAATGCACAGTCCAGAAATATTTGGAAGGCGACACCGGATAAGATCCGGTATCGGTCTATCTGTTGAAAGTTCCAGTCAGTTGAGATGAGCCTTTCTCAACGCTTGTCGATCACTTCCTATAGAACAAACAGAATCTTCACCGTCTCCAATTTCCACAGGCTTAGAAACTGTTAGGAGTCCAAGCGCGGTAAGACTACCTTGCGTCAACAAGCAGTCATGAGGAAAGCCTTTGTTTATTAAAGTTTGTAGGAAGTTAATCAGGGTCCTAAAAGCAAATTATTTGATCCCTGTAAATCTAGACCGCTGGCCAGTAAAAGACAGCCCATTAAAATCTGGGGTATGTTTTGGGGGTTGTTGGGGTACTATCGACCACCCTGGACTCTTGATGGTGAAACTGTGTTACACAGACTCTTGTTGACTCTTCTTACGAGCTGACCAACTGCAAAGGCGAAATGAGCGATGACATTGATGGAATTATGATGTACGGTGTGTTGACTCGTAAACAACCCCAAGACTCTGGACTGAGATTTCATTTCAGATTTCTAGACCCGGGAATAAGGATCCCGATAACGATCTAGCCATCGCCACCAGTGACAAGAGTTTCTCCTCCCCCAGTTTCCGTTTCCAACCCGGCGGTCATGGCTGAAGGAGCTGGAGCTGGGTTGGTGGGGAGGGGCGGATAGCCACAGCGTTGTTAGTTCAAGAGACTTTGTTTTCACCGCTTCAGTGTAACAAAGAGAAGGCAACTTGTATCACTGAGTGATCTCATCTTCGTAACTACTTGACATAGTATTCACCGGACCGAGATGACTTCTCTCTACTATCGCGGCCCCCGAGAAAACTGGAACCGTACGATCCACCTCCACCGGGAAAACCAAGAATCGGCCTCTTCCCGCATTCCAAGGCTTCTTCTGGGACAGCGCTAGTGTTCTAGTGTGCTGAAGATGGCGTTAGAAACCGCCTGAAGCTGCGAAGCATGACCCTAGTCAAGAGTCAAGAAAACCGCCTTACATCACCTGCCAAGAGTCCATCCGTAACGTGTCTCGCCTTGAATTTGTAGGAGATCCTGTTAAGGGACGACCTTTGCCTTACCTACAATTCCCCTGATCATCCCGTTCTTCTGACTCGCTATGAGAAAAGGGAAAAGTCAGTCAAACTCACTACGAATCAAAAGACTTGCATTGTTCCATGTTCGTTGAATTTTAAAAATTTAACTTAGTGAACCCCCCCTGTTCCTGTTCCTTTATCTGAGCCGGGATTGCTAATCGCTGCAACGCCTTTTTTTCTTTACTCTTCAACAAGGCCTGTCATCTCTCCCTCACATACAACCCTCATTCCTTTCCTCCTTTTTTCGTCCTGCTGTTGTTTCTTTTCTTTGAGATTGAAAACAGCGTGTCACAAACGGTCATAACGAGGATCAAGTTGTTGAAAGTCTCTTTCTTTGAACTTGTTGTTGTACTCTTGATTGAAACCCAATCGCACCGCACGAGCAACGGTTCGGGCCCAAAAACAAGGCCGAGAAGCTTAACGAGAAGACCCGCGACCGCCTTTGCGACCAACAGTAAACAACTCCCGACATACATATATATCCTGGATTATAACAAGCGAGCGCATTCCTTCAGCTCGTAGTATATTCTTAATCGGCCGGTTCGAGTCGATAACCGACATTCCTTAATTCCATCTCCGCCTATCTATATCCGCATCTCTACCATCTTTGTCTCGCTTTAATACAATCTTTCACCAATCTCGATTCAAGACCCAGAAATATGTCCAAGCGCATCTTTAACGTCAGCGACTGGGCTCCTGCTCAGGAAGCGATGATGGAATCTCCATCCGAGTCGTCTACCATGGTTGATTCAACAGCCAAGTCACACGTTGCCAGCGAAGCAGGCACCATCCACACACCTCAACCTCAGCCCCAACGAAACCGCAGCATGAGCCTTTCCATGCCTTGGCGACGTCCCAAATCTTTTGCCTTTGGTCATGAGCATAACTCGCAAAACTTATCTCGACATTTTACCGATCTCGCTATCGACGACCACGAAGACGACATGCACGACTCGAACCAACATCACGGTTTCCATACCCCCGGTGCTAAGCAGATTAAGGGCATGTTCCGACGGGCTTCGCTGTCTATCAACCGTATTGTCCATCGTCGACCCTCTATCGCTGAGGATACACACGAAGATGCTGAGGCCAGCCGACCTACGACTTCTTACAACGGGGCGCACTCCACCTGGAGTCGACTTCGACAAGCCACCATGCGTCGTTCACGATCCATCTACGGCTTCGAATTCAACCGCGAGCATGCCAACTATAACTACGATAACACCTCTCACCTGCCGATTCCTGGTTACAATGGTGAGCCGCCTGTCATCCCTAGCAACTCCGGAGCTGCTGCAAAGGCATCAGCAGCTATGCAGAACGAGTACCTTGCTCGTCAAGGTCTCTACAACATGTGGTTGAACCCCAGCACCAACGACGAGAGCAACGACCGAGAGAGCGGTATTGGAATCACAGTCACCCTCCCCGGTGCCGATTGCGAGGACGAGACGGAGGAGAACATCGCTATCAGCACAATCGACTTCATCTCCAGACTTCCTGCCGAGCTCGCCATTCATGTTCTGGCGAACCTCGATGCTTCTGCTCTCACCAAGGCTGCCGCGGTTTGCAAGAACTGGAACAAGATCGTTAGTAACCAACACATCTGGCGTGAGTCTTGCCTTCGGGAGACAACCACCACCTATGCCACCAGTGAGCCCGTTGCGCCTGGAAGTGGCCTCGGAGTTCCTGCTGTTTCACCTGTCAACGACTGGAGAGAAATCTACCGTGTCAAGCAGGAGTTGAGCCAGCGATGGAAGACTGGCAAGGCCAGACCTGTCTATCTGAACGGGCACAAGGATAGTATCTATTGCCTGCAGTTTGACGAGTAAGTTATATCATCTGTACTATCTTGCAATCCGTTTACTAACTTGAATAGACACAAAATCATCACTGGTTCCCGCGACAAGACTATCCGCATCTGGGATATGCATACCCTTCAATGCAGTCTTGTCATCGGACCTCACGAGATCATCAACGAGCCCGATGTGCTTTACGACGAGGATGACCAGCCTACTCACTTTGCTTCGGGCTCCTCTGAAAATGAAAAGTCCAACTTCTCTGTGCCTGCCGTTAGATCGTTCCCGACCCATCACATGGCATCGATTCTGTGCCTGCAGTACGACGATGATATTCTCGTAACCGGATCCTCTGACTCTACCTGCATCGTTTATGATGTCCGCGCCGGATACCAACCTATCCGCCGACTTCGACATCACACAGCAGCCGTTCTCGATCTCGCTTTCGACGACAAGCATATCGTGACTTGCAGCAAGGACTTTACCATTTGCGTCTGGGACCGCCACACTGGTGACTTGATCAAGCAGCTTCGAGGTCACAACGGCCCTGTCAACGCCGTACAGATGCGGGGCAACACCATCGTGTCCTGCTCGGGAGATTTCCGCGTCAAGTTGTGGAACATTGAGACCGGAAAGAACATTCGAGAGTTCACAGGACACACCAAGGGCCTGGCTTGCTCTCAATTCTCCGAAGATGGCCGGTACATCGCATCTGCCGGTAACGATAAGGTGATCCGCATCTGGGATGCCAACACCGGCGAGTGCTTGCGAGAGATGCGTGCCCACGAGAACCTAGTCCGCAGCCTACACATAGACAGTGTGAGTGGTCGACTGGTCAGTGGAAGCTACGACACCGACATCAAGGTGTGGGATATGGAGACTGGACATCAGCTGCTCGATTTTCCCAAGTGGCATGCCAGCTGGGTTTTGAGCGCAAAGAGTGATTACCGTCGCATTGTCAGCACGGGACAGGATCCCAAGATCTTGATTATGGATTTCGGCGCCGATGTCGAGGGTATTGAGACTATTGAGAGTGCGAAGCCCGTCGAGCTGAACGGAGGATTTATCTAGGTCTGAGCCAGCAATGAGGGACGATACGAAGGATTCAAGTAATAATGGGCCAGGCGATCTCGAGCTGGCTGTAACGACTTATGACACGGAAAGGCATGCTTAGACTGTTTTCAAGGAAGCTTATAGCATTGGTGGCATGTTGGAGACATGGTGCATGCATTCGTGCAACCTCACGGAGCACATTTGAGATTCGGCGATGCATTACCCAAAAAGGGATGATCGTCAAGAGCGTTGACTAGCGATTTTGATCACATTTAGATGAGTTTGGAGTTTCAATGATTATACTGTTTCTTTATTTGTCGGATCGTTCCCGATCGTCTGTGATTTTTGATACATCGTTGAATGTGCAGGGTTCAAGACTATTGTTTGAAACGGAGGGAATGATGGAAATGAACAGCGGGATGTGGGATGCGGAGTGAAACACGAAGCGTGTGATGAAGAGACGTCGATCATGTGAAGGGACGATTTCAGAAACAAATGGTGCAGGATCGCATAAATGACCACCCTGAATTAATATGTTCACCTGATGCGATGTTTCTTTTACTATTCTTTCTTAGACGATATACTATATGTAACGTTGACTTTTCAATGCGACTATAGCTGGGATTATCAGTCAACATGATGTAGTTTACTGACAATTATCCGATAGTGCATATTGTCGGGCGGCAAAGGCATGATGTAGGTGGAATGCCGTTTGGTGGTGCGGCGGGAAGTGGAGAGATGTGTTTTGAAACAGGGGACCTGGAGGAGGGATTGTTGGCTGTGATGCCTTTTCGAGATTTTGTCGCCGAGTCCAGATTTAGAGGACCAAGATTCGGATGAATGAGCCCTATAGCATGAAACAACTATAGACCCAGCAGATTAAAACTTGCTTTAACCCTCGATATGACCTCTTAATGGCTTTGGTAACCGCCACTACGGAGCTCTTCATCAACTACAAACTGCAATACTGGACCCCTACTGTGAATCTTTACTCTTCGGAAGCATTTTTGGTCCATGTCGATCCTCTATATTGCCAAGCGCCAATTCGATAGTCGCGCGGCTGAGACAGAAGGGGGATTCTATGCGGTGGCGGAGGTGGCTAATGTAATTAACGGACGGGGTGCAATGCTTTAACGAAAAGGAATGCAAGTTTCGTCTTGAATAGCACCAAAAAAAAAAAAAAAAAA